AGGAACAATATAAAGGCAAAACCCGACAGCACATGGTAAAATAATAGAGAGAGCCCTGACCCTGAATGCGTGCCCCAAACACATCGACGTTTGACCTCAATCGGTCGTGATTTCAGTAATTAATTGCAATTAAAACGCCGTAGGGGGAGTGGCCCAAACCAAGCCAAGAATCCACCAATCCCATCCAAGTGCAATCAAGCTGATTATAATTGTTCGCTTTGTTTGCACATTGCTGCTCTGCCAAGATCGACAAATAATCGAGTAATGATTTCCCCCTACCCTTTCCCATTACTGTGCTATTTTTAAGTAGTGCAAACTATCGCGCACAAGTTACTCATACGCCCTGTTAACAGAGACACAAACAAGTGAACACATCCGCAAAAAAACAAAAAAAAGTAAAAGTCATAATTGCCGCCGAGCAAAAAAGATACTACAAAAAAGACGTCGAAAATAACACAAAACACTAAATCTATAAATACTATATAGAAAACAAATACACAAATTAATATATATATAGACAAAAAAAAACTTAAACAGACAACAAAAATGGATCACAAAGCAATCGCAAGTCAAGTGCGAGGTGAGCTAAGTATGGAAAATAATTTATATTCATTATTATTTTATTTAAAAAAGCACAAAGTTTAAAAAATGTGTATTATTTCTGCCGATTTATGTGGGAAATTGTATTATACATACAAATTGGTTGAAGATTTGCGCTAGAAATAATTTTTAAATAATGTAAAAAATAAATAAACCAATTTATAACAATTTAGTTGTGTTTTTATTTGGGGTAAATTACTGAAATCACGTATTAAATGACTTATGATGGCCATTATTAAAATCAAAATAATCTAATAGTCGTAAATAGTGGTAAATAATATATATAAATTATCTGCTACCCCCAAAGAGCAATCTCCATTCGAGTCATAAATTTCTAGCACTGTTTTTGCTAAACTCTTTATTTTGCCTCTGCAATTATCAATATTCCCATGTGGTTCACACATTTCTATGATAGTGCTAACCGAGCACATGATATAGACAATTATCACTGAAAATCTATATGTTTTAAAGCAGAAATTAGACCGGGGAGGGAAATAATAATCAGAAAAGAGTCGTGTGTCATGCCAAATCAGCCGTCCTCCCACTCACCAAGAGAATACAAAACAGAAATACAAAATAATACAATCAAGCACAATCGACGGAATTTCCAATCTAATCAACACGATAACTTTCTGTTGTGTTATTGTTTTCGTTGTTTCTCTTTTTTTTCGTTTGCTGATTTGGTTGGAATTAACATATACAATAATATCTTATCTTGGCGACCCGGCAACAAAGTCCATTATTAATTCACATTATTATTGTTGTGATTCGGCACGAGTTTTCCTTCTTAATTGCAAGGAAACTATAGTTTCCTTTGCTACCACAACTTTATTTGCAACTCTGCTTTCCCTATACTCCCACACAGTTCTCCGACATGTGTGTGTGTGTTTGTGACAAATAGAGGTCCTTGAAGGGAAACACGCCCACGCCCACTTCAATTTGACACGTTTGAAGTGTTGAAAAGCCCGCGTAAAATGTTCAAGCCGCGTCCTTTGTGCAGGATAATTTCATTCCAAAGCGAACATGAAAGAGGATTAAAATTGCTTATTGCCAGGCTATTAATAGCCATGGAAATTCCAAATAGAAGATGAAAATCCAGATTGTCGATTATTATATAAAATGGAACATTTATAGGGAAGACTTTTTGGGAATTTTTTTGATTAAAAAGAGTTACACGGTATAAAGATCAGTAAAATGAAATTCCATAACCTCGGCAAACTCTGGCACTTCCGCCTTTTAAAAGCCACATTTCATGGCCATTTTGGTTTATGCACAAGGCAATTTCCTTTTATTTTTCTCAGCCAAATCCTTCTGCCAATATATGTGGGATGGCAAAAGTTTTTGCAGCTAAAAAACTTTTCACTTTTAAGCGTTATTTATGTGGCCAAGTGCAATTTATTGGTTTGCCTCTGTGAGTTGTATGTGAACGAAAGTGTTGCCAAGTTTGTTGCCAACTCAATTACACTTCCACCGCAAGACGAGGCTTTGGGGAGATCCTTTAAGGTCCTCGCGAAAGCAAAGACACTAGACAGCATAACATACAAAATTAATATGCATTTTTAAAGACTCCAAAGCATAGAATCTATCAGTATTAATTCAATAGAAGGTTAGTTTAAAAAAAAGCTCAGCTATATTCTTCATACATTTTCAACTACATTCATTTATATAAAAATATTTAAAAAATACTTCTAGTTAAAGTTCACCCCCAAGTATATTTTTCCATGTTGTCTAGTGTTTTTAAGTTCATTGACAACGACAAACCAAAACAGACAAGGGCAACCAACAAATGTTTTCTCTGTACCCCAGGAAAAGTTTTATGGCTCAAGTGCAGCGGCAAATAGGGGAACCCCCAGGAATTTATACAATAACTAACAGGGGGAGACGCTCCGAGCTGTTGTCCCCTTCAATTAGTTACAGGGACACTTACAGATTGCAAACTTTCCGCTAGAGCGCATTTTGACTTTGTCATGGAAATGTCGGAGCGAAAACCGGTAAGCCTGATGGCAACTCAAGTTTGTCTTTGTCCCGATTTAATAAGGCAATTAAAAACTTTCGCTAATTGCTAATGCCAACACTTTGAGCTGCGCTGCGCAGCGTCGGTGTCCAGCTTAGTTATTTGTGAATTTACCCAAAGGTCAAAGAAGAATATATTGAGTTGAACGCTTTCCCGAGATTAAATAGAGCCATGCAGCAGGATATAATGAGCTAATTAGTAAGAATTAGTAGTTTTTCAAAGCTTTATATTTATAAATCCTTAACTAAAAACAAATTTCTAGGAATATAGCAAAGTATTTCAGCTCAAAAGTTTGTTTATCATATCGCTGACAACCGCATAAAGATGGAAGTGAGCAACAATCCCATTTGAATATGTATTTGTAAAGGATCGAAGGGAACTGGAGGCGACGACACCAACTTAACTAGATGCCAATCAAATGCGCCAATCCAATGGGGCAACCTCAATATGTCCCAGTGCCGACACCTGTCATTCCACCACCCTTCCCCCTAGACATCCTCGCCAGCTGGAGTGCAGACACTGCACTGTGAAATATTGGTGTCAATGTGTCAATATTTGAAGTATAAACACGTGTGCAATTACAAACTATACAAGAACGCACACACTTTCCCTCGACTCAGCTCAAGTGTGTGAGTGTGTGTATGTGCGGTCGTATTAACAAAGCTATGGCAACGGAAGTGCTCTACATACGGGAAAAGCGGAAAAGCGGGAAAATCGGGCTGGTGTGGCAAGCAGTAGTTGGTATAAGGGGGCGTGGCCTGGTGGAAAAGCGGCTTTGCCCAAAGCAATTTACATGCAATTTTCGCATATCTTCGTTCCCTATTCCCACGTTTTTTTCGCCCTTTTTTTCCATCGGAATTCTGATCGAGACGGCTGGCTGCCTTTAAAGGATTTCTATTGCGTTTGCTTCTCTCCTTTTTTATATTCTAATTTTGTTACATGGGAAAAAATGTTATCAGGAACTGGGACTTTAATATTTCAGCAGAAAGAAATATTATACAAGAAGATTAGTTACAAGTAAAGTTGGCTTAAACACTGGTTATTAAATTTTAACTAAAACATACTATTATGTATAATTTACCTCTGGGTTTCAACTAATCAAACTTTTTTTAAAGCCTATAAAATTGTTTACAAATAAATCCTAGTGCTAAAAACTATGATTCTATATTTCAAGTGTTGTAATTTCTATCCGCCCTCATTATTATAGTGTTTATCAAAGTTTTGCATAGCAAATTGCACGCAAAGTTATGGGCGATTGGAAAAATTATAAGTTTTGGCAAAAAGGCAATATTTTATGGCCTGTTTTTGTGGCAGGCCAAACTGCATGTTTGATCGATTTGGCATTGAGGAAAGCCGAGAAGTCAGGCCGAGGAGACACTGGTTTTATGGCCGCCAGGCATTGACTGAGGTCCTGTTCCTTAACTTCTTGGCGTGCCGCTAAGAAGGCCATGGCAAGGCCTTAATTATTGTGCAAGGACCCACCACACCCACACAAATCCCGGTTGAGAGTTTAAGCCCGATTTCTATCGCCGCCAGACGATTATTCTTGGTTTGCTTTCCGCCAAACATCTAATAAAACGGGTGGAAAACAAGAAAATTCCTCCAGACGATAAACATTTTCCATAATTCGTATAGATGCACTAACACTAACGAATACAGGCAAGCGAGTATTTCCGCCGCAAACAAAAGAAATCACGCATTTTCATCGAAAGAGACGACTCTTTCATTTTTACGACTGTTTTTTTTTTTGTTGTTTTGTTTGTGCCCTAATTTTTTGTGACAAATTCTTTTGCGTTTTGGGGTTGGAACTTAAGACGCAATTTTATTCCAGCTGATATGTAAATACTTATGTGGCCGCCTGCCTGCTTCGTTGGGGGCCAACACTGCGCATACGTAATTTTTTTCTGTTGGGCTAAGCCACAACATGGGGAAAAACGGGTGTGTGTGAGGTCGGTAAACGCCTTAAATGGTTAAGAGTCCATGAGAAATGAAGAGAATAAATGACTCTTCTGAGAAAAGCTTAAGAAGCCAGAGATTTTAGTGGAAAACTGGACTTGGCTACCAGGAAAATCAGGGAAAGCGAAAAGTCTTCTATTTGGAAGTGTAATTTAACACAGTTGTTGGTTTCTTAGATTTGACGTAATCTGATTATGAGTTGTTATGTATAAAATAATTCCAACACAATACAATTATTTTTAAACATTTTAAAGCCCCAAGTTTTAGTTTAAAACTAAGAATATATATACAACATCTTTATTTCTTTATTAAAAATGTTTAATACAAAAACATATCCTTATTTTCACATATTTCTTTATTTTCTGATTAAAAATATTATTTTTTCATGAAATATTACTAATATTTTATAAATTTCTTTAACAAATTACAGATCTACGCACAGCATTCGATCTACTAGACAGAAACCGTGACGGACGCGTCACCGCCAACGAGCTGCAATTTATGCTAAAGAACCTGGGTATTAATGTGCGTGACGAAATCATACACGATCTCATACGTGAGGCGAGCCACTCAGGTAAGTGGCACTTACCTGTGCAGCAACAACAACTACGACTACGACTGGCCACTTCACTCTAGCCCTTTTAACCCTTGTTGGCAACCTGTGGACAACTAAGTGCAACAGTTAGTCCTCTGTGAAAGTGTTTGTTCTGTCGCCGGCTTTAATAATTCACGTAGTTACGGCCAACCGTGGGGAAAGGTTAATTAAACCCATCGAGGCATGTCGATTGGTTGTACCTGCGTTTCAGTTCAAGTTCAAGTTCAAGTTTGAACCTAGCTGAAAGTAACTAAACGGGTTGAATGAGTTTGATTTTGGTTAATTTCCCCAGGGGTAAGCCAAATAATACAAAAATAAATTACCAAATTTCTGATTGTTTGGGCAATAATTGATTTGCTGGGATAAGTGTGATTAATAATGATTTTGTCAACGTTTTTGGGGAATATATAGTTGCGGAAATAAAAAGATGAGATATTAAACATAAATTAATTGCATTTATTAATAAACAAGAAAGAAAGCTAACTTTGGCCAGCCAAAGTTTGTATACCCTTGCAGGTTAAAATTAAAATATATCATAAATAAGCCAAAAATGCATTAATTTCAATTCGGAAAGCGGTTTTGTGTTAGTTTTTATAAGCCTAAAAAAATTGCATACCAAATTTAAAATTTTAACAAATCAAAATTTTTGGTAATTTTTGCTTATTTTAATTATCAAATTTTAATTATCAAATTTCGCAAAAATGGCCAAAAAATCGATTTCTTCCGGACACGTCTAGAAAGATTCGCATGTTAATGCTGATCAAGAGTATATAGGGTTTATGGGGTCGGAAATGATTCCTTGACTTAGAAAAATATTATTTTGTATTATAAAATCGGATTTTTTATATTAAAAAACTTCTTTATTTTTTTTTAAATTAAAAATATCATAACTCGGCCAAAAGAGCATTAATTTTAAATCGGAAAACTGTTCTGTGCATGATTTTCTACAGTTAATAAATCTGCATACTTCATTTAAACATTTTGAAAATACAATTTTTTATCAAAATCAAAAATTTAAATGATGTAACCCCTTTAAAAATCCCCCGATTTTTGCCTTTTTTGACCCCCCCCCCCCAAAAAAAAAAAAAAAAACCCCCCCCCCCCCCCCCCCCCCCGCCCCCCCCTTTTTATATAAAAAAAAAAAAAAAAAAAAAAAAAAAAAAAAAATTTTTTTTTTTTTTTTCCCCCCCCCCCCCCCCTTTTTTTTTTTCTTCCCCCCCCCCCCCCCCCTTTTTTTTTTTTTCCCCCCCCCCCCTTTTTTTTTACCAAAAAAAAAACCCCTTATAAAATTTTGCAAAAATGGCCAAAAAATCGATTTCTTCCTGGCATATCTAGAAAGATTCCCCTGTTAATGCTGATCAAGAATATATATACTTTATAGGGTCGGAAACGTCTCCTTCACTGCGTTGCAAACATCTGACTGAAATTATAATACCCTGCAAGGGTATAAAAAGGATATTTTAGACTTCCAAGAAACCCAATACCAATAAGTATGCTAAGCTTTTCTTATTTTTCTTTTCTGAAAATTTTAAGCAAGACAAGCTAAGGATATATAGGAAGCCCCTTTCAGGCCAGTTTTTCTTTTGCTGCCCCTCTTTTGCCGGCAGAAGTTTTCTCTCATTTAATTTACTCGTTAGGAAATGCAATTTTATTATAGAAATTCCCCAGTCAAGGCTGGAGGAAAGCTGTAAAAGCATTTTTCTTTCGCCTGATAATAAGGATGTTGAGGATAAACATGGAGGGATAGGGGCCTATTTCCAGCTTGTTGCATTCTTAAGCGACGTTGAAATTTGTATTTTATTTACTTTTCAGTCATAAATTTAAGCTGCAGTTTGTGCATATTATAATTAAATTAGGGCAACGTGGCAGAAAATTGAATTTCCTGCATTAATATGCAATTGTTGTCTGGGCCACTACGTGTTCATGGCCATAATGGGCTTATCCTTTAAATAGATAAAATCAGAATAGGTTGTGCACTGAAAAAAATACTAGAGTGAAGTTTGAGTATATAAATAAATTATTGAAAACGTAGATAAAGCAAAAAAGATGCTTTGGCAATGAAGTAAATATTTCTATAAATGTAAATTATATTATCTTACTTTAAAATACCTTATTAAATAGTTTCCCAATTAATTATTTCCCCAAGTGTCTGCATAAATTAAAGACGTGACCACGTTTTCAAAGCCTATTTATGTCACCTTTTGTTTGCTCGACATTCGTTAATTGTATTGCGGTTAATCGCTTCACTGGTAATTTAAATATTGGTCAACTGCATTAGACTCCTGCCAGTGCAGCATAAACTCTGTAAATTTAAACTCGGTCACGTTCGCGGCGCACAAACCCCACCAGGAGGATCCAAAAGGGAGCTCTGGCTCGAGGGATTGGTTTGCGGGCGAGTGACATTTATCATATAACAGCAGGCAACTGTTGCTGACAGCCGCCCTGCTCCAGACAGAAAGGGTGGGGCCACCGAGGCCGGAAGCAGGGAGAGGGACGCTTTGATGGCTGCCAACGGCAGCCGAGTGTTGCAGCCACACCCGCACACACACACACTCCCCGCCGCGTGTGAGACTTGTAAGCTGACAGCAAATAACACACGGAACACAGGCAACAACATGTGCGGCAGGCAGACGAAATAAAAGCCTGCTGTTAGCCCCAACAAAAACCAAAAAAAGTTCAATGAAAATTACAACTAAATCCGACTAAAATTGGGTTTTTGAAAATCGTTTGAAAGACAGCGAAAAATGGGAAATATCTAGCGAAAATTTAAACAAGAAATACTTCAAACTTAAAGTTTCTATTTAAATTATTCTCCCAGTTTTCAGAACTTGAGCTCCAAGTTCTCCAATATCCAATATCCACTTGGCAAATCGAAACTTTTCTTTGATTTAAAATGCATATTAACGAGGTCCTTGAACCCCATCAAAGGCAACCAAATCAACATAAAAGGCCAGCAAATTGTGGCCACAAAAAAGAGCACCGAAAAAAAAATAGACAAAGACACACTTTACTTTGTTTGTGGGTTGTGGCCCCTTACTTGATATTTTCTTGGCCCGAATTTGTGCGCTGGTATTTTGATTAAGGGCTGCCCAAGCTGTTGAATGTTGGCTCAAAAGCGTGCACTTTATGGCTTCATTAACATTCCTGGGGTTTCAATGACACTTTCTGGGCAGCAAACAGGAGGGAGACGACGCTGATTTAGTCATTCTAACATTGCTAAGTGACCACCTAGCAGAGCCTTTTATTTATGCGTGTCTTTACGGTCAGGCCAGCGCCGAAGGTAGCACGCGAGCAACAGCTATTTCTTCGTTTTTTTCGCTGAGGTTTTTTCCTTCGATTTTCCTTGGTTTTTCCCCCCAATTATTTTTTCTTATTTTGCTTTTATTTTGCGAGGTCAAATGCCGCTTAAGCAGACCATTGACAATTTATGTTCGCTGACATTTAAAAGTAATTGTGGCACGCTCTTAGGCCGCACAATTAATTTCGATTGGGCCTTGTGGGTGGGGTGTGTGTTGTGTGTTGGCACAGATGTGACAGCAATTTGGTTGCCTGCTTTTAGGCGCTAAATCCACATAAATGCCAGCAGCCGCTAGCCATTAAATTTCCTATTAAGCAAGTTGTTAAGTGTCAAAGCCAGGCCCACGGGGAATGTGTCTTTCTCTATGTGTATGTGTTTGTGTGTGCGCCATTTTAAATTAGTTTGGCCATGGCCAAAAGCCACAGCCACAGTCACTACCACAGCCGCTGTGCTTTACATTAGCCACAACTGTCGACGCAATTGCAACACCCACAAGACCCACAAACAGCCTTTGTGCATTTGCTCTAATCGAATTTCAACGGACTCCCCCTTAAGTCAGAATTTACATAACCAGTGGCCAAAAGAAGCAGCCAAGAGGGAGTCAGCTAGGAGCCCAAGGTGCCAAGGGAGCCCAAGGAACCCAAGGAGCCAAAGGAGCCAAGCAGCCAAATTAAATACAGCTTAAAATACCAACAGTGAAAATTCCACGAAAATTTGGCTGAAAATTGCAGACCAAGTGGAATGGCAATGGCTGGTCGGAAGGTAAAGAGAAAAATAAAAAAGAAATCACCAAGAAAAGAGGGTGAAAGTCAGCAACTAAATGTTTGGGGTGTTAAAGAAGACCTTATTCTAAGTTCAAAGTTCAGTCCAGAAGCCCCACTGCCTTGAACTGCATTCCTCTAAGCCAAATTTCGCATAAGCACCAGACATTGCACATACATACGCAACGTTGGCCGAGTTACCAAGTTTTGACTCGATTCAATTAATGGCCCCAGCTGCACCAAGGTAATTTATTGGCCATCAAAGGCACTGCCTCTGCCTGTGTGTTAGTCAGCATTTATTGCCTGTTTTACAAGCTCAAATGTGGCCAAATTACACATACTTACATAGCGCAGAGCTGAGCAACAATCAAACAAGAGTGCTTTACACACACACAAGCCCACAAGCGAACTTCCGTTTCCGTTTGCTGGCATGAGGTCAGCAGCAACAACTAGCAGCTACTGGCAACTGGCAACATCAGCAACCAGCAACCAGCAACTACATTTGCCAATAATTGATTACACTTTGGCATGAAGTTGTTGCCTCAACACACCTCAAACCAACACACATACAGGCGAGAGCCCCCCTTGAAATGCAGCACTGCCAGGCCGCAGGAGCCATTTGTTATGCCAGTTGTCATTGGGTGTCGCTCATCGAGAAGCTGTGATTGATCAAGAGCAATCCCTGAGGTGACTTTGCTGGGAGAGAAGCAGTTTAAGTATTAAAGATATTTTTTAGAGGATATTTTGAATTTATCTAGCATAATATATATTTATTTTTTATAGGTTATTTCCACAATAACATAAGAAGAACATAATTCTTCTCTCTTTAGAACATTGAAAAATAATTTATTTTATATTTTCCTGATTGATTTATCTCGTTTATAACAAGTTTTCCCAACTCGACTGCCCCTGTAAAATAACTTAATAGAGCCAGGAACTTTATCCTTTCTCCGCTCCACTCCAGCCATCGATCAATGCCAAGAAGAAATGCTCGCAAACTGCAGGTCAAGCTTGGAAAATTCGCTGCTCTGCTTAACGAGCCAAGTGAGCACCGACATATGTATGTATGTGTTTGTGGCAGGAGAAGCACAGCTCTGGCGCAGGACACGTTGTATGCAGGACATTACCGAAATGTGCGGCAAACAGTCGCAGCCAGAAACGCCCTCGTCGCTGGCAATGCCAAGGCATGTCCTTATGGCGCAGAAGGAACAAGAAAAAAAGGACACCCAGCGATGACAATGGCGGCAACGTCAACATCAACGTACATATAACCAAGCCATTTTCATTATCCTTGGACTTGTCCTTTTTGCAGGCTGACACAGACATTGGCGGAGATAGAGGCAGATATAGAGATAATGTGCATTTGGTTTTCGTATTTAAAAAAAAAATAGAAGAAAAGAAAAACCCCAAGAGGAAGAAGGCGGAAAGGAAGGCCTCTCAAGAAATGGGGGCCTGGCCCTTGAGAAAAGCTATTACGAATGATGGGGAAAGAGAATCTTTTCCTCAAAGGAAAAAAATCAGCATACAAACTAACATAGATCGGAGATACCCTGCTTAAGGGTTTTAAGAAAAAATATTTAAATATTTTTACAAATACTTTAATATAAAAGAGAATATTTGTAATATTTTTATTATACAATTACCTCTTTGTAAATAAATTTCCAACACCTTTAGTTGTTATGATCTAGCAAATCCCTATTTTTTTGATGAAATACTTCCCCTTGCCGTATCCTGGCAAATGTCAAGACCAGATAGGGAAACCCCCCCCTAGGAAGTAGGTTGAAAGCCGCTAAGCGCAAATGAAAATATTTTTCAAGCAGCGCTTCAACAATACACAAATGTCACCCAGATGTCAGGCCAGACAAGAAAAGCAGGAAAAACAGCGTCAGGAAAATGGAGGAAGATGGGCTCCGGGTCGAGGCTGAAAGCGACAATAATGGGTCATGTATGACCATGTTGTGTGTGTGGCAACATATGAGCAAATACCCCAAGCAATCATCATCCTGATATGTTGACGACGAACCAATATTTGTATTCAGCCAGAGTTGAGGGTGTGAAAGCAACTCTTCTCCGTTGCACTGTGTCTAATTGTTGCGGGGTTATGAGACCCTTAATGCGTTTTTGATGCTAGCAAACATAATGACATTGCCACTTAAAGCTAAATGCCAGCAGCTCGTTAGGAATTCATCAGGCATCAGCCTAAATCTTCAGAATTTTCTTAGACAAAGTGCTTGTTTAAATATTTATGAGTTGATATTCAACATAAGATCTATTTTAAAAATCCCCCGTCTTGGGTTCTTTATTGCCTTTTCATTTAATTAAATTATTTATGTTTATTTTCCAACTTGATCTACTTTCTTTTGACCGACAACGAAATTAGCAATTCTAATTATGGCTGCGGGTTGGTCAAACAAATTGCAATTAGAGAGGAAAATGCGAATGATATGCCAACCAACCCCCGCATACCTCTCTTACCACCTTGCGTATACATTTTTTTTTTATATCCTTTCGGCTTTGGCCACGAAAATTTATGCGAGAGAAGATTATCGCAGATTTCGACTTCATTTTCATTCCCATTCACACGCAGAGTGAGAGTGAAAGCGAGTTCCTTTCTGGCTTCTTTTCCTCTTTGCTATTTTTTCCATTTATTTTTCTTTTACTTTATATTTTTGTTGTTATGTTTGTGAAGGTCAAGGCCGAAGAGCAGAGCGCAAAAGGTTTTCCGGACGGCCATATCTTCTGCGTTTAATTATAAAAGTTTCAGCAGCAGGGAAAAGTTGAGCTCACTTGCAGCTTCGGCTTAGGATTTAGCCTAAGCTTTTCGGTTTTCTGATTTTTTTCCGTATTTCAGTATTTCCTCTTTTTTTTTTTGGCATGTTAATGGTCTCGGAGATCTCAGCCGGAAATGCTTCTGACAATGCCAGCACCTGAGCGCAGCATTAGGAGGCTGCCTGCCAGCCGAGGAGCATGTCCTGGGCCAACAAAGGATGTCCTCGTTGTTGTGCGCGGACTGAGGCGTGTAAACATTTTGCAACGACGCGGACGAAGAGGGGTTCAACAATGAAAATGCATTCAATTTTTGGGTGCTGGGAAAAGTGCTGTTAGAAAATGTTGCCATTCTGATTTTACACCGGGAAATATTTTGTATTTATCAGGAAATAAATTAGGATAAATCATAGTCAAACTTCTAAATCTTTCTAGTTGAATTCACTTTTTAAATAATTTATTACTTCAGCTAAATATTAAATCGATAATTAAAGAGTTTACTGGTTTTTTCGCATATTAACCACCTATTTCCCCCTGTGCATCCAATTATCGTCTTGAAACTTTCATGGAAACCCGACTGTTGCTCTGGCTTAGTGTCTCCATTTGCCACAAAATTCATTGAACTCGATTTCTCACCTGCAATCTCCTCCCCTTCTCCTCTGTCGATTTCACAGGCAATGGCTTAATCAACGAGGCCGAGTTCCTGCAATGGGTCGGCAGGATCCAGGCGCTGCGGGACGACCAGCAGCAACCCGAGGATAGTGCCAGCAACAGCAAGCCGGTGGACGAGGCGGATGATGTCACCGAGGACTTGATAGCCGCATTTAGGTGGGTGTACCCCGTCATATCCTTAGCCATATCCCGCTAATCCTCTGTGACTGCCCCACCCCACAGAGTATTCGATCGTGATGGCAATGGATTCATAACGCGCGACGAGCTGCAGACCGCCATGGAGATGATTGGCGAGCCCTTGAACGAGCAGCAGCTGGAACAGCTCCTGGTCATCGCCGACTTGGACCAGGACGGGCGCATCAATTACGAGGGTGAGTGTGTGAGAGTGTAAGAGTGTGTGAGTGAAAGTGCAGTCGCAGAGAAAGGACAATGCTGACGCAGGCGTCCGCTTGAAAGGACACATGTGCACTGGCAAAAAAAATAGGGGAAACAAAAGTAGCTTGGCATTTGTATATCCTTGCGAAGTATTATAATTTTAGTCAGAAGCTAGCAAAACAGTGAAGGAGTGATTTCCGACCCTACAAATTAATACTTTTTCGGACAAGTTATGAGATATTCAAATTTGGTCTCCTGATCCTCTCCTCCCCTTTACATTTCAATGATTTTAAGACAAAAATATTAAAATACAGTGCAACCATTACCTTTCATTGGTTTAAATTATTTAAAAAATATTTTTAAAAATTGCCTTGCATATTTTTAAAGTATCTTCTTGCATTTTCTGCTTCAGCTTTAGCTGCATTTGCTCCCGTCTGGGCCTTAATCAAGTGGTAACATAAAATACCGTAAACTTGTGTCAATATTTGTCCAACGCACCCGAAAACTGTTCGCTCATAAATCAGCTAGACAAATACCGGTGTCCACCGCAAAGTTTATTAACCTCGGCCAACAGCAACAGGAGTTCGCCTAATGCGGCGCAATGTTTATTTGTTTGTTTACTCGTAAAAGTTCTTTTTATACGAGGTCTTAGCGAAATAGTATAGCTGGGTTTATAGGTTCCTTAAAACCAAAATGTGATCCTTTGAACAAAGGTGAATAATTTTTTAGAGCATATAGATTGGGGAAAAGAAATGCAATCAAGTCGTAGTAGCTTTAGTTTTGAAAGATACGATTAGATTCAGGTTATAAAAATGTAGAAACTGGATTTAAGAGTTATAGAATCTACGTTTAAATATTTTTTAATACGTTTAAATAGTTTTTAAAACATGAAAACTATCAAATCAGGCTTATAGTAAAAGCAGAATGTCTTATTGATAAGGAGAAGTAAAAACTTTAATCACCAAAAAAGGTATCACTTAGTCGTAAAGTATCCTTAAAGGGGTCACTCTGCATTTAAGTTTCAGGCATAAAAAACTTTTTGATACACCAAATGCTCGCAGCAAAGACAAAAAGAAACGAGTCCTTAATGCAGTTACCTACAGAATAAAGTGGAAAAAGAGTACCCGGGTGGGTATCCCCTATATTTTCACATCCCCTTGCTTTCCTGCAACCAGCAACAAAAACGGCAGCGCTGGGATTCCCTTGCGTGGCATTAAATTGGTTTATTAAACTTAAACTAATATGAGGGACATGCACAAACACAGCTCGCTCGAGTGTCCTCTTTGTTAGTGTTTTTGTGTTGTGTATGTGCGTGTGTGTTTTTTTTCTATAGAGGTGGGTGTAAGTGTGTTTGTCCGACGTGGAATCCCTTGTATCATTAGGTTCATATGCCATCGCCTCGCTAGTTGATACTTTGACCTTGTAACGCATTGACATGTCAGCACCGCCCACAAAGAAGGCCCCTTCTCAGTTCAGACAAAGTTCGAGCCCAGCCCGCAACCTCGCCGACCATTTGTTTGCTGGCATCTGCAATTTATTTACTTATTTTGCAGCACTCAGAAAAATCTTTGAATTTAAGAGTTATCAAAGTTTCCTATAAAAATGAAATATAAATTTTTAAAATGGTTCTTGGTCTTGATTTTAAAATTATCCAAAAGCTATTTTTATTGTAGTTTTTAGTATCAATTTTTTCAAAGTGTAATTTCGTTGCCTTGCCTTTGCCTTTGGTCTATTTACTTTGCACCGGCATCCACATCAGCGACATCGACATGATACCCATACGTATACGTACTATATAACGTATACGCAACGTTGGCCGCTCGATTTCGCTGACACTGCACTGGGTGTGCTGGATCGAATTGGACGATTGGCCGGAGCAACACGTACGCTGCCTCCAGCGGACCACCTCAACCAGGATTTCAGGTCCATAAGCAGAGAGTGTAGTTCGTTTCGTTGGGAGGCGTGATTACCCGAGGCGACAGTTTATATAGTTTGGCTATCTCATCTGTGTGTTGTAGCAGGTTCCTCCTCTTTTTTTTTTGCTAGGTGGGCAAAACTGTCAGGGGAAAAAGCGCTTTGCCACAAATCAGTTTTATTGCATTAAATTTGATCCAAGAAATTGGCTTTAATTTTGTATTGAGTTTACAAAGTAAGAAACTAGGAAAATATATAAAAACAGAATATAAATCTTGAACATATATTTATTTTGAGTAGTTTTTATGTTTAAGAATATACAAATTGCTTTTTAAATATTTATAAATTATAAAAAAGTAATCCCTTTGTACCTACAAAGCTGTAAACATGAATAATAATAATTGTTCTGTGTACAATTTGCGGGTCAACTTGATTTTCGTGACCCTTTTACCAGCAGGAAATCTTGTATTTTATTCCACTTGCCTCAGCAATTATTCTTAATGGATTTTCTAACCTTTTGTTGTATTTTTTTAATTGCAGAATTCACGAGACTTTTGCTCTAAGCAATTTACGCCCAACTTGGTGGAGCAAACCAACAATTTCGAGTGGAATGTGCAGGCCGAGTTACCCCCTTCAGCATAATTGTTAAGCTATTAAGAATATACTCAGACATGCAGAAAATAATAATAATAATAATAATAATGCAACTGCAAGAGTGCGGAAAATAATTGTTTAAAATTTTCTACAACAAAAAATATGAAAACTTATTTATACAAGGGTTTGATAAAGTGCAAGGCAGGCCACACACACACACACCCAAACATTATAAACTTTTTAGTTACATCAAAAACACCCACACAACACACACACACACATACATATGTAAATTAGTTTCAAAGTTTCGACGATTGTAAAAAGTGAAAATTATTCATTTTCTCTACGAATTAAGTTAATGGAGGAGCAAAGAGCAAAAAGTTTAATGGAAAATTGTAGGGTTATTTTTGTAGACGATTTGCCACAAATTAAAGTAATTGTTTCAACACACACACACACAGACATAACATTCAGACACACACACATAAACATATAAAAGCATATTCGGATAAGTCTGAGCGCGTGAGTGATATTGTGTTTAGGGTGCTGCAAAAACAATGAGCAGGCATAAAGAATAAATTAAAAGGAAATATGAAAAACATACAATAAAAGCATATATCTAAATTTGGAGATGAACAAGAACAGATTCATATATTTGTATTTTATTGTAGTTATGCTGCTTTCAATGTATGCGTGTTTCAAATACCCCCAAAAACAAACAAAAATTGTTTCAAACTTGTTAGACCTAAGGAAATAAATGTTAACACTTTATATAAGAAAACAGTAAAATTTAATTTTAGTTTTGGGAAGTTACCTAAGGATAACGGCCAGATTATACATATATAAAATTTTAAAGGAAAACAAGAGTATAAGTAACCAAAAGCCCAAGAAAAGGGAAAACTATTTAAAAGCGGAAGTTGTTCAGTCTAGTCAAACTTATAGTTTGTTATTTTTATTTCCATTATTTCCTCTCGAAATTAAAGTCCATTGCATATTGCCGTCCCATAGATAATTCAGCAAAGAAAACTAATTAATTTTTTGTATAATAATTACTCATCGATTTAAGGCATTGCGGTTTCAGCAGATTCATTTTCTACTTATTTCGAATATTCTTTTTTTATAAAAATTTAGAGCAGTTGGAAAACTACAGAAATTCAAACAAAGAATATATATATTTAATAAAAGTGCTCTTTTGAAACATCAGTGAACAATGAGAATTAGAAAGGAATATATATATATATTTACATTAGAACCTTTTATGGGTAAAGTTGGAGCAGTGCAGAACATATAATGAACGTATTTAAATCAGGTCAAAGGTACAAATAGTCAAATGGGTAAAACAAGGAACGCAAACCACATCTTTTGTATGGTATTTACAACAGAACAGCAACGGCAAAGCAAATTAAACCCAATTTAAACCGAAAATCAAAACGGAAAACCGAATCAAAGCTCCAAGATAAATTCTTACTATTAAATATGGAATATACCCGATAAATGTACTTCAATCTAGTAGTTTTTTATGACCTCTAAATGTGCTTAACATATATGCAGGACTATATACATACCTACCCAACAATATACTATTATAACACGATTGCTGTTTATGTTTACGATCGAACTACATACATATGTACTTAATATTACCTATATAGTATATGTACTGGAAAACACGAATTACACAACAACTAAGACATTATCTATATGCATTACTAAAGTGGTAGATACAACTTATTTGGTTTAGGTCTATTAATGATTTCATAATTTATAATTGCGATTTCGATTCGGAAAAGGAGAAGCAAAATAATAAATAACGGTACACCAACGCTCAATAAATGTTTTGTTATTTAACTCCCAACTACTTAACATAGTAAGCCCTTTAAAAAACTGTCAGGCGGTTGAACGGAAATCTTAGCAGATGTAAATTTGTGTTGCTTGATTTCAGAACGTTTCAAAATTCCCACTCTGCGAAAAATATTGTGTATTTAACAAAACCCCCTAAAACTTGAATACGATGAGTGAAACCGAAGAAAAAGTGAGTATCAGTTCTGAAGAATAGACCTGCAATCTTGTGGGAACTGGAAATATCTATTTAAAACATACATTTGAGGGTTCATGAAGAAAGTAAAGAAAAATTACATTTAAAGGCTTGTTACATTGTTCATTACATTTAAAATTGAAAAGATTCAACGCGATAAAAGTATCCCACTTCCGCTGCGTTTTATCGATAAGTCGCGCCAATCGAATAGGCTGGAAAGTCTGGTAGCAGTGGCGTGCTGCCACTTTCACGACGCATTATGGCTTAATCGACCAAAACAACTCTGGTCACACTAGGAAGTTCACGAGGAAACCAAAATCAATTTTTATTGAAAGAAAAGTGCGAGCGTTTTTCTGTTAAAGCTTAATTAAATGCCAGTGGAAACTGCATTTTCCGCCGTCTGTCCGTCCTAACCTCCGTGGCTGTGCTCCAAAGGGTTGCGTTCAACGCGAACCCGTGATTCTCCAACCGTGTGCGTTCCGTCAAAGCCGCAAAAGTGGATACCGAAACAGTGAAAATCGAGGATTTGATGGACTCTGATCCTGAAATCGAGTTCATCGAAAAGGACAGCGGGATGTCATCGTTAGGTGGTAGCAAGGACGAGACGCCCGAGCGGCGAGCAGTGGCGGCAGTAAGTAAAATCAATCCCCGAGAAACGTGGGTCCCAAGTCCCCCCCATACCCGTGTACACCTCCGCACGGTTCTTATCGTGCTCACGTAATTGTCGGTGAAATAGAGAGCAGCTGTCCCGCAAGAGCGAACCGCCAATACCCTATAATAATCGACCTTTTCTATTCTATTTATTTCAGCCATCGAATGAGCCTCAGGGGGAGAACTACGATGATGTAAGTTGGAATGGAGCCTGTTTGTAAACAACGGCAGGCAATCTAACCTCAAATTGCGGGGAGGGAACCCTTACCATAGGGACCTTAAGAGGGGTTTTTTGTCAATGAAGTTGTAATGTTAATGAATGGAAAGGCAGAGGTCACTTAACGGGAGTCTTGTTTTAAATTTTAAGATATTTTAAGGGGTATTTTTTGACAAAGTGATGCTTATAGCATTCCAATTAGTCTCATTTTCCATATTTTAAACATTTAAAAATATCTTGGGATAATTTTGACCTCTGCCACCTGTTTACACCTAAAACTCGCACCATAAAAACTTTCTTAAGATAATGTATTCCTATATAATTCACCCATTTCCATGTTATTATCCCAGGAACCCGACGAGTCTTTGGGCGAGCGCTTCTGGGGCCTGACTGAAATGTTCCCGGAACCTTTACGCAAAGCGGTGGGTGCTGTAACCAATGGCACCGTCACGGGCTGCAAACGCCTGTACACGTTCTCGTGCAATGCCAGCTGGATATTCTTCACCAGCTCCGTCATTCTGTTTGCCCCGGTCATCTTTGAGACGGAGCGCGCCCAGATGGAGGAGTTGCAAAAGTCGCAGCAAAAGCAGGTTCTGCTAGGACCCAGCAGTGCGATGGCCTCTGGACCCTCGCCCGGCCTGCCCATGATTCGTTAAAACCTACCACATACGCATATATTAGCTCTACGAGATACAAACCGGCAGCGGAAATCCAGAGAACTGCGGGAATTTTGCCACACGTTTAGCTTAAGTTTCGTCAATACCAACAGAAAATACAATCCCAGTCGAAGTTGCAAGTCGAGGGCGCCGCGGATGTGAGCCAACTATATAAACCATAGCCCAGCATTTACGGATGCCAGCATATCCAAAGCATCCGCAATCTCTACACCTCTGGAGCATCCATCATCATGGGGGGCATCGACCGGGCGCCCTTTGCGAACGAAAACAAGGAGCTGCAAGTTTCAGATAGGTGTTAGCATTGTAGTTCGCGTACACAGTGTATAAACAAAAGCAACCACTATGGTTTAAACCAATTAATAAAAAATATGTTTATTAAGAGTTAAAAATTTAAAGAAATTTAAGATGAATCTGCAGGATTCAGCTTTGCTTAAACTCTCATTTAATACTACATTTATTAGGAAGTTAAGGTCACCTAAGGACTTCCTAAATATTCCCTGGGAATCGGATGATCCGTGAAGTACCGGCGGAACTCTCCTGCATATTTGTTCCTCAAATTCCGCTCCCCAAACTCGTTAAAACGCTGCGCCAAAAACACATACACATCCAGGACCTTTGCATGTGCCGAGAGATTCTTGAAGGACTTGGCTGCACGCTCCAGGATCTCCAGGGACTTGAGCAGCTGCGCCTTTCTTACCTCCACATTATTAGGGGGACTAATGGCCAGGAGGCAGCGAACAAAGACAAAGTCCGTCTTGGCACGCTCATAAAGTCCCCCGTTGATGTGTATGTCGTGCATGCAGCGCTTGATGGCCTGATAGGCCTTCTGGGGCATGCCCAGGAGCAGCAATTGCTGGGCCAGCAACAGGTCCACCAAGGCCTGCTCGTAGTCCATCTGGGAATCGGCCATGCTCTCGGCTACCCTCAGCAAAATTAAAGTGGTCTCGCTCGAGAAGCGTCCCTCGGCCATGCCGCAGTAGCCAAGCAAGACTTGGACCCGCATCCTTAAGAGAAAAGGCAAATCCTCCTGAGAAGCCAGCTTGTCCAGGAGCCGTCGCGCATTGAAGAACTCCCGCTTTGCCACGTAAATGGAGGCACGCTGCATAATCGCATCCGAGGGATCCAGCAAGTAGAGCTGATCGCAGGCCTTGAGGGCGTCATGCCAGCGGCACTGGTAGATTCCGGCCTGGATTACCACATGGCACTGGCTAATCATCCAGCCCTCGGCACCGGGCAATCGAGGGAAGCGCTCCTTGGCCCGATGCAGCAGAACCTTGGCCAGTTTATGCTCTCCCTGCAGCTGCAGCCACAGAGCATAGCTGGCCAAGGCGCTGCCCAGGCCGGCGGAGCCATTGCCAAAGCGATCCCGGGTCGTGAGCAAAACCTGCGAGTAAAGAGCAGCCAGTTCGTGTCTGCCGTAGGCGCACCACACAGCGCTCCTCAAAGACAAAGCCTCGGAAGCATGCTCCGCCAAGTTGTTGCGATTGGTGAGATTGTCGCTGTGCTGCAGGAGATCGAAGAGACGCAGCGGCTGATAGCCAGCCACGGTGCCCAGCTTAACGGCAAAGTGCAGGGCCAAAGTGTAGTTTTGCAGCAGGGAACCATTAACGTCGCTGGCCTCCTGTACGCTTTTTAAGACCGCAGACAGAGGCAGCTCATCCCTCAGCAGACTGTGCCAGGTATTGGCCAAATTCAGGCTTCGCTTGTCGCCGTGCTCCTGGGCCAGCATTATGCTCTCCCTGAGCGCGGCCAGCGCTTCCTTCTTATGCCCAAAGGTGGCATGCAGCACGGCCAGGTTCACGCAAAAGTACTGGTAGCCCTTCTCCTGGCTCATCAGCCGCACGGGACTGCGGTCCAGGGCTCTGTGGAGGGCGGACAAGGCGTTCGAGTAGTCCCTGACCCGCAGCTGATTCATGTAGCCCAGGAAGTAGGGTGTGGTGGCCAGCGGCAGATCGTGTATGATCTCCTGCACCTTCTTTTGCAGCTCCAAAGGCGACAAAGCCTTCCGCTCGTTGCTCTCCAGCAGCTCCGACTGCTTGTTGATGAAGAACTTGGCCTGCTTGGGCGCCCACTTGCTCAAAGGGTTGCGCTCCTCCACTCCACACCGAGATATAACCAGCTGCTCCTTGTCCTTTTTCTTGGTGTGCAGAGTCTCTTTTCCCGGCGTCTCTTCGACAATTACCACCGCAGGAGGCGGCGTTTCCTCTCTGCGTAGGATACCACCAGCCATAGCCTTTCGCGGACCTGCGGCCAAGGCCCGAATTCCTCTCTCGTAGTACGAACAGATATTCTTGTACATGTCCATCATCTCGGCGAAGCTGAGGCGCTCCAGGACAACGCCCACACGGCGCACGTAGATCCCGACCATGCTGAACTGGCTGATGCCGTAGTTCTCGTTGAGGATCTCGTCGATGTTCTGGATTTCGGTGAAGTCAAACAAAGACTCGATGCTGCCCGCACAGAACTCGGACATGGCCTTCTCGAAGGCCTCCAGCATCAGGGCGTCGAGTCGATAGCGACCGGTGGTCAGCAAAGTGTGCAGCTCGTTGTAGGACATGTCCGCCTCCTGGACGAGCTTAAAGACCAGCATGTAAAACATGCGGCGTCGCTGGGTGCGCATGGATATGCCCGTGTCCAGGCAGGACTTTTTGTTCTACGAAAAAGAGAAGAAAATGTATTCGGACGAGAAGGAAAACTAGGGTGATGACCTACCACCACATATTGCTTGAGCAGTATCAACACCGTGACCTTGTGCGCTGTGGGGGTCTCAATGCGGGGCGGCACCAGCTTGGAGCCGGGGTCCAGGGTGTCCAGCTCCTCGAACAGATTCATGGCACAAACCGAAAATATCAATTTCGATTTGCCGGCAAAAAAAGTAAACAAAAAATCAGCAGCTGCAGCCAACTTAGCTTTGTTAGAGATGGGTTTAATAAAGGACTATCGAATATCGATATTTTTGCAGCCCTGAAATGGCGCGTGATTTCAAAATTTGATTAATTAAATAAAGCTAAAATTTACTAACCAAATTCCTACAAAACGGTATAAATTATAAATCATAAGAAAAATAAAGTTAAAACCTCACAGAACTTGACACACTTCAGTTTCCCAGTTTTACAAGCCCCAAATAAATAATCATTGATTACACCTGCTACCAACGGAACTGCCCATGGCGATCAAAGTCCAAGAAATCGAAAAAAGTGCACGCTTCTCCAAATGTATTTGCTTTAACTCAAAGTTCATTAGAAACTACCCCGTAAACTCTACCAAGATGTGAATGTGTAAATGTGTGGAATATGCAAGACCCTCTAGAGGACGAAGGGGAAGATGGAGCGGCGCTGGCGGGGGTAGTCCTTGAACTCCTTCTTGTAGTTTCGGTGTTTGGCCAAGGCCCAAACGGTCATCTGGAAGGCGCCGGCAAAGGCAAACAGATAGGCGGCCAGGCAAGAAGTCAAAACGGAAAAGGAGACCCAGGCTCCAATCTCATAGGTGTAGTTGGGGCAAGAAACCAAGCTGATTGATTGGGGGGGGGGATAGACACAAGTTAATACAATTATGTTAATTTCAATTAAACATTACTCACTTGAAGAGCTTGGTCAGCGGGTTGGCATCGGGCACGGGAATCTTGCGCACTTTGGTACCCGGCGGACGCAGGTTGCGCAGGGCAATGTGCACCGAAAAGTTGCCAAGCTCGCAGAGCTGCAAAGTCGAAGGTAGAGTTTAGTTAATTGGTATGCCAAAATTAGCTTAATAAATAAATATCAATAAAGTGGCTGTCATTAATCACTGGCAATAAATAGCCACTCTTACATATTCATATTTTCAGCTAAAACTGTTGATTAACTAAGATAAAATCTGCTTTCTAATTCAAACAGTACGAACGAGAAATGCAACATGGAGAAAGTTCTTTAGTTTTAAAATAAATGCCATAAAAAACTGCAACTACATCTGAAATACTTAAGCATTTCAAGATTAGCTTAAAAATGCTTGTTTCAGTGAACCTTAGTTGCCCAGCCTTATCAAAATGGCAACACTTGAAGAAATAACACACCTCGAATTTACTAGAAAATTTTAAATAACAATTTAAAGTTTAAATTGCAGGAAATATTGGTGTTTTATCTGTGATTTGATAAGATAAATTAAAGTGTAAGGTGGTCGATGAAAAGTTATAAAAGTAATGTCGCTTGAACTTGAAGACAGCCTTAAAAATTGGATAAATTGTAATAGCTAAAAACCTTAAAACAATAAAAAATCCTCTAAAACTCCTATCCAAATACGTTAACCTGGTTTTCCAAGGGCTTATCATTCTTATCAATATATAATATCTACAAAAACTACTTACAGCAAAGGCTCCCAGAGCCGCCCAAACAGTGCACATGCACGGCGAGGTGAACTGCGGATGGTTTACATGGTAGGACACATAGGCGGTGAATCCCCAGTAGTAGGTGCAATTCTTAAAGAGATTGCGCAGCGGCATCGTGGCATGCGAAAACCGATGGACGAAGATCGTCTCCAGCAGACGCTTCACATAGTGGACCGTGTAGCAGCCGGCAGCAATGCTGGAAGAGATCGATGTGCAAACATATAAACGAGTTAGTCGCGGGCTAATTATGCAGAGGTGTTGCGTTGCGTTTTAGTTTGCATAAGCGGGGCCATTGGGTCAACCGAAATCGATGGGTTTCAGCAACTTTCGCTACAGCGCACACACACACACACGCACACTCACTGGGTGGTTAGGGAAATCGGCAGATTGGCCGCCTTGCCGTAGACCAACTCCGGGCGGAAGTAGAACAGCAGGTAGACGATAAGGGGGCCGGCGTACTCAGCCAGGAACACCGTCTTCCAGCCAATCTGGGGGCCCAGATCCTTGATGTACACCTTGTCGCCGGTGCGCAGCGACAGCGACTCCAGGGTGTCGGTGTCTTTCAGACTCTTGCCCTTAACCTCCAGGCGCAGCGACTGGCGGTTGGCGTCCGGCGTTGACTTCAGGCTCTTGTGGATGAGGGCGCGCAGGTCGCCGATGGGCGTGGCGCCGGAGGGCACCTTCACCTTGCCGTACGGCTTGCTGTTTTTGGCGTTCAAGATCTCGAGCTCCATTTCGTTTCGTCCGACTGTCGTGTGAAAAAAATTGAATCTGAAAAAGTTCCGAAGGTGCCAGGTAAAAACTGTCGATGGTACTATCGAGGTATCGATTGAGCAAACGGTGCTGCCCACTTTTAATCGATATATCGATACGTCGATAGTTTGACAGCCCTAATAGCGGCTTCGGGTTTCTGCCACCACTAGTGGCGGTGCTCTAAAAAAGAAAACAGTTTTGAAGGCGAAAATTTTAAACAAATCGCGAAACTACGAGCAATACCGCATCGCGAAACACTCTTGGGAGGCGCAAGATGAAGGAGAACAACAAGATCCTCCAGCTCATCTATGTGGCGTGGCGCGAGCGCTGGTCGGACTCCCAGTGGGGCATCAACATAAAAAAGGCAAGACCCCCAATCAATATTCTGTCTGCTAAATGTATTTCAACGCAAAAAGCCTGTACATTGAGAATTTTAAACACAAGTGTTGTGTGTGTGTGGCCCGAGTGGGATCCAGCTGCCGCCTCCTACCTCTTGATCTCTTGCTCATAGATCGGATCCTCTGTCTTGGCCAGCGCCAAGATAATCTGGCGCTGCTTCACCGAGAGATTTTGTGGTATTCGCACCTTTAGCGTAACAATGTGGTTGCCCACACCCTCCTGGGACCGTACGCCCATGCCCTTGACCACCACCTGGGTGTGGGACTGCGTCCCAGGCTCCACGCGCAGTTCCAGGCTCTGGTGGAGACCGTGCACGTTAAAGGTGCCACCCAGGATGACGTCCGAGAGGTTCAGGTGCTTCTCGGTGAGAATGTCGTTCCCGTCGCGCTTGAAGTACTCGCTATCCTGCACCCTCAGTCGATACTTGACCAGCTGCCTGGTCTTGGGATTGATGATGCTCAGCTGGTCGCCGTCCCGCGATCCTGGTGGCACTGGGGCCAGAACCTCGACGCAGTGCAGCACGTGGCCCCGATTGGAGCAGGTCTCGCAATCGTTGCGATTGGTATACCGCTTGCCATTGCACTGGCTACACGTGTCCACAATGGTCGAGGTGACCGTCTTGACAATCATCTTTCCAGTGCCATTGCAACGACGGCAGGGCTCTTTGCCAACGTCGCGGTTGGCCATCATCTTGGACTTGCCCTTGCAGGCCTCACACTTGCTCAGGTAGCGCAGTTCCAGCGGTTTCTTGCAGCCCAAGGTGGCCTCCACAAAATCGAGTGACAGCTCTAATCCTTTCGCAAGATTATTGAATTCTGAAATGGATTGGGATTACCAGTCATTGCCCGTCTGGTTCTTCTCTAATTACCCACCATCATTGGCCTTCTTGTCCGCTAGCAACCTCTTGGTTTCTAGATCAATGGGATCCCCCGCCTGCTCGAGAAAGGCCCGCTCATCCCTTACCCCGCCCAACTGGTCGTACTCCAGTCGCTTAGTCTCGTCGGTGAGGATATTGTAGGCATTGGACAGCTCCTGAAACTGCTTAATCTTTTGCTCCGAGTGCGTAGAGTCGGGATGATAGCGCTTAGCCAGCGCATAGAAGGCGGAACGTATCTGCTGGATGGTGGCGTATTTGTTGACACCCAACACCTTGTAGTAGTAGTCCTTGGGCATGCCCCGGTTCTGTGGATACTTAATAGTCCGCGAGGTCTCGTGCTGCTGCAAATAGGCCCCCATGGGGGGTCGCTTCATCTCCGCCTGCCGGTCGGGATAGTAGAAGGGCTTGGCAACCTTGAACTGATACTGACTGGCCAGGCGAAGCCCTCCGCTCGTAGCCATCCTTCTGCTGGCCAAGAAACATCGAAACATGGCACTTGTCGAGGAAATAATGAAGAGTTTAACTTTGAAAAAATATACAAGTTCATATAGGTCTTGATTTTCTGCTGTTTGAGTGTAGAAAAGCTTGACGGGAAACTGAATGAATCACTACTAACCATGCCATTGTTTTTTTTTATTGATATTTCCAGGTTCTGCCAAGGGGCGTCAGCGGGGATGTGTACAACCTGGCGGACTGCCTCATGCAGCAGGCACTCATTGGCTCCACAGCGAATCCGGTGAGTAAAGGTTCTAGTTTATATTTAGAGATTTGTAATTAAAATTAATTAAAATTCCTCCTTCAAGTTGGTTTTGAACTACCTGAAGCATTCTCTTTGCACTCATCTCGTCTCCCATGCCGCCGTCCTGCGCTGCATAGCCAAATACGACAAGCTGGAGCGGGTCTACTGCATCACCGCACTCCTGGAGTTCCTGGCCAGCATTGTGGATGGCGTGACCTGTCGGTGAGTCCTAAGGCAACTGCAGACTAAGAATGTATCTTAAATAATCTTCCTAATTTCCAGCATTAAATCTGAAGAGGCTATCTTGCCCGGAGCCGTGGTCCACCTGGTCTACTGGCTCTTCCAAATTTTCGCCCGCACCGTCCAGCATTATGAGCTCTATAGCGAAATCAGTGGCGAGCAATCGTACATGCTGGACCAGACCTGCCTGGTCATTGATCGCCTCAGCCAGCAACAGTTCCTGCTCTCCATGCTCTTTGTGGGCTGCCACGAGGAGCTGGAAATCTGTGGCCGCCTCCGGGATAAGTATGCCAGCATCAAGGGATCCCTGACCAACTCCAATTTCACGCTGAATGCACCTGCCGTGGAGCAGCAACTGCAACAGCTGGCTTTCATAGAGGCCAAGCACTTGGACATGCAGACGCTAAATCCCTCACCAACGCTGGAGAAGATCTCCTGCTGTGTGCAGCCCCTGCTGGCGGTGGAGGTGCTCCTGAATCCCTGCAAGGACACCAGCTACTATGTGGCCGAGTTACAGATGCTGCAACGCTTGAAGCGGTACTCCAATACAAGGCTCTTTTATGAGATTATTCGCGCTGGTTTCCTTACCCTGAGCAACGTGGCCGACACGAGTCCGGACACCATGTGGGGTGCCTTTATGTTCTTTAAGATGCCGCACATTATCAAGCAACTGCATGCCCTGCAGCGTCTGCCCGGAGAGCAGCCACCGCCAGCGGACTACATACCCGAGCTGGTGGAGGCTTTGGAGTTGCTCATTGAGGACAACCTGCTGCTGGACTTTATGGACACCAAGTGCTCCTGTAACATGATTGAGTTCCTGCTGAACGATTGGACCAAACAGCAGTTGGTCAGCGAGGTGCACGTGAAGAAGTTCGCCAGCCAGAGGGAAGCCGCTTCGCAGCTTCTCAAGAAGTGCGACAATGGCCAGCAGACGCCCTCGAATATTAATTTTATTAAGCGCGCCGAGGTGCCACTTTCCGGAGTGCTGAAAACGCTGTGCACCAACAAGGTGCAGGATATGGTGAATGTGCTATGCCAGGTGCCGGTGGGCAATAGCTTTGAGCTAATACTCTCCGTGGCGACCGTCGAGGGGCGGCTCAAGACCTTTGTGTCTCGTTTGATTCAGTGCAATGAGAACTCCAAGCCAGTGCCCGGTGAGCTGGGCAAGCTGTGCGTCATCCGATCCACGCTGTTTGACGTGTCCTTCCTGATGCTGACCAGTATTGTCCAGACCTATGGATCAGAGGTAATCTACAAGACCTTAAAGCTACATGTTTCCTTTTTAACTATATATACATTCAGGTGGTCCTCTCCGAGCGCGGCGACTCCTTCTTCGAGAAGTGGGTGCGCGAATGCATGGTGGAGCGCAACAAGTTGAAGAATCCCCGCCAGATTCTCGCTCTCTGCGATGACAGCATTGTGGATGAGCTGCTCCTTAGCCTAAGCAAACCGGAGGCTGCCCAGCTGAAGCCCAGCAATCTGAGTTGGCAGGACACCTGCCTGAATCTGCCAGGAGTGCTTCATCATGTGCTCATTGCCTGGGAGCAGGAAACTCTCTCCTCGGCGGATGTCAAAAGTATTTTGGATAACATTAAGCGGCGTCTCTTTAGCTTCTCCGTGTGCGCCACCAGCTTCCTCTGCGCCTACATGTACTTGGTGAAGGAAACGGAGCTGCTGAAGCCGCTCAACATGATCCAGCAGTTCCTGGCTCCGCTGACCAACGAGGAGCTGTCCAGCCAGGAGAATGCCAAGGAGCGACTGGCTCTATCGTATCAGATCATTAGGAAAATGCAGCATGACGTTCATCCCGCTCCGAGCGCCAAGTCTCGCTTGATTTCACACTCGCCGCTTGTGGAGCAGTTTCGGGAGGTGTGGCGCTCTGTGGTGGAGGCTGGGCACCTGCCCGTTCGTGCTGCTCAGACTCTGGAATCCCTGCTGCTGGCCGGCGGAGCAGCGTGGCTGGCCACGCAGCTGGTGGAGCAGCTATTGGCCTGCAAATACACGCGGGATATGTCACGGACCATGGATGTGGTCTTTGCCGTGATGCACTTAGATATTGAGAAGACCACGGAGGCGCTGCTGCAGAATGTGGTGGCTCCTCTTATGCTCCGACGGCAGGGGTAAGTTTTCTGAATAAAATTCTAAACTGAAAGCTTTCTTCAATTTGTTTTAAATCCTTTTTTAGAGAGGACATCAATGAGCCTCAATCTTTGGTCCTGGCTCGCCTGTGCGTCTACTGCATCATATCCTGCCTGGAGTCACGCAGCGGTAACTCCTCTGCGGCTCTGACAGCCATGAAGAAGCGTTCACGCTCCCATGACGAGGAGGAACTGACCCCGAATGCCGCCAAGGTGCGCAAAGTAATTGGCGAGGGCAGCGACAACTCCAGCGAATTTACGGACACGACAGGCGCCGCCGGTGGCACGGGTCTGGGAGGGAATCTACTGGGAACAGCCGCCGCTGCTTTCACCGCCGAAGTGAGGGCCACACCGCTTACGCTCAAGGAGCCGCTGCAGACGAGCGTGCAGCACATCTTCGGGGTATTCCTGCAGTTCGTCAGCGGCGATGAGCTGTCGCCCAAGGCCGTGTTTGTCTACCAGTTCATCTCTCTGCTGGTGGAGTGCGGCGGTGAAAGAGTAGCCCCCGTGCTGCGTTTACTGCCCTCCAACCTGGTGCAGCAGCTGCTCAAGGTCCTGGTTACCGATGACATACGCGTGGGCCTCATCAGCCGGCTCTACGATCTGCGAGTGCCGGGCGGCAGACAGGCGGCCGTGGCCGATCTGTGCCTGTGGCGGAACATGCAGATGGCCAGACACAGCATACACCTGTGAGGGATCAGGGGAGCAGGAGCCGATGAATAAGATTAAGAGACGGGGCGGGCGAAATTGCTAAATGAAATTGTATTAAAAACTAGACATTTTTTGACTCGACTCCGGCTTGTTTCTGCTTCGCACGCGCTGTGATTTTTTGCTTTTCGTTTATTACAATAATTTGTGGTCGCCGCTCGTTCGTCTTCTCCGGTTTCGGGTTGGGGGTTGGGAGTGGGTTCAGGCTTAAAGTAAGAGACCTTCGGATTCCCTATATCACTTGAGCAGGCAGCACTCGAAGTAGGTCTCGCCCACGTAGCCGCCCCGCATTGCCTTCTTTACATTATACTCGAACTGGCGGCGATTGGTCTGCAGGACATCGGCGGCCTCCTTGTTAAGCGGATCCTCCGGATTGGGTTCCTTAAAGACAGAAGCAAGGAGGTTAAGGTTAAGTGTTAAGGTTGGTCCCCTACAAAATACAAACCAAAAACAGAAACTGTAAGCCATAGACAATAGAGTTGATGGTCAGCACTGGATTCCAGTCCTCGCGCAATATATTCAGGCATACGTTGCCCTCCAGATCAATGTTGGGATGGTACACCTGCGTGCCGCATTTCACCTTGGGCGGCTCGTGCGGATAGTTGGAGCCGACGCGGAAATTGAACACGAAGCGGCCATCTCTGTAGAAGCCCTCATCCGGCGAGATGATTAGCTTGAAGTTGAGCAAGTCATCGGGATCAGGGAAGTCTGTGGCGCAAGTTTTTGGCAGGTTCAGTTCGCTAATATCTGCGGGTCATAAAGGCAATTGGTGAAATGACCAGGAAATGGGAAACGGGTCACGGGCACCTTTCTGTATGCGCAGCTGGGCAGCCGAGGCCTTCTTCTGCTGCCCGCCGCTTCCCTTCTGTTCGCCGTCCTTCTTCTGCTGCTTCAGCGTAAAGAGTTTAATCATCTTGGCTGTGGCGTCCTCGTCTCGCTGGCGTTCGTTCCTGCTGCGCGCGGAAGAGATCTCTCGCTCTCGGTAAGTGGCTGTTGCGGCTCCTGCTAATCGGGGGGGAATGTGCGGGCAACTATCAGAGCGAATGGAGGAAGCTCGGCCTACCGTAAACTAAAGTTTTAGTGGAAAATTAACTTTGCTTCGAGTGCTTTCTTTATTCTTGTTTCTTGTGGATCTAGCGATGGCAGCTGCCAAGCGATGAGTGTGAGTAATCGATAGTGCTGGCCTTGCGGTTCGATAATCAGTGTTGCCCTGGCGGGTTTTAGCTATTTTCAAACCAAATCTGCTGATTTTGAAGGTCATGAGCAAGGGGGGTTCTTTATTTATTATTATTAATGTTTTTATTTAAAACTTATGGACTACTGGGATGCAGTCGTTGATTTATCTCAAATTCTTTTTTAATTAAAGAAAATGAGTGATGCAATTAATAATCATATTTTTGGCTACTTTTCAACCGATTTTGGCTACTTTAACGCCGTCAACACTAATGGAAACCAGGGCTGCCATCTCTAACACGTGTGGACTTCTTCGACGTTATTTATTTTGATTTAAAAAGCTTTAAAATCATGTCTTCGGAGCCCGCAGTTGCCAAGGATGCAGTGCTGAGGCCCAGCGAACGCCTGGCGGAGGACACGCCCCAAGTCCAGGGCTATGACTTCAACGAGGGCGTTAATTACAGCAAGCTGTTCGAGTCGTACGTAAACACCGGCTTCCAGGCCACAAATCTCGGCCTGGCCATGCGGGAAATCAACAGAATGGTGAGTTTATCCGTAGGGACACGTGCCAACCACCTAACAAAACACCTAACACTGGCAGCTGGATTGCAGGGCCCAGCCGCTGGAGGAGGAGCAGGAGGACCGCCATGAAACGGATGACTTCATTCGGCGCCGCAGCAAGTGCACCATCTTTCTGGGCTTCACCTCCAATCTGGTGTCGTCGGGGATGAGGGAGACCATACGCTTCCTGGCCGAGCACCGGATGATTGACTGCATTGTGACCACGGCCGGCGGGGTGGAGGAGGACTTTATCAAGTGCCTGGCGCCCACTTTCATGGGCTCCTTCGAGCTGAGCGGCAGGGATCTGCGTGACAAGGGAATCAACCGGATTGGCAACCTGCTGGTGCCCAACGACAACTACTGCAAGTTCGAGGACTGGCTAATGCCGCTGCTGGACGAAATGCTGGCGGAACAGAAGGCAAAGGGCACTGTTTGGTCGCCTTCAAGGATAATACATCGCCTGGGCGAAAGAATTGGCGATCCCAGCTCCATCTACTACTGGGCGGCCAAGAACCAGATACCAGTCTTTTGTCCCGCCCTGACGGACGGCAGCCTGGGCGATATGATGTACTTTCACTCCTTCCGGCAGCCTGGACTCGTGGTTGACATCCTGTCCGATCTCCGGAGGCTAAACACCATGGCCGTTAAGGCTGTGAACAGCGGGATGATCATTGTGGGCGGGGGAGTCATCAAGCATCACATCTGCAACGCGAATCTGATGCGGAATGGTGCCGACTTCTCGGTGTTCATCAACACCGCCTCGGAGTTCGATGGCAGCGACAGTGGCGCCCGGCCAGATGAGGCCATTTCCTGGGGCAAAATCCGCAAGGATGCCACGCCCGTAAAAGTGTATGCCGAGGCCAGTCTGGTCTTTCCGCTGATAGTGGGCGAAACTTTCGCCAAGCGGCATTTTGCCGGCAAAGAGCTGCCCGGGGAGACGACTAACCAAGTGTAAATAAAAACCAGGACAACGTAATCAACATGGATGTAACTTATTAAGGAATGGTACTGGCCCCCAGCTGGGTCATATTCCGTGCCCGGAATGGGAGTCCCCAAAGTGTTATGCTCCGCCCGGCAGCAGGAAGCCATTAAGCGGCGTCGGAGATGTTGTTGCTGCATGTGATAAACGCCAGCGGCAACCGGCATTGCACTCCTGCGACTCCATGGGGCAATTCAGTGTGCCGTAATGGTTATGCCGGAGTCGCTGGAGTGCCGCAAAAATGCAACTTTTGCCGGCAGCGGTCGCAGATGCTATTCCTTGCCCTGCCTTGGCATTACGCAAATATCCCTCTAGCTTTTGCTGCTGGCCTTAATTGTCTGCCCTCTCGCTTCTTGGTGTCCGCCGGAAAATTGTCCGCTGCTTGGGAACAATGCATCCGCGTAAGCCCACGAAAAATTTGTCATTAATTTTATGCCACTAATGTAAGCGCCGGGCTTCCGTCACTTCCTTGAATTCTTCGCCATTCTTTGGGGGGTCTGGGACTGTCTGCACGCATCATTAAAGCCAAGGGAAAACTTTACTGGTAGGTAGTTTTTGTCCCTTCCGCCTGCTTCGACAGCTACACATATTTTGAGCTATTGTCAAGGCTGCAGTGTGCCGGGAAAGATGGACTGACTGGCTGGTTGGCGAAAGTTTTTGGGGAACAGGCTAGGCCAAGGGGGAGTGCATTTTCTTTGACAACTTTTTCGCAACTGCCTGGTAACTTTTTCTCGACTTTTCCTGGGAAAATGAATGGATTCGGGGATGCGGCAAAATATATATATATATGAAGGAAAGAAATGCGAGTATATAACTACTTATGCGTGCATATGGCGAGAAATGTTGGCTTTATCAAATTTTTGGATATTTATACGGGTTTTGGAGCGGGAAATTATAGCAGCTTTATGAGATGTGATATATTGTCAGGGTTTCAAGTTTAAGGTATGTGTTTAAAAGGGTTTTTAAGACGTTTAAGATTGGAATATCCTTCAATGCATTTTCTGTCTGAGGATGGGGATATTGGGAATAATTAGATATTTAACCATAATATTATAAGAACGTTTTTGGACAAATCACATTTTAAATATATCACAACTACGCCAAAAAAGTATCAAATTCAATTTGGAAAGCTTTTCTATCTTAGTTTTTTGAATATGCTAACAAATCTCTATACTGAATTTAAAATTTTAGGTTTTCAAACATTTTTCGTTAATTTCTAAGAATTTTAATGAAAGCCAAATCTAAATTTTTAAATTTTTTTTCTGAATTTTAAACATTTTTTTCAGATGTCTTACAATTTTTCTAAATAAACTTTTTTTTTTTAAATATTTAAAACTTCTCTGAATTCTTAAAATTTTGCCTGAATTTTTAAAATTTTTTTCAGATTTTTTATATTTTTTAGAATTTTTTTTTAGAATTTGATAAATTTTTTTAAATGTAACTGCCAAATTTGAATTTGAATTTAACTGTCAGTGATGCTCATCTCCATCAGTGATGCTCAAATAGCTATATTGCAGTATTGGGAGGCTATAAAATCGGGCTTAATGGCAGTGATGCTCATCTAGCTATATTTCTTTATTGGGACAAAATAGATAGATGAGCATCACTGATGCAAAGTCAGTTTCAGTGTGCCCAGGTGCATTTAAGCAACATTTTAGCCAAAAAATTTACAATATGGTCACATCTGGTTTGAGTCTTCGCTTACTAAAAAATCAATGGTTCGAAACTTGGACTTTTTATAACAGTTTATACCAGTTTTCAGTTGCTTGCTGCTGGTTTCTGTTCGCCTGTTACCCCAATTTGGGAAACGGGCAATCTGCATGGAACTGTTCAAAAATTTGGATGGGCTGCTGAAGGGATGTTGTTGTAAAGAGGTTGTTGTTGCCATAAGCTGTTGTTGTCGGCAACAAATAGGTATAAATGCATAAAATGAAATATAACAGTTATTCAAAAGGTTTGAGTCTTCGCTAACTTGCGCCGGCTCCTAAATGGTTTGAAACTTGGACTTTTTATAACAGTTTATACCAGTTTTCAGTTGCTTGCTGCTGATTTCTCTTCGCCTGTTACCCCAATTTGGGAAACGGGCAATTTGCATGGAAATTTTTGGAAATTTGGATGGGCTGTCGTAGGGATGTTGTTGTAAAGGGGTTGTTGTTGCAAGCAAGTGGTTTTTGCCGGCAGAAAAAAGGTAACAGTTTATACCAATTATTATTTTTGCCCAAAAGTTTTTATAAAAGTTTATACCAGTTTTCAGTTGCTTGCTGCTGCTTTCTGTTCGCCTGTTACCCCAGTTTGGAAAGCGGCCAATTTAAATGAAAAGTTTTGCTCACTTCCATCAGTGATGCTCACTTCCATCAGTGATGCTCACTTCCATCAGTGATGCTCACTTTCATCAGTGATGCTCACTTCCATCAGTGATGCTCACTTCCATCAGTGATGCTCACTTCCATCAGTGATGCTAACTTCCATCAGTGATGCTCACTTCCATCAGTGATGCTCACTTCCATCAGTGATGCTCACTTCCATCAGTGATGCTCACTTCCAACAGTGATGCTCACTTCCAACAGTGATGCTCATCTGGCTATATTTCAATATTGGGGGGCAATAAAGTCGGGCTTAATGGCAGTGATGCGCATGTGCAACAGTGATGCTCATCTAGCTATTTTTTGCATTATTGGTAGAAAATTGCATCTCACCAGTTGCCAGTGATGCTCATCTAGCTATTTTGCATTATTGGGACAAAATGGCAACTCACTAACTGTCAGTGATGCTCATCTTGCTATTTTGCTTTGATGTTTCTTTCATTTTCCACCGCAAGAAAGCCCTTCTATTGAGCCTGTTTAAATTATCCCACAAAAAAAAACCGCATCCTCCTCATAACTCAAAAATAACACATTTTTTAAGGTTTATTATTTATTTCAGCTTTAAATAAAAACAAGAAATGAAGCTATCTTCGGCACGCCGGCACAGTTCTGCATTCCCAGCTTTACATTTTCTCTACATCTACCGATCGTTTATATGGCACCTATATGATATAGTTGTCCGATTTTCATGAACATAATAAGTATAGTTAAAATGTAATAAAATAATATCTGCAAGGGTATACAAACTTCGGCGTGCCGAAGTTAGCTTCCTTTCCTGTTTATGATAATTTTTGGAAAAATCTAAGTTTAAAAATATCATAACTAAGCCAAAAAAGCATCAAAATCAATTCTGTGAGCATTTCTATGCTAGTTTTTTCTAGCTTAAGAAATCTGCATATTAAATTTTAAATTTAAAAAAAAATGTAATTTTAGGTCGATTTTTGGCATTTTTAATGATGTAACCCCTTATCAAATTTTGAAAAAATTAAAAAAAAAATGTTTTCTCTCCAACATGGCTAGAAAGACTGGCTTTTTTAATGCTGATCAAGAATATATATGATTTATAGGGTCGGAAAGGACTGCTTCACTGTTTTGGAAGCTTCTGACTAAAATTAGAATACCCAGCAATGGTAAAACAAGAATGAAAACCTAACTGATACTCTGCAAGGGTTTAAGATCAGACTTCGTAAAAACTGCATTTATATTTCCTGGTTTTAAAATTTATGCTTGGCTGCCAAGAAATCAATTGCAGTTATTTTTCTAGAACCCATTATCGGCAGTCAGCCATCGTTAAGAAGTGCTTAACTGCATGTTGTCATAACCAAGCCCACAAACACACACCTCCTACACTCACACTCTCTGCTTCTTTGGGCCCACTTAGGCTATATCCTTCCCTCACACACTCTCTGTCGAAGCGCTTAAAAACTAATTACGAACAAAGCTGTTGCTGCTCCTCCTCTTACTTTGTTGTTGCTGGATTTCCGTTTATTTTCTCCTCTTCGAAGGATAAGGAATGGCCAATGCACTGGAGAAAATAAGGGATTTAAAGAGGATATTATAGGGATTGTTTTTGTATAAAACAACTTATTGCTCCTTAAAGAAAATTAATAGTAATTTGTAAATTTTAATGTTTAAAAGAAACCAAATACACTCCAGGAAGAGCCTGCTATCCTGAAGGATACCTTCCACCTTTTTTCGCCCCGTGTAAGTGCGTAGATTTTTGTGCAGACTTTCCAGGACTACAGCCAAGTTCCCTCCGTGATTAAGAGAAAATTAAAACTACATTAAAAGTTTTGCAGTTGACAGGGAAGAGAGCGGGCGGTCGGACGCGATGGAAACTTAGAAAGGCGGAAGTTTTGAAAACAACTCAACGATTTATTGATTCGAACAAGAAAATAGAGGGAGAAAAATATATAAAATAAAGCTGGATTACAACTGCCGTCCATCGGGCAGATCGCTCGGTCCATCGGATAATTTCCCCAGCTCCTGGACAAAGCGAGACTGGGAGAGATGCCTGTGGTAACGGCAAGTCCGGCTCTTCTGGGCCACTCTTACGTTCTGACAATGCTCACAGCCTGAAGTCCTGGGGCTTAGGAGCAGCAGCTTTTCGGGTTCGGGACACTTGACCACCTGCACGGCCATAGCCTCGTGCCGCTCGAGCATATCCTCGCGGCGCTTCAGATCCTCGGCATAGGCACGAAGTTTCTGTTTTTCCTCCATCAGCAACTTCTCCGACTTTTCCAGCTCCTTTAGCCTTACCTTACAGCAACTCTTCTGGTGCTGAAAGACACAGGTATACATCATTCGCATGTTGTTGTACCTCCGCTCGGCGGCCTGCTTGACCATGTCATCCATCATGGCTTCTAGGCGACGATCCAGCTCGTGAATCTGGCCGCTAATGCTAGGCTCGTTTTCGAGGAATGGCTCGAAGCATGTGGCCAGGAAATCAATCTTCTGGGTATCCCCTGTCCAATCCTTTAGGCGATCGATGGCCCGAATGGTGGCCCTCCAGATTCTGTCCTGTAGGTGAAGTTCCTGCTTTCCGGAAGTAGGTTTATTAGCCAGATTCTTATCCAGCTTAAGGTAGTGGCTTGAGCAGAGCTTCTCAGTCTCAAAAGTGCCGCCGCCCAGGGTGTTGATCTCCTTGAAAAGCTCCCGATTGGCCAGGGGTTCATTTATTTCAGAAAACCCACCACTGCTGCCGCATCCAGAGGCGTTTGTATCCGTCTCCAGGGGATCTGACTCCAGCTCTCCATCCATCTTGCCATCATACTCGTTTAGGACATCGTCCAGTGGCCGGCACATGTTCTCCTTGTCCACAAACGGCTTGCCCAGGCGACCCATCTCCCGCAACTGGCTGATCAGGAGCAGCATCAGGCCGTTCCTGGCGTACTTGGCTATTGGCTTCACCTCCTGGAAGGCCTGCAGCCAGTGCTGGCTGAGATCAAAGTCCTGGCAACTGATGTTCTCTGCGTAAACCTCGCCCAAAGCTCGCACTTGGGTGGCAAACTGGCGGTCTAGGGCGTACTCGCTTATGTCGCACATCTTTGGAATTTTCTTCTTTATCTTTCAGGAATTTTATTTAAAATATATTTGGAAGTTTTCGGTAGGCTTTTTGGGAGAGTCGGAGATGCAATGCTATAGAATTTTATATTATATGTGAGACCTTAAACTGACACAATGCTCATAACATTTACTTTACATATTATCTCACTTGTTTGTACCTAGGAAACCCGGCAATGCCCTTTGCGAATTAAGCTTGGCACGTGCTCCGAGTCGCTTGGGATTGGGCCACCAAACTGAAACCGAGTCAAAGACTTTGAGCTGCCAGCGATGTCAGCTGCATGAGTAAGTGAGACCTTCGCCCGATGTCCAACTTGGCACTATATAAACTGTGCCGCTTGGTTGATTCGATATCAAATCAAGCTCACAGCTCCAAGTATCCACAGCTAAACAACAAAAAACCAACAAAAATCAACATGAAATACGTAAGTGTTTAAGGGTTTTTAAATTATTAAAAAGGGGTAATTAACCAGGAATAATTCCTCATCGCAGTTCGCCGTCTGCTTCTTCGCTCTTGTGGCTGTGGCTGCTGCCAAGCCTGGTATTGTGGCTCCTCTGGCTGCTGCTCCTCTGGCCTACACTGCTCCGGCTGTGGTGGGCAGTGCCGCCTATGTGGCTCCTTATGCCTCCAGCTACACCGCCAACACTGTGGCCCACAGCGCCGCATTCCCAGCTGCCTACACTGCCGCCGCTTATACCGCCCCCATTGCCACCGCCGCCTATACTACTCCAGTTGCTGCTGCCTACACTGCCCCAGTGGCTGCTGCCTACACCGCTCCTATTGCCGCTCCCCTGACCGCCGCCTACACCGCTCCCGTGGCCCGCCTTGCCGCTCCTTATGCCGCCGCCTACACCTCTCCCCTGGCCTACAGCTCGCCGTACGTGGCCACCGCTGCCGCTCCTCTGCTGCTGAAGAAGTGAATCCAAAGGCTTGTGAACACTGAGGAAAATATTTCTTCATGAGCTTGACTCATTTGGCATTTATTTTTCCCAAGGCCTAACTTGTGATGAAATAAAACCCTCTAAGAATCGAAAGTAAATTGTTTTAATTGGGGCTTTAAAATCATCAACAACTAATGATAAAGTTTAAGATGTTATATTTTCTTTTATTATCTGATTGACGATTTAAAATTAAAGACAACCGATTAATATTTTTCAAGGATTTTCCATTTTCCAAACTAATGACTTCCTCTCTATCAATTTGTAGTAATAATTAATGAATAGTAATAATTAATTTGTGTGTTTTTAAATTATCCGTTTTATATAAATCTTACATATAAATGTCCCCCAGGTTATGGCAGCTTTTAAAGTATTCAATAATCCTCTTACAAAATGGAATAAGGGTGTTAATAAATGGAAGAAGGATAATAGCATTATTGGCCATGAACAATAACTGCAAAAGTAATCCCTTAGTATGATTAAATCCTTAGTTAAAGTAGTATTTTAATAAATATAAATAATAAATACCTTTTTAAGCATATATTTTTGAATTTAAAATCATTCTGAAATTATGAAAGCTTGTCCTGGGATATCCTTTAACTAGTTGAGGTTGCCTGCCCTGCATTTTTGTCACCTTTCGCTGCCGTTTGCCTTAATGGCCCGAATACCTCGAATACTTTCAAGAAGCCATATCTTTTTTTTTTTGCCTCTTTCGATCTGTGCCGAGTTCCTTATTAATTTCTTGAATGCTGCTTTGGTATTTCTCTGCCCGCCGCTACCGCCTGACTGCCACTCATAAATTGCGCAAATTCCTTTTGTTAGAGCGTCAAAGAAAAATGTCAGAGAGGACGAAGGGGAACGGAGAGCAGCATCAGTAGGAGCAGCAGGAGATTGTGTGGTCACATCTAATTTCTCTGCATGTCCCGAGCACGCTTATTAAAGAATAAATCATTGGGCTGCACATGGAAAAAATATCAGATTTATTTTTAAGGAGTGAGGGAAATCCATTTCCAATAAAAAGTAAATATATTATAGAAGGAAAAACGTTATAACTGTCATTATTTTATATATTTCCTATATATTTTTTGTACTTAAATATTTAAGTATATATTTTTTAAATAAACAATTTAATCCCTATTAATAAAGGGTTTACTGCCCATTTAAGTGGTTTATAATTTACGTTTCCACTTTTGTTCCGTGTGATTGCCGCTTTCTGGAAAAAGTGACCAACAAATACGTCACAAGGAAGGAACCTGGCAAGCGACAATCAAGCCAAAAAAAGGGGTGGAAAACGAGAAAGGAAACCCAACTGGGCTAGGGCAAAGGCACTGCCCGGATGGTTAGCCAAAGTACATTATAGTCCTCGGTCGGCTGCAGGCTGCAACAAATGTAGCAGAAAACCGCAGCCGAGAGTAGTGCAATTAAATACAGGAAATAATGGCCACCACAGCAGCAGCAGCAGCAGTAGCAGTGGCGCTGCTCCACTTGGAGATGGGTGGTGCCAGTCGAGGTGGTTCGAGGCACACAGGAAGCGACAGGATGCAGGAAACACTCGCCCAGCATCTTGGCCAGCAGCAGCAGCCGCTGCTCTGTTGGCCAACAAAATTTAGAGGCGGAAAAGAACTCGGCAACATCCAGCCAGGCAGAAGCCGGTGAGCGCTGTTATGTAGACACATTAAATGAAGATGGCTCTGGGGAATCTCAGAAACGGATGGGCCAGGCCAATGGGCTATACATCTTTCAGCAAAACATTTTCAGCTAAGAGATGTTTTGCGGTGGAAACCAAGAAAGGGTATTTATTTTAATAAAGGAATTTTATAATCCAGAAAAGTATGAAATGTAATTAATTTGGAAAAAACTTCTGGCGGACTGATGAGAATAGAATAAATAAATTAAAGGACACTTGATGCTAAAAACACAAAAATAGACCCAAATATAAATATATAAATAAATATAAAGGAACAATAAATTCATAATAAATCCACATATTTTCTTCAGCTTTCCTTTTATTAAAAAACTTTTACATTGAATAAGAAACAAAGCATTCAAATTCCAACTCAAAACTACAAAACTACATACCTTAGGCCAAATTTTTGAAGGAAACTTACTGCAGGCCATTTCTAATCGAAATTCTTGGGCAAATACTTTTATTTAGAAGCCCGGAGAGTGGACTTCCTAATGTAGCGCATTTCAATCAGAGCCGGACAACATCTGGCTTGCGGTTTGCCCAGTGTCCTGCGTCCTGCGTCAGACGTCTCAAAAGGCCATCGAATATGCCACTGTGCATGTGTGCGAAATATTTTATAATTCAATTTTCAATTGGCAGGTTTGGAATCTGTATATATACATATGAACGTATATGTCAAGCTCATCTACATACGGACCGAGTATGTGTGTGCAGTTCGGCTTCTAATTGAATTCAATGTGCACTTAAGCGACATCCGTTCATAATGAAATTTCGCAACAAAATTGTGTGGCAGGGACAAAAGAGAGTCGGCAAATATTGTTGCTATGCTAATGCAAAGTTTTGCCTCTCCTCCAATATACATATTTTTTATTGCACCATAAATAATGTGAAAAGCCTGGGAGCCTGGCAACGAAGAAATTGAAATTAAATTGCCTTTCGTTCGACTAAAGGAATCCGAGATGCCGTCAGCCCGGCTGCACACAACCATATTCTATCTGTATACACATACATATATAGTGGTATTCCCCTGTATATATATTTTTATTCCATTCCAGTCCGTTCTATTTTATCTGATGTTTTATTTCGCACTCTGCAAATAATCGATTGTCAGTCAGCGCCAACTGTCCGTTTGACTCTCAATTGGAATGTTAGCTAAAGTATGAGCAGCTGCTTCAATATTGCGCATAGCATTTCAAATTTTCACACACTCTGAGAAAATGCCAGGAAAATCATGAGGAGAGAGAGATAGAGAGCCATAAAGGTGATCAAATAACAATTATTGTACTATTTAAACTCAACTTGCCAGTCAGTTGGCAGTTAATTAATGGCAGTACATTTGACCTCGTTTGACTTGGGGCTAGATTCTGTACATTGTTTGCCAGCTTTATGGGTTTATGTGAATGTCTATAGCATAAATAATGAATCAATAATATATTTGTATAAAGTTACTAAGGAATAAAGGGTAGAGACAAGCAGCAGACTTACTGTTAACAAGAAACCTAATTTTCTCAACATTTTGCGGGATTAAAAAACTAGTTTAAAAATATTATTAGCTTATTTTTATTCCTAGTAATCCTTTTAAATAAAACCTACATAATTCCTTTTCATAACTCAAAATAAATCCCTTTTTTCTCAGTGTTTTTTCACCAAAGCAATATGGGTTTGATTGGGTGTGCCGTTGGAATTTCTTGCGATTGACTTGGCCTGTCGTTTTATTGATTGATTTGCAGTGCCCACAGCGGAGCTGACAATCAACTTCCTTCCACCATCCTGGCTCCTCCAACGAAGCAACAGCTCCTGCCTTCTTCAAGTCGGGCCCACGCTGCGTATGCGTAATATTGTTATGCCACATCCTTGCACGCAGCGCCAGAGAAAGTTTGCACAAGAAATTCAAGCAATGATCAAGTGTACATTTTAATGAAGCTGGCACAAACATATAAATATGTATAAATACAGAAGAAGAAAAAACCCCATTGCATGCCAATTTTCGTAGTAAAATATATGAGAAATAATATGGGTCCGGGGAGGGTGAGAATCGTTGAAGGAAAGTTTTTTCATTAAAACTCTCGAAATGCGAGAAGACGCCCAGCTGGGCTAAGTGAGTGCAAAATGTTATTTTATTGTCAACAAGCCAAGTTGCCCAAAAAAGCACTCCGAAGACGACGACGGCGACGACGAAAGCCAGGAGGCGCCGGAGGAGTTGTCGTAGCTGATGTCAAAATTTATTTAATATGCAGCATAAACAAAGCAACAAGGACACGACACGCTCGTAAACTCATTTGCCTGCGAAAACAAGTGTTCCCCAGCAATTTTTTAATTCGACCTCCAGGACCTGTCCCCCTCTCTCCCTCCCTCTGTCTCTTATGAAAAATAAATATTTTTGTGCTTTATATACCCCAGACTTTGGCTTGGACAACCCGCAATAACAACTTTTTTCATTAATTTGCGAGTATCTCTCCTTGGAGTGGTGTCGTGGGGCGATTAGTCCCCTCGACAAAAGTCAATAAAAGTGTTGTTTTAACTTTTGGCACTTCTTCCTTGCCGTCGTAGTCGTCGTCGTCGTCTGGCTGTCATTATCCACTTGGGGCAGCATCTGGGGAAATTTTCATAATTTTCGGCGACAAAATTGAATTGATTAATAAAATATGAGGCGGCGGTGACAGGAAGAGAAAGTTTTGGGCAGAGATCAGGATAATAATTGGTTAGTATTTGCTTTTAATAGAAGGTTTACCAGCCTTTGAAATGGAAATAAAGATGCTACCATAAATATTTTGTAGATAAAAATATATTTCCTATATTAATTATTAAAATAAGCAAGTAACTAATAACAATTTAGGTTTATAATGAATATTTAAAATTTTTGTTGTTTTAAGTAGAAAAAATTCATTATTATAAAAATCTACCAATTCCCATTTCCTATTTAAACTTGTAAGCTATATATTTTTTAAACTTGTGATGTAAACTTTTGTTTTAATAATTGCCCAACTTTGTTTTGATTTAAGCTCATGGCAGCTCAACCATTAAAACTATCCTTTGCTGACACAGAGATAATTGGAGCTTGTTTTTTCCTCTCATTTTTTACGAAAACTTTTGTTATGACATCACTTTTTTTATTTTTTAATAATATTTCCGCGCAAAAGTTAAACACACTTAATATTTTCGCAGCTGCTGGGTATCCCATCAGCGTTTATGAAAACATTTCGCAGCTTCACAGCAGTGGTTAACATGCAAATTGCTATCTGTCTTGCCAACTGGTTAAAGATGGTTATTCCGGTGCTCATCTTAAATTCTGGCTACCCAAGAACCCATTATTCAGCCCAGACCCATCTCACTCCTGGCTAAAACCAAAGCTCTGGCAAAAGGAAAGCCAGGGAAAACAAGCAAAGTCATCCATATGCATCATGCATGTCGGTAATAGCATTTCCAAGCCAACGACAAGTTGCTTAAAAAATCATCAAAAAATTTCGCGTTAAGTGCTGGAGGTTTGTGGAGGATCCTCCTTCTTCTGTACCTCTTTCTCCTCTGCCACATCCGCATCCATATCCAGATTTGCAGCCAACATCCATATACTCATCCTCGTACACGTTCACATCTGTCATGCTCTTTGCAGCAGTTGCGGTTAGAGAAGTGCACGAAAAAAAGGAAAACTATTTTTAAAAAATTGAGGGGAAAATGGGAAAAGGGTCGAGAACGAAACTAAAACCACAGGGACTTCCACTGGCGAAAAATTCATCTTAAAGCTTGAACTCAATATGTGCATAACTTTCGCTTTCCGGTGACAGAGGCCCCCCTTTAGTGCTCCACCTTTGTCCCGGGCAATCTGTGACCCAAATCCCAAAGACCGTCGCCTTAAAGCCTAAAACAAACTGTGTCAGTTGGCAGCCCAGCCGCTCCTCCACAGCTATACTCCTCCACTTGACTTTTATGCCTTCCCCCCGTTCCGCACCCGCCATATCCTTTGCTGCTCGCATCAAAAAGCAAATATTGGCACTTGCCGCAATAACCAGGTAAGCTCAGGCTGAGTTCCCCTCTATCACCGGCTGGAAAATGGGTCATACTACACCTACACTTGGCCAAAGAGAAATAGCAGTGAATTCTCAGATTTAATGGGAATTTCAGTGAGGTTTAAACTAAGCCTAGGTTTTAAGAGCTCTTTAAGAGATGCCTTATATGATTTCTAACTCTTAGAAAAATACTCTTTAAATATCTTAAAATTTCTCTAGTTTTCCCTATTTTCTTGAACCCATTTGTTAACTGAAAAATCCATGGCTAGCATGCTGTTATAGTTTTACCCGACTAGAGGAAAATTAGAAGCAAACTTTAAGCCATTGTAATTGCGTCACAGATGCGGCGGCTTTAACCCTTCGATGGGATGAGATTGCCATGGGTTAAACTATATGGCATGGCTTTGCAATTGTAATGGGCTTTAAGTGAGGGAAGCGGGGCGTGGCTTGTCGCGCTTGAATTAACAAATTAATGCAAATGCTTTCGGAAAACACATTCGCCCGGGAAGAAGATGATGATGTCTCGACTTGTGCTTAATGCAATGAATATTTATGAGGCTGCTCTCCTTCGAATGTTTTTGCCAAGCCAAGCTGCTGCTTCCCATTTTTGCATCATCTTGTTGGCTGCATTTCGATTTCACGCCGTAATTTAATTGCAGCAGTGCAGGAGCAGGATAACAACATCCGTTTCCTGCCTGCCGCGACATCCCGTCAAGTGCGGCAATCGCATTAGAATGCGCAGCGGACCTGTCCTGTTCTGATGGATGATGGAGCTGGCAGCTGCTCCAGGCCCCCTTCAGTTGGACCCCGGACTCCGGACTCGAGACTCCGTCTAACACAATGCCCGCCTGCGGCACAACTCCTGCTTACTGCACTCATTTAATTGCATTATGCCGCAGGTTGTCGCATTGCCCTGAAAGTACCGAGCGGAGTCCTGGCAGCTCCACTCCAAAAGACACTGCATTATTTTTTGCATGTGAAAAACTGCATTTTCACCCAGAAGCATCAGCAGCTAGCTGGGTGTTTTTGTTATTTTTTAATAGCTGCTCCCTGTTTTTGCCCAGAGTTAATGAAGTCAACAAGCTGCGGCTGGAGGGAGCTTCGGGTCAAAGGTGGTTCAGGAACAAAACAATGAACATTTAACAGGCAGGCAATGCATGTCCTTTGTAAGCATGAGATGGGAAAAGTAATTCACTAGATGATGTTCAGCATTTTTTCCTTGCTTGTTTAACATTTTAGATATTTTCCAGAACATTTTCTGGGTATATTAAATAAAAGGTTTTTAGTTTATGCTTTGAAAATTAATTTTTAATTATTCTAGCTATCTAGTAATTATAAAAAATATAAATTAATACAAAAATGAAACTAAACTATATTACCAATAAACTGTAAAACTTTTATACATAAATGCCAATAGTTTCATTAAATAATTTGACGTTATAAAAGTAAAAAAATTAAAAATAATATTAAATTCTCCTTTTCATTTTATTTGTAAAAACTTCTCTGGAAATATTTAAATAAAGTTTGAGTTTTAAGAATTGAAAAATTAAAAAAATGAAGGACAAAAACTTAAGAACTATAGAATTAATTAAGTAAATTGGATTTTAAGTTTAGTTTAGTTTAGGAAATACAAAATCATAACCCTTTCTAGAAGTTATATGACAATGTATTATTAATATTTAAACCCTTTAAAATTCTTCAAAAGTTTACAAAGTCTCCTCTTCTTTAACACTCCTTAAATCTAAAACAATTGCACTTGCTTGGTTCGGGCAGCCGGAGCTCCAGGTCCAGTTCCTGGCAGCACTCGGATCTGCCATACCTGCGGCTCGCCGGATGACACTTGTCCAGCCAAGAGATGTACGCCTGGGGGCCAAACTTGCGGATACTGTTACGCAGATCGCGATGGGCAAAGGCGGCCGCCTCGTTGTTGCGATACTCTAAGATATAGGTGAATCGCTCGTGTTGGAGCTCGAAAACGCGCATCATGGTGAACGGCGAAAACTTCCGCATCTCGTGGTACAGCTGGACGGGACTGAAGGACTTCACACTTTCGAGGAGCAGCTCCCGGGCATTGAATGAATTATACACGCGAATGTTCAAGCGCCTCGTCTTAAATCTTTGTGGCAAACTAAAATTAATCAAAATTAATAAAATACTACTTTTTCAGGGAAAGATAACCCCAAATACTCACATTTGTATAGCCTTGGTCTTGATCTTCTCATCAATGTACTGGAGATAGGCAAAGCCGCGACTATCCCCACAAAAGTCGATCTTGTAGCGCAGGGCATAGATCTCGCCCAGGGCACTGACTATCTTTATAATCATCTCCGGCGAAATGTTTTTGGGTATGTCTCTAAGATAGATCTAAAAAAAAAAATAAAAACAAACTAAACCTCAACCCAATGGAAGGTTTTAACTTGGAAAACTCACCTCACCAGCTCCCAGCTCCAGTGAATCTCGCAAGTCCTTGGCCAGTTCCTGGCGTGTGGTAATATAAATGGTTCCATTCACTTGGCTTTTGTGGTACTTGCTATCAAAATCCATTTCCACCGAAGAAATAAATCGCAAGCAAGGGACGCGTGCGCAGAAAAGGTCCACTATTGGTGTGGCCAGACTATTGCTAAATTATCGATTTCAACCATGTTGATTATAGTGTTGTAAAACCCAAAAAGCATTTGAAATTGTGTAAAGTTTTCTTTTAGTACTTAATTTACCTCTGAGAAGTCTGTCTGAAAATATATAAAAGTGGTTTATATATTTTTATATATAAAAAAAATCGTGATAAAAATATATCTTTTTAGCTGTAATTTGTGAACTTTTGCTGTCCTGCGCGACTGTTGTATTCTATTTTTGCAAGGTATGTTTATGCTATTATGGCTTTCAGTTTGCTTTGCATGTCGGGGCATTTCTTTGCTTTTTGCTTTGTTCTGACATGCTGCGCGTGCTTTTTTCTAGCTCATGTTTAACAATATAAATTTATGCAGGCGCGCTTGCAACTTTTGCACAGCTCGTCGTCGTTTGCCACAAGCCGCAGCACCTAGTGTACGTATCGCTCTTGTTTTTGTCGTTGCGGTTTAACCCACCGGAGGCCGGGGCCCCATTCTCCGTTAACCCCCAAGTGGGCGTCAGGGGCCATCTTGATGGAGATGGAGGTGCTGCTGGTGGTGGGTGGTGGGAGGTTGCGGTGCACTCAAGTGCCTTCTGCCACCGCCGTCGCTGCTTCATTTTCCTAATTTATACGCGCGCTGTGCTAATGAAAATTTACGTGGCAACGCAACCGCACACTGAGCTGCTGCTGTTGCTAATGCACTAAAAGAAAATTAGTAAATAAATAATATTAAATTATTTAAAATGAGATCAAAAATCTATAAAGGATTATCTTAGAGTTTTTAAGGAAGACTGTTTTTAAAGACCACAAAGTTTCTCTAAATATTTTTCCCCCAACTTGTTTCTTATATCTTTTTAAATAAATGCAATATTTTTCCTTCGAGTGTTCTCCAGCTTCTTGTGCTTATTACCAGAGTTATGCCCCAACACTCGAGGCATCACCAAGATGTCCTGCAGCTCCACTTCCAGCCCCACCCCTTCTTCCAGTGCCAGACCACTCTCTTTTCTAATCTCTGGCAGCAGGCTCATTTTATTCACTTTGGCAATAAAATTTTATCCGTTTTTTCTAGAAAAATATATATGACTAAAAATGACTGAACCTAGCGAAGCATGGCTGGATTGGCACTTCAAAACACAGCTGCTCACCTACAAGGAGGAGGACTTCTCGGCGGCCTGTAATTCGGATCGCGTGATCATGACCAAATGGTTACAGGTGTTAAAGGCAGCGCCAGCCAGCCAGAAGATGGCCCGCAATAGTTTGATGCTACTCATGCACGGCCACATTGGAGACTTTGGCTTCCTAAGAGCCCCATTTACGGATGTCAATAATTGCTATAGAGATCTAAACCAGGTTATAAATGGCTATCATGGGATTTCACTACTTAAGCCGGTGAATAACGCCAGATTTATGGGTAACAACCAAGAGAAGAAGGGACCGCAACGCATTGCGGGTGGAAGAACTACCACTCGTTCCAGATCCCTGAAAGGGATCCCTAAACGCTTGAAACTGGATCCCATTACGGAGGTCACTGAACCTTCTAGCGCCTTTGCCAGCAGGGTTAATCTGCTTGAATGCGATTCCCCAAGGGTTCCTTTGGCGCCTGCAAGCACTAATGTCAGGCAGAAGGTTCAAGCCATCGAAAAGGAGTTGTCCATGAATAAGCCACCTCCAATGCAAGGCTGTTTCATGCGAAGCTGCCGTAATGACGCAAAGTTATTCTCCTCCATTGGAGATGCCAATCGGCTATCACAGAATCCTCATTTTCATAGAAGACAGGAGAGGCTTGACACTCCCAGTCCTGTAAGCAAGCTCACAGCTCCATTGCCAAATCAGTGCACTCATCAAAGCCACTGCAATGATACCGAAGAGGCCTCCCCTAATCAGGATCCCTATATTCAACAATGGAAGCCCCCTTGTGGCTGCTCTAGTGCTGTACAAAATGTGAAAAACTGTTTCCAGGAAATATCAGAGCTTTTAAAAAGTCCAGCCAAAAATGACACTCCTGTCTTGGAAAGTATCAGAGCCACGGCTCCACCACCTGAATCCCCTAAGGCTTTTCAAAAGATCAAGGCTCTCTCCTCGAAGACCCGACTCGAAGCCGGCCGGTCCATTCCAAATAGTTATCGTCGAGATAGAAGTATAATGGATTTGCTGAGGCGTCAGGAAGAGTTAAGACTGCAGTGCCTGGAGTATTACAACTTGGATGGCACTCTCAAAGATGACAAGGAACTGCCAGTACCAACATCCCTGCCAGATAGCAAAATCGATGGCTTCTCGATTGGCGCCACCAAAGCCTTGGAACGTATAAAATGCTGGCGCGGAAAGCCCTATCAGCTCAAGTTCTTTAGGACCATTTTCCGGGGATGTGGCCTCAAGTACGATGTTACGGGACGTGTAAAGTCTTTGGATCGTCGCCTCGAGCGGGTGGCTCTCCAATGGCTGCACAGCACAAGGCGTCGCAGCAATGTGCATCAAAATCCGCCAGAGAGTTTGATGGAGCTGCTCGAATATCAGAAGGCTATCAAAAAGGAGTACATGGCTCATCTGGCCGAGATCCGAAAACTATGTGAAATCCAGTGCCGGGGAGTCATTCCAAGCGATATCCTCAAGAAGATGTTCCGTTGTCTGGACAAGGAGTACGAATCGGCACAAGGAGGTGTAAAGAGATTGGATTGTCAGCTGGAGGACATGTTATCCAGCCCCTGCTAGGGTTTGTACTACTTGTAACAAAAATAAACACCGTTAGCCGCTGCTCATTAATTCATTTAAATGCCAACTAACGCTTTATTAAATTACAAACCGGCGAGCGTGTAAAAGGGATTCGGAAGAGAGCAGCTGGTGGCCGCCATGGGGCCCTAGCCGAGGATGACTACACAATAAACAAACAATCTACTCGTAAACAGCAGCCATTTTTTAATTATGCACTGTTTCCGCTGCAGCTTTACGACAAAACCGAAAGCTGAGCTGAGGTGAACCGAGCTGGCGACGGATAGACGACATGAATACCCTTTAAAAAATTACCAAATGATTCAAAAAGGTTTTTTTAATTAGAAGTATGACTGCTACTTTTATTTGTTCATTTTGAGGATTTTTTAATAAAATCTTTTGTACTTTATATTATTGTATTCAGTTTCTTCGATCTTAACTGAAATAAATAATTGTCAAACATTTTAAAATATATTTTTTTTTATAAAAAACATTTATTTGTTAAAAATAATTCATTTGAGCCCTTGTATTCATTTGGTTATTCTTTTTTTTCTATTGAATTAAATTGTGTGGCTAAATCTTATAACTTATATACCCTCATTATCCCCTACTTATCCAGGGTAGCAATTACAACACGAAATACAAGAAAAATGGCTGCCAGCTGCGACTATTTGCCATTTTGTAAGCAAGCTGGGAATTAGCAGCGAAACCAACTAGAGTAGACAAAAAAAAAAAAATGAAAAAATGCTATGGAAAAAGCAATGAAAAACTGTCGCTAAAAGCAGTTTTCCCAAGTACTTTCCATTGAGTTGACTGGGCGTGGTCAAGCGGAGTTGGTCCCTCTCCGAACTCCAACATCAGTGGAGGCGATGGTCAGTGAACTTGGAGCAACCCAAAGTCCGGCTTGCATACACATATAATTATAGAGCAGACATCTATATAGTCTATACAGTATATACATTCACATAGTTATAGGTAGGGCAAAAGTGATGGCTTCATCGGGTTCTTGGTTCGGGGTAGAATTTATGGTCTATATTCGGAAATTTGCATAGAACGCTTGTCTGAGTCTGCATTAATTAATTATTTATAGCTTGCGAATCAAGTCTCCCCCCTTCTTTGGCCTTGTTTGCTCAGTTGCAAAATTTACTCGCTGTGTCCTAGACTCTTCGAAAGGCTTTAAGCAAGACGTCACCGTCACCCGTTGGGGTCTTATCTAACAAAACTGATCGAAAAATATGGTTCTGATTACCCTCTCCTCCTCATAGAATAATATATTCCCGATTCCCAACCTCATGTGTATGAAAGGCACGCACACGTAATTATAATTTTTACAACGTCTAAATAAACGCAAATATTTTATGCGAACAGGCTAGTGTCGGGGAGTGCGGCTAGAGGGGCTTTGAGAAGTATATAGTATGGTATATAGTAGTACTGAGTCAGGTAGGGCGGTTGCTGCTACCTGTAATAATGAATGGCAGTCCAAAGAAGGTAGCGCGACATTCGCTGCCAGCCATTAATTGTAGGAAAACAAAGGGTATCAGTTGCCAGTTGATTAGGCCAGGGTTTTTGGCCAACTTGATGACGCAAAGGGAAATGGAGCTTTATGTGGATTGAGTTGGTTCAGAGAAAGGGAAAGGGGTGTGACTCTGTTGCTGTAAGAATTATGAACAATAGAGAATTGTAATTAGCTTTACTATATCATTATTATGATCATTTTGAATGTTTATTATAACTTTTCTTGTCTCGAATTCTGAGAATTCTTTGAGGATATATTTTAAAGATTCCTTAAGTAATAAGTTAATTAAAGGTAAGGTAATTCAATAAAAATTATTAAACATTTCTTTAAAATTATTTTACTGCCTTATTCAATAAAATCATTTATGATACTTAAACATATTTTGTATATATCTTTAATAAGTCTAAAATAAAGAAATAACTCATCTTTAATAACACAATAATTTTACCAAATTACTCACGACATTATTAACTTTTAATGATCGAATGATTTCTATTTTAATGGCCCACAGAGTATGCATTATTTCATCAATTTAAATCTTTTACGGCCCCGCCCGTCTTTATATTTATTCTTTCTCAACAATTTCAAATGGCATTAAGAATATAATTTATGCCGCTCAGCGCGCTCACAGGTCTAGCAATATTAATGATGGGCCCCAACTTCTCCGGCTCTCTCCCGGATTCTCCGCGATTCTCTTTGGGTCCGCACTGGAAAGGCTATAAATATGATTGACTCGCCGGACCGAAGGGGCAGTAAAAATTTTGAATTTCAGACGCCAAGTCGGCCCAGAAGAAGTCCTGGTGTAATCGAACAAGAGAGAGAGCCATGTTGGTCAAGGTCTTAATGGTGAGTAGAGGCGGAGGACGACGCTTGGATATATACTATGTATGCATCTGGATATCACAAACGTATCAATAATCCTGCCAGCTCGCATTGCTCGCGTCCTTGGGTGTCCAGGCGAAGCCCCAGCTGTTGGTCTCGGCGCCCGTGAGTTATGCCACCGCCGGAGTGGGTGGCGCTGCCTGGGTGGGACACGCCTCCGCCTACTATCCGGCGTATGCCAGCTATGGCTATCCGGCCTACGCGGCGTATGCGTATGCACCGGTTTATGGCGCATACGCCACGTATCCCTACTATCCATATCTCAGGCGATGAAGCTGGCATGCGTTTCTCCAACGGAAATGGAAATTTTACCGAGAACACAATATTCCATTAATCACGCTCGGTGTGCGTGAGTGTGCGTGTGTAGTTTGATTTAAGAAATTTAATTGTTCAGTGTTTTGTTTTATTGTTAAAACGCTTTTTTTGTATTTTGGGTAATCCTAAATCATAAATAAAGTCAAGCTAAGCTTGAAAAAGAATAATAAGAATGTATTTTAAAAGTATATTTTATACAAAAATAATTTGAAACTTAAATTCCTTCGAATTCAAACTTTATCAATAATTTAAAAATAGTTTTTATTTGATTTTAAACATTCTCTTCTGTTTTTCTTCTAGATTTCTTTTTGAACTTCCATTCAAATTCCTTTTTAAGAATGCCAATTTACCAATTGTTTGTTTACCATAAAAAAGAAAGCATATTATTATGCTATGCCTTCTCCCTTCTCCCCAAATCCAACAATTGTTTATTAAAAGTTCCCAGAAGAAGCCACTTGGAGCAGCTTCGAAGTTTCTCCTACCGAAATCGGAATAATGCAAATCCTGTATTTATTTTTGCCCAGCTTTTGCTTGTGTGTATGCTCAGAATAATCCTGTTCCTGTAATGTTTTATTTTCCCCTGCGCTCCTTATTCGATTTTGGCGCCTGAAATCAAAGCGGCAAAACACTTCTCGGCCGCATAAATACATAAAATGATAAACAAATCAATAAATGGCAAAAAGCATCATCTACCTTCAGCTGCCTGGGTTCTGTGGGATTTTCCATTTGGGGCTTTCCTTTTTCTGCTGCTCAAATTTGCTTACAGCTGCGCATATTTTCACTTGCACGTCTTCAGGCTGGGAATAGCAACAGGGGAGGAAGGAGGGGAGCTGGCGGCCCGAAGGACGAAGGATGTCTGTGAGTATCCTGGTAACCCGCTACTGATTTACCTTACGTGTATAAATCTTTTATTCATGTAATCCATTTGAAAAACACGTTTGCACATGATTGTGTGAGTTTCGTTTCGGAAAAAGAGGGAATCTCCACCGGCAGCATATGGGTGTGTGTGTGTGTGTTTGTGAGGTGTGAGTGTGTTCTTGATTTGAAAAATCGTCAAAATTATATAAAGTGAATACAAATTTCATTTGCTCGGTTTTTATTGCCTCGCCAGTTGCCAGACAAACACATTGGTTGCCAATCGTTACCAAGCGAAAGCCACAGTGCTGGCAATCAAAATAGTTGCTCTTTGCCTTTGACTCTGTCTATGATTTAACCAAGTGTAAATTAATTTGGGGTTATTTATTTGAAGAGCAGAAAATATATAGCATTTTAAGAAGTCAAAAAGGTAAAAATAAGAGTTATAATGTAAATAAACGCAGTGTAAAAGAGAGATATGTTGGAAAATAACGTAGTTCACTAACTAATGAATAACTTTTCATTTTAAAAAATTTTATTTATCTTTCTCTAATATATTTTTAAATATTTTAATATTTAGATTAATTTCCTTTTCCTAACATTAAATTTTTTATTTAGAACTCTCTTAAACTTTTTCCTCATTTATCAAACAGAATCCTTTCACTTTACCTTTCCTGCCTTCTCATCTCATATTTTGGCCTTACTTTTGACAACTTTTGGCCAACAAAAATAACAAAAAAAAAATAAAGAAAAAGCAGATGACAAAGCCCGATAGGAAGACGACAACAAGTAAGTAATATTCAACGCGGAAAGGCAAAAAGTTGACGGCGCTCAACGCCGTTTTATTGAATAAAAGGTCATTAAATTTGGACGCTATCTGTTGCGAGAACTTGTGAAAATGGAGCAGCCGGAGCGAGCATTTTCCCCGCCGTCTCCTCGGATTTTTACTAGCCTTTTCCGCTTAGGTAGCAAACTTTACAACTACTTGGCATTTACCACCTGAGAAGGGGGACGAAGGCGGGCGATGCCAAAGTTATGATAAGGAGCAGCAGGAGACCACACCAATGCCGGAGGGCCAGAGCTAGCGGCTCCTCCACGCGGGCCTTTCAACGCGCAGGACAAAGTCAAGCAGAAAACTTGACTGGAGGAGCCGCTGGCTGCCGGCAAGGACGAGGGGTAAAACGAGCAGGAAACGCGCTGAAAGGAAGCATATTTCATATAGAAAAGAAATCCTTTTAAATGGAAAGTTTAATCCCAGCCAAGGCAGGGAGCGCAAACTTGCTGCTAGGTGCCGATGTGGCAGAGGGAAATCGGTCCAAAAAAAAAAGAAAAACTAGGAAAAGGGGACTCTCCAGATGCCCGGCTTTCGATAAGAACTAAGCTGAACTGAACCGAGTGGAAAAAGCGGAGTACAAATTGCTCCCCAGCAAACGCTCAAAGCCAAAGGAGTTCATTTTGTTGCGGCAAATCGCAGAGCGGAGCTGGGAAGCAGCACCGTAAAGAAAACTGGTATTAAATATAAGTTATGCTCAGGCACTCTTCTTGGGGAAAATATATAAATATACTATGAATAAGCAACAGCTAGGGGAGTTTGATTAAATTACAAGATGGTTTTCTATTCAACCATAAAGAGTATTTAGCTTTAAGAATTTTAAAATCAAATCTTAATGAATTTGTAACCCATCAGGGGGACATCCTTCTTTATAATTTGAATATAAAGTAAGGAATCCCTGCTATTAGAATTACTTTCCAATGATCTAAGTTAAGTTTCTTGATGATCCACATTTTCCCCTTCATTTTCCCAGTGTCAACACTTCTCATAAAGAAAAGAAAATCACTTGCTTGATATGTACAATTCTTTATTTACACAGATTGGTCAAGATGGGATTGTGGGAAGATAAAGCCTGTTTACTTCTTCAGCAGAACGGGGGCAGCGGCGGCGGCAATGGGGGCAGTATAAGCTGCTGCCACCGGAGCGGCAATTGGGGCGGCCAACGGGGCGGCCAACGGGGCGGCTGCGTAACGTGCAATGGGGGCAGTGTATGCGGCAGCATAAGGAGCAGCGAACGGAGCAGTGTAGGCGGCGGTGTAAGCAGCAGGAGCAGCAATGGGAGCGGTATAAGCAGCAGCCACTGGAGCAGTGGCAGCGGTGGCAATGGGGGCGGTGTAAGCGGCGGCAGTGTAGGCAGCTGGGAAGGCGGCGCTGTGGGCCACGGTGTTGGCGGTGTAGCTAGAGGCATAAGGAGCAACATAAGCGGCACTGCCCACCACAGCCGGAGCAGTGTACGCCAGAGGAGCCACAATACCGGGCTTGGCAGCAGCCACAGCCACGACAGCGAAGAAGCAGACGGCGAACTGTGATGAGGGATTAATCTTGGTTAGTTACCCTTTTTTTTAAATAATGAAAACCCTTAAACACTTACGTATTTCATGTTGATTTTTGTTGGTTTTTTGTTTTGGGTAGCTGTGACTACTTGGAGCTGTGAGCTTGATTTGATATCGAGTTGACCAGGCTGGCCAATTTATATAGTGCCCAGTTGGGTATCCGGCGAAGGTCGCACTTGGCCATGCAACTGACATCGCTGGCAGCTCAAAGTCTTTGACTCCGTTCCAGTTTAGCCCGTCGAATCCGAAACCAAATCTTGGCACGTGCCAAAACCTAATTCGATTTGACTTTGTGGAGTAATTGAAATGCGCCAAACCCAGGCCACAAGGCGGAACAAAGGCCGTAAAGCAATTATGATCGCAAAATCCCTCAGGAGTGGGGGTGGGAACTCAAGTGGCGGAGAGTAAAATGGCTTACCTTAAATATTAAATAGTTGGAGTTTAACTTATATTAATATTATGATTACTTTTAAAATTAGTATTAGTATTATATTAACTCGATATTGTCAAATAAATTATTTCTGTTACTAGAATATTAAACAGTAACAAATTAATAATCAAATTCATAACATAATAAATTAGTTTGAGGTTTAAAGAATTATTTCCTAAAAGAAAACAAAAATGTTTCTTTACTTTTCTAATTATTTTCTTAGCCTCAAAAGTCTGCCTCTTAACTCTAATTGCTCTCAGCTGTTATGATTTAGTAAAGTTTATATTTTAAATAGCTTCTCTGAGCAATTTCGTAAACTTTGAGCCACCCCTGGCAACCTCTTTCACTGCCTCCCCCTATTCCTACACCTCTCAATACCCACATCGAGCCGCCTTTGTTCCCATGAATAATTTGTGGAAACCACTTAAAAGCAGCTCTCTGCCTCCTCCTCCTCCTTCCTCACAGTTTCCCAAATGTCGCTGGCATTTTCTAGACGAATTCAAAACAGAAATTTTTTAATAGACTTCATCTTGATGAGGGGCCCGGGATATGGTTAAGGATACGGATGCGGATACGAATACGGCTTAGGAGGAGGCAAGGCACTCGGCTGGGGGTGTCATGTGTGCCATTCGCTTTTTACGGCACTTAAACGACGCATTAACGCGTACGCACAGCTGCTGCCACGCCCCTCAAACCCACACGCCCATGTCCTACGACTGATGCAGACATAACCCCGGCCAAGTCAGAGGCAGTTGCGCCTTTATTACGGCAATAAACTCAACTTGGGGCAGGGACAGAGTAAGGGTCTGGGTCTGGGCGAAAAAAAAAAAAACAAGAAAAGTGGCGCAAATATTTCACGCAACTTGTTCAAAGTTCCTTGATGATACCCTTTAATGAGAAATAATTGAGGGGTTGTTGGTTACATTTTTAAAACTGGTTAGAAAATTAAAAAATTATTTGTGGAAAATTTTAAAAGCCTGCCCTTATAAGCGGATAATTATTGGAAGGCTTTGGTTTCCAGAGTATTTTTCCAATTTATTAGTTAAATTTTTATTAAAAAGATGTTTAGAATTTTTATTTCGCTAAAAAGGATACTCTATAGTCGAGTAACATCTGTCTAGCATTTCCTTTGCCTTCAAAGTCCTGGGTCCTGAGCTTTGTCCCCGTCAAACGGAGCGAATTTTTGTGCGCGGCTTTTTGTGGAAATTTCTTGCTTTTTAATTACTTGCTGGCACTCGTGGATACATCCACCCCTGCTCCAAGCAGCCTGCTGCCTGATCCCTACTCCCTGCATCCAGCTCCCTGGGGATTGCTCTTTGATATGCTCTCCCCACTCCATGGCCACTCGAGAGTTGCGGGCGCTGCACTTGAAATGGCCAAAGGAGGACTCACAGTTCAGGGAAGGGGAAGTGCCATCAAAGCTTTTAGGCGGATTAACCAATATAATAATTTCAGTAGCAAGTCCTCGCCACAAACTTGACAATGAAAGCAACATGGCGGCCAGGATGACGATGAGGATGAGGTGGCAGCAACACCCGCCCAAGTCAAGTGTCAAAACAAATATGTTTGCCGCCTGCGGTTGCCGGAGGAGCAGTTTTCAATTCGAGGCCAGCTCCCGGCTGCATGATTGTGCATTTAGTAGACGCCAGCAGGACCATCCACAAAAGGATCCCAAAGCGGCATAGAGATTGGAGAGCGGAGAGTGGAGCCAATAGGCTGGCTCGTATGCACAGGCACATGGCAAACACTTGAAGCTGTACAAAAGGATGCGAAGGAGGCGGCAGGATGCGCGCCAAATCCTTCGGCAGCAGCATCATCATCAACAGCACACAGAGGAACTGGCAACAATTTGATGCACAGGGAACTAGTTTTAGTTGTTTTCTTTTGCCTTTATTTTAATATTCTATTTAAATTAGAACAAAAATATTTCAAAAATTTTACATTTACTTTAAAGTTGGAATTCAACTTTGAGAATCAGACTTTCATGTGTTTTTGGATGCATTTTCTCTGCGCTTTTAAAAGGCAATATATTGAATTTTTCCCAGTGTTTCTCCACCTCAATCCCCAGAATTTACTACCCTCTCTAGGGAGTGCTTCTTCCCCTTCCTGTCCTGGCAAATTCATCCGTTTCCCCACCATTCGAATGCATTTCAGAATTCGCGTAATTGGCATTTTTAAGCAAAATTCACGCTTCAACACTTTTTCAAGTGTGAGACTGCCATTGCCGGGGAGTACCGAGTCCTGCCAAAGGAGTGTGGTAACTGTGTGTGCATCCTTAGGACGAGTGCGAAGTTACACACGCGGAAACCTGCACTCGATATTTCTAATTAGTGAGTTTTAAGCTCTTTGCCAGCAATTTGCGACATTTATTAATTAATTTCTGGCAGCAACGAGAAAAGCATTATTAGACTGTGATTAGCCGGCTTTATTCTGGGCCATTAAAATAGGCAGCCAACGTTAATTGAGCGGAATAAGCCGATGAAACGCTTTGGTTTACAAATATATATATATGAAATGACTCACACGACTTAAAGTTTAGCCTTTAGGTTTAACCCGCTGGCCCTAATAAATTTGTAAACGAATTGCAGCCGCCAAGGTCAGGGCCAACATCGAACACTCCGTACAGTCCGAGTAACGGACGCTCAGGCACGCACCAAAATAAGACATGGCCAGGTGTAGACCACTAAAATATATATAAAATAAAATGAAAAAGAATTGGAGATGGAGATGGCTGCGATCCGAGCCAAGAATTGCGCATGCGCAACGTCGATCGAATGTCGTTGACTTGGCAGCCATCGATGGCTGAACTACGCGGCGTGACCCGCATCGCTAATGCCGCTCGAAAAGTGTAAGTGGCTATAAAAGCCCCGGGCGGATCTTCGTTGGACATCACAACCCAATTGGCCATCCACCAAGTGACAATCCAAAAACCAAAACCTATCAACATGTTCAAATTCGTAAGTTACACAAAAGAATAGGTTTTTTAAAACATAAGTTTAAAAGATTTTGCCGAATTTAAAAATTTAATTCAATAAATTATTTTCTACATAAATTATTAAGATTTATAAAACTTTAAACATTCAAAAAACTTTAAATCTTATTTAATGAAAAGTATTCAACAAAATGAACCTCTTTAAGACTACGTGATCTGGAATAATCGTTTTTACTTAACCAATAAATTAACTTTTATTTTTTGCAGGCTGCTATCTTCTTCGCTGTTGTGGCTGTGGCTGCCGCCAAGCCCGGTATTGTGGCTCCTCTGGCCTACACCGCTCCAGCTGTGGTGGGCAGTGCCGCCTATGTGGCTCCCTATGCCTCCAGCTATACTGCCCACACCGTGGCCCACAGTGCTGCCTTCCCCGCTGCCTATACCGCTCCCATTGCCGCCGCTGCTTACACTGCTCCCATTGCTGCTCCTCTGGCCGCCGCTTATACCGCTCCCGTGACCCGCTTTGCCACACCCTACGCTGCTCCCTTTGCTGCTCCTTATGCCGCCGCCTACACCTCTCCCCTGGCCTACAGCTCGCCTTACCTGGCCCGCCCGTACGTCGCCGCCGCTGCTGCCCCTCTGCTGCTGAAGAAGTAAATCAACGAATTTTGAACCCTAAGGAAATATTGCCCCATGAGCTTGGCTCATGGCTTGGCTTTTATTTCTTTGTAAACCCAAGACTTGTGATGAATTAAACTTTGTAAGAATCAATTTGTATAGTTTTTTATTCTATTTAAGAAAGTTTATTTGGGGGATAAAAATTGGGGGGAAACCATGCAGAATAAAGTTGGAATAACGAGGCATATAGATAACTATATCCACAAGAGGGGTTTTCCGAAGAATTTATTGGAAGCTCTTTTGAGTTTATATAATTTCCATTCCTTTGCTTTTTTCTGAGATATATTCAAACCTATGGACTGGAAAATCTCTAAAAATTTCGGTGACAACTCCGGAATGGGTTTTTATGGATTAGCATGCAAAGCGTTGGTATTCGCATATTTAAATTGCTCCATTAGCGAGCTGCTGCTATTATTTTTTTTTTTTTGTGTTGTGCGACCATTTGCGCTAAGCGTTCAATTATTGCTACATGTCGAGGCTGCGGATTGGGGCTGCATATCAATGAGGATTGTGCGGTTGTGAACCTCTTTCATCTATGATGAAATTGTTGCGGCTCAAGCTGCAGGCTTCAATGAGTTCGGATATCCTTGCAAACGCCCCTTGAAAATCTACCCAAAATTACCGCAACAACCGCAAGCCACCAAAATATGGGTTAACACGAAGCGCCATTACCCCGAATCCCTTCCAGCTCACAGTTTACAGCACAGAGCTCCCCAGCTCAAGGCAAACAAACATCAGAGATGACATACCGGCTGGGAGCAGTAAATTAAAATTGACACCTGATGCTGACACAATTTGAGTGCTCCGACTCGGTCGGGTTTACTTGACTTGGCTGCCAAGTCCCGGCGCTAATGAGGCCTGAAACCAGAATGCGTCAACAGTTAAGGAGGCTCGGCTCGTCTCCTCCCAATGATAATGATTATAACGATAATGATGATGATGGTGATTTTGATGACATTCGAATAAGGTGCTCCATTTACCCAAAACCGAACCGAGCCACCCCTTCGTGTACTTAATCATTATTAAATGGCATATGAAGAGCCTCGGCTGAGCACTTTAGTGAAGAGATTTCGTGGGTGAGACTCAAGAGCAGCGTTTCAGTTAATGAATCCGGGTCAGGGGGATGCCGTGGGAAGTGATACGGAAAGCTGGCTCAAGATTGAAGCTATCAAGGAGAATTTTAGAATTTCATTTCTTCGCACTCATTTCGCTATAGAATATTTATAATAAGTATTTGTGGGTTGGACTTGAGGGGAAAGTGTGTTTTGATAAGTACAAGTGAAGGACGTTTCACAGAATAAATAATAAACAAGAGAAGAAAAGCTGATTTTGGGAAGCTAACTAAGCCAAAAAAGCATTAATTTCAATTCAGAAAGCGGCTCTGCATTAGTTATATAATAATTCAGAAAAAAAGGGTACCATAAGGATTTTATAAATTAAATAACTTAAAACCCCTTACCTTTTTTACCATATATCGATTTTATTTTCAGTTATGACCTGAGTTTTGGCCCAAAGTTAAAATGAAATTAAGTTAATAGTCTGGAATCTGTTAGCTGAAGGATCAGACTTAACTTTATATTGACCATGACCAATGTTTGAAACTAAAACTTATTCAATTATTGGTTTTCGGGGCGTCCTTTTCCCTTCTTCACCCCTCCAAAAAATAAAAGAAATCCCCCCAAATGAGGCAGAGAAAGGAAGGGCGAGCGAGAGTGAGGCCCGACGACTGTTTGACTTTATTGTTGACTTTGTTAAATGCGGCTAAATGGGCGTAAATGATCAGCAACAAAAACAACATTGCAGCAACAGGCGGAAGTCCTTTGCAAGTGTGTGTATTTTTGGCTGCCTGTATCTGTGTGTGTGTGTTTGGGGAGTGAGCAAACATAGAAGGGTTAAAAGTTTAAGCCGTGCGTGTTTCCGGGATTCCTGGGAACCGGGTTCTTGGCTCTGCTGGGAAAAACTTTCTGCATATGCTGGGATGCTAGAGCTGGAAGCTGAAAGCCGTCCGCCGGCAGATTACCGCAAATTTTGCGCTTGAATAATCGCCGGTGAAAAGGGGGTAACGGTAACTGCTTGCGTGCAAAAGGGACGGTGGGTGGCTTTGCAGGCGGTTGCGGAGATACCGGAAAGAGATGGCCATACAGCCAGCATCCACTTTCATTACAAAAACTGACAGCGCGTAAGAAACTTCTTGCGGTTGCTTTTGTACGTTAAACTCAGCGAAATGTAAACAGAATGCACAGAGAGAAAAGGTTTTTGAATGTACATAAATGTACATTTTAGGGTTTAAATTCGTTGATTTATTAATCTAATAAACCCAAGCACAAAATATCATTCCGAATCGATCTCAAATCCCTTGATAGAATAAAAAGGGTATAATAATATTCTTTAAATTTTGTTTAAAAACAATTTAATAATATCACCAACATTTGCATAGCAAACTTTGTTTTACTGTACGATCGAAAAAGGAAGAGAGAGAGTGAGACAGAGGAAGAAGCAACAACAAAGCGGAAATACCTCATTACAACAAAAAGTCGTTGGGATCTTCTTCTTCTTCATCGTTTGCTCCTTTTTTTTAAGGTTCTTCTTCCACCTCCGTTGCGTTGGAATTATGCGGCATTGTCTAAAAATGAGTTTTCGTTGCTTGTTGCTATTTTTACGTTTCATCGAACAAAAGCAAAGTACCTTGCCGGAACAGCAACAAGAACAACAACAGCAACGAGAACGAGAACAGTGAAAACACGAACAAAGAGCTGAAAGCTGGCAAACATAAAGCATTAAGCAAGCTTCGGCTGGAAAGGAGCTCAACGGGTGCAGGGGGAGGTAGAGAAAGCGAGGGGCAGGAGCAGCAGCGAAAAGAAAAGGACGGACAGACAGGCGAAGAGAAGACAAGCCGCAAAACACTCAGCTAAGGTAGCAGCCCAACGAACCATCACTACTGCATCACTGCACCTCACTCTCCTGCTTTCCCCTCACTCATTCCATGGCACTCTCCCAAGCTCAGCGCCATCCTTCTCCCACCCCCATGCACAGAGCTTTGCAGAGAGCATAATACGCACGCATTCGTGACGTGTAATGCAACGGCAGCTGGCAGGCGACAAAATGTGGCGAAAGCGAAATCAGTCATCGGTTAAAAGTGAGTTTAAATAGTATAAAAAATTTATTCAACCATTAAACTTATAAAGTAATATAAGCTGCTTAATTTTGAGACCTTCAATTTAAGAGGCTATATTTTTTATGTTTTAAATAAGCTTTAGCAATTTTATATCATTGATATAATATTTTCTTTTATTTTAAAAGCCTGCCAAAAAATAAAATTAACTTTAAATTGATTTATTTTTAACTATAATATTAATGAACTTTAAAATATTTTATTAATGTTTAATCGTCAAAAGATTTTTGTCGCCTGTATGAGGTTTTTTCCTGCTGGCTAAAGAAATGCAGCCGCCTTTGTAGTTATGTGCATGATGAAGAAGCGAGCTTCCTCCGGCCCTTAACCCCCGAATGCCATTTGCCGTGCCATTTCTTGCCCCTCAGTGCCTCGGTGCCTCAGAAATGCCGGGCTGCTGGCAGTCGTCGCATTAAGTGAAGCACGCGGCATGTTGGATCAAAATGAAGTGCTGACAACGCAATGCTTGCAATGTCCTGGCAGCCGCCGAATGTCAGGACAAGTGGGGTGGAGGAGGGGCGGGAAAAGAAGCAGTATCCCCAGCAGATGAGGTGTACCAGGTAAGCATCTTATGGCAGACCGCAGTCCTAAACAAAAGGATGCGATAGTAGAGTGAGGCTGTGAGTGGTATGTGGCAGGTCCTGCTTCCCGATGGCTGCTGCCACTTCAATGGCTCTCCGTCTCCATATCCTTTATCCCTCTTTCGGCTCCAACGGGCTGTTTAATTTACGCGCTGCTATTATTTTAATCTTTTGCGCTACACACAGCGTGAAATCACTTTCACCTGGCCCCGAGCACCGAGCTTTCCCGCTGGAAAGCTATAGCTTCGTTGAGGCTTCAGCATTTGGTCGGGGGTGGCCATCGCCCAGAGGCGTCTTCTGGGTCCAAAGCATTTAGCACCGTAAACAGGCACATATACACACACAGCAATGGCCGGACTAATAGCAGTCATAAATCTTGAAATTAATTTAATTTATCGGTGCGTATACTTAATATTAACTGGAAACTAAACAATGCAGGACTTGGCCATATATCAGGTTAGATTAGCATTTGTTTATTTGTCAATTAAAATAATTATCTTTATTAGTAGAGAATTAATTATATTAGTGAGATAATAATAGTAAAATCGGTTGTTGATTTATGTTTTTATTAGGAATATTTATCAATTTTTGAAAACATGTAGCTAATATTATGAAAATCCTTTTAATAATAATGGATTTTATTTATAAAATTGTTATAAGTCATTTAAATTATCTTAAAATATGTTATATTTTAGGAAATAACAATAAAAAATGGATTATCCGAATGCACATAAACACGGTTTTAGGCTGAATTTTCAACTCGTAAAACATAGCCTACTTTTTGGAGAAAGGTAATTCTCTCTTAATAATTTAATACTAATAAGGTTTATTTAAACGTTTAAACAGAATATATAAATATATATATCCAATAATGTTTGAAATTCTCACCTGCACTGTGCCGAGACACACCTTAACCTCCTACACCTCTAACACTTCGTCCGCGTAAGAGAGGGGTCTGAGACAACTCGGGGCGTGGCAGTGGGACAGAAGGACAAGGAACTGCCGGAAGCCACTGTCAGTTGGGTTGGCCTCAAGGTGCTGCAGGATGTGTTGTCGCTACCCATCCTTGGCATTTACCATTGCTTTTTATTGTTTTATGTGGCTGTCTTTTCCGGGAGTTTCCCCCACCAACTTCCTAACCACCCAACACCTGCTTGCCACTTCAAGGTGCGAAATGGAAGAGGTGCGCTGTTCCGTACATCATCGCTTGCTTTGTGCTCTCAGCACTGAAATCTTTTACAATCAACATGAAGGAGGAGCAAAGCAATTTTGTAGCCAAAAAAAAAAAAAGAAAAGACAGGCAGCTGAACGGAAGCGAAGCGGTGAGGAAAAGCGAAGCGAACATAATGCCTCAAATCATTTTCATTTCTTGCATGCGCCTGTCTGTACTGAGCTGACTCAAGATGAGGTCCTGGCTCCTCGGATCCTCCACGCGAACGACTGCCTCATTTACGCGTCTTCCACTCCCCTCTCCGACATCCTTGGCCGTTTGTGGGCGTTTTTACGGCTCCGGTACTCAAAGCGCTTAAGCTGGTAGGGAGCACTTCGCACTATGCCAGCACCAGCAGCCACCCTACCTAGTAGCTCTCTCGACATTACAATATTTTAAAAGATTTACTGACCATGTATTTTCAGCTCAGCCAGCAAAGTGCAAAAAGCTGTAAAATATTGCGTATACGCCAAAGTGCCACCTGAGAAGCGCTGCACAAAGTCAAATCTAACAAAGCATAGCTAAGCGTTTTGCCAAGACTTAAATGGGGTAAAACTAAAGGAGTTGAAATTAAAGTATTTTCAACCTCCCCCGAAGGTAAGCTACTACATTTGGGGCTTTTCCTTCAAAAGGATAATAAGGCAAGGCAAGGACTAAGTGAAGGAAAACAGGGTTTCTTTCTGCTTGTAAATATATATATTTTTTGAGTCAGAGTTTATATTTAAGATATTTTTATTTATATAATTTTTTCCATAAAATATATATTAATATTATTCTTAATTATTTAGTTTTATAAGAAAGCAAGCTTACCATCACTGCCAAATTTAGAACATTTATTTACCCAATACACAGTGAATATTTTAAGTTTTTGGTTGTCGGAGCAGCAGCCAAAGCTGCGTAAGTGCAAAAGTAAATAGAATTTTTAAGTAAATTGGGGCTGGCAACTTATTTGTTCGCAAAAACTAAGACCCAGCAGCGGTGCCAACACTTTTGTTCCAAACTTGGCCGACATAACTCACCCAAGCAGGCGGCCAAAGGGTGCATGTGCATGTGCATCCTTAGCAGCGTCGGGTGCCAATGCCAGATCCAGGAGCCACCACAGCACACACCACCAGCCGTGCAACAAATGGTGCACATTACAAGGGGCCCAAAGCTACTTTGCCAGCACCCAAGGAGCTGCCACGTAGAGCGACTCACATATTTTATTATCTGCACAAGGAGGCGGGAAAAGAAGAAGGGTGAATTTCCACAGGACGCCCCAGAACCAAGGACTCCAGACCGTGTGCAACAAGGCGCAGAACTTAAGCGGCGAAGACAAATTTTTATTGCCACAAGCCCAAGTCGATTTCGATTATTGACTGCAGGCCAAACTGTTGCACAAGGAGACAAGGATCCCCATGCTGGCTCCCAGTTCCACTTCCATTCTCAAACCTATCCTTTCCGGCTGCCAGCCTGTGTCTGTGGCTGCTGTCGCCGTCGCTCATTTGAGTCACATTTTATTATTTTCGTGCATTTATCGTATGCTCGGTGGCATTTTATTTTATTAGCGTGACATTTCAATTGATAGACCCTCGTGGCCCTGCTTAACCGACTCCCTTCGATTCTCTGGCCAAAATGTGCGCATGGGAGCTGCAATATTTGAGTGCTTGAATTGGTTGTTAGAAGCGTGATTTTATTTTGAGCTAAGGTTGTTTATTTAGGGAGAGTTATTAAGTGAAATAGGTAAATATATGCTGTTAAGTGTGGTTTTAATAATTAAATATATATTAAACAAATTTTTAGGCTATTTAGTGAACAAAATTTCCGGCAAAACTAATATTTAAAATATATTTTTAATCAAGCATAGGGAAGACGGACATGGATTATATCAGTACTAGTTATTTAATTTATATAATTTATTATAATACGAAAAAAATAATTAAATAATTCTTTTTACATTTTAAGAACCGATAACTTTCGCTATCGATTTATCATTTCGTAGAACTTTCCAACACTTTTATTCAAATAAGTATGTATACACAGGTAGTTTCGTTTTTTATGTCATTGCTTGATTTTTGTAGGCTTTTGGCTCCGTTCCCTAGATTTTTCATTTACGAATATACTTTCCACGCGGTAGTACACAATTAGAAAAGTTCAGAGTTTTCTAGTAAAATATAAAACCGGAAAAATAACCATTTTGATTAAAACAAAAACAAGAAAAAACAATATGGTATACACCGGCTATGAGCACTACATGCGCCAGCAGGCAGACGAAACTGGTAAAATTACAGCTGTAAGATTTCCCCGATATTATTGCTTTGATTTTGTGGTGTGGTTTGTGTTTTTTCCCAAACAGAATGGATGCCTTATGGCGAGTCCAACAACTGGGAGCAAAGTATGGCTGTTTATAGCGGCGAGGGTATAATGGCCGACGAGGAGGAGCACCTGGTTCCTTCTCTTAACACGCAGTTGAGCCTCATCGACTACGAATTGGGCATGAAGCACTTGCTTCAGCACACCTGGACCGTGTGGCACTGGGAGAACGATCGCTCCAAGGCCTGGAGCGACATGCTCAGCGATGTGACTAGCTTCAATACCGTTGAGGATTTCTTTAGGTTTGCCTGGATATAAACTTCTTCTGATAGTGGCTATATACTATTCCTTTTGTTTCTCAGTGTGTATTACTTCATCAAGCCGCCCTCGGACCTCAAGATATTCAATGACTATATGGTCTTCAAGCAGGGTATACGGTAAGTTAGCTTGACATTTCAGAGGCTCGATGATATATCTATGATTTCGTCCTAGTCCCATGTGGGAGGACGAGTACAACAAGGAGGGCGGCCGTTGGATTATGCTCTTGGACAAGGCCTCTAAGGCATTTAGTGATAAATTGTGGCACGATTTGGTGAGCAGATAAATAATTATTATTAATAATTAGTTAATGGCCTCCTTTATTAGCTGCTGTGCATTATTGGCGAATGCTTTGACTATTCCGACCAGATCTGTGGTGTGGTAATCAATGTTCGCAATAAGGCCAACAAGTTGTGTGAGTACAAACTACCCATTCCTCATTCTATACCATAGTTTCCATTAAAAATCTCCCCCTTTAAAGCCCTATGGACAAGGAATTCACGCAATGCCCAGGCTATCATGACCATTGGCAATCAGTTGAAGCAGTTCCTCCACCTGGGCGAAATGGAGATCCAGTACCAGGGCCACAAGGATGCCATGGTTCAGCACGGTCCCAATGTCAGTGCCTTGTACAGAATCTAAGATATATGTTAATATCTATATGATCTCCCGCGCTTGCCATCGTAAATGCCCAGTTCTTCGATAGAAATGTGCATCTACGATCCACGCTGGAGCGACTCACATCCTTATACTATATATAAACACATATTTTATCCACGCACAGATAGTGGTTTTAACATGAATAAAGCATTGCATACAAGAATACAAAAGTATATAGTCGGTGGCCACGTATTTTGCGGTGTCCTGGAGCGGCTAGCGGAGTCGCCTCACGTACTCCCTTCACCACGATTATCCTTGGCGTCATAATTTTGGGGGACACCCCAACGTACATACATACATAGCTGCCATGTCGCGGCGGCAAGTGCTTATGTCGTCCCCTTCTCGGGCTCAGGGCTTTTGTTTGCGCTGTTGCTGCGCATAGCAAATTGTGACCAATTTATGGAAATATGCTTAAGGACGACAAGTGTTGGACGTTTCAGATATATTTCTGCGGCATTTGGCTTCTTTTATGGTAGAAAGAATGGAGATATTTTAGTTGATAGTTTTTAAATAGGTTAAATAATGGATTTTATATAAAATTTTAATGTTATTTTAATACAAAAATATATTTTGTGATAAGCATGAAAATTAAGAAAACAAAATATATAAAGATAATGATATAAAATTAATACATATTTTTATTGTGTTTATTTCTCAAGCTCCAAGCTTCCTTAAGACTTTGGTATTTCCCCCCAAGTATTCCCTCCTATATTCCATGTAGATCTCATCCTGGTGACCGCCAGCACTGTCACACACATGAGGACTCGTATGATTTGATTGCTGTAATTTGTAAGGATTTTGCTTTTATTGTTTTATTGAATTATGAAGTGGCAGCCACCAAATGACTGAAACGTGATACACTCCACACACACACCGTGGGGGGTTATGGCAGTGCCAATGGAAGCGCATATCCCTAACATCCCGACAGACCCTCCGGGCGATGATACTATCCATCGAAGGCTCCTGCTCCTGGGAAGGAGGATTCCTTGGCGCAAATGAATGCGCATGCAGTTATTCTCGGTTCGTAACGTGAATTGATATGCCAACACGTACGCGGATTTGGGAGAGCAACGACGGAGACCCAGGTAACATGGGTTATGGCAAATAGTTTGCCTGGAGTTTAGCACTTAAAGAGCAATTTAATAACCGCCGTAAAAGGTCTTTTACGTTTGTAGGAAATAACAAAAGCCAGCAAAGGACCATTCGTCCTTTCTTTTTAGCAAAGGAAAAAGGCAAATAAGGATAACTGGACACAAACATAGGAAGCAGCTGGCAAAAGGGGAAGAGCAACTAATGCTGTAGTTGTTACCCTATATTAAATAAAATGCAAGCTTAATTGAAAAACGCTGACTTGGCTATATTTCCAGTGTGCCTTGGCTTTGTGCTCGTTCTCCTGTTGCCTACGAAGCGAGCGTAGCCTGTTGCAATTTTAATTAAACAAAAAGCGTTAAATGTTTGACCACCACCACTGGGTCCTGCTCTCTGTTTGCCCTCCATTGGTGGAGTCCTCCTCCCAATTGTCTTTGCCACGTAAATTTTCTTTGCCAACAAGCACGAAATTGTTTGTCTCTTTCCTCCCGGGTGTCCTGTGTCCGGGAGTCCAGATGGGGTCTCCCAGTGTCCCTTTTGGCGCTGCAAAACAAATTAATTGTCTGTTTTTGCACATAAACTTTTGTCGGTCGGTCTCCTGTTCCAGTTACCGTTTTATTTGGAGCTTCTCCAGGCTCCAGTCGGAGGTCCTGTGGCCGCGTCTTGCCAATTTTCAGCGCTCTGTTTGCTGCTCCCTCGAAAAGTGGGCGGTCCTTTTCCCCACTCAAATTTCACTTGGCCGTCGCTTAGCTCATTTGCTGCACATCAATTTTTTTGTGTGGGTTAGGGGGGATTCCGGGTTTCGTTTCCGTTTTTGTCATAATTCAAATGTAATTTTCCACCGCCACCCAAGGCAGCCCACGCACTTTTCAGCATTCCCCCGTCGCTCATAATTATTTTTTGATTAAAGATGCCATCCCCCCAACCGCCTTTCATTTTCCCTCCTGTCCGGCAGACATCTTGACGGTTTTTTTGGGTGGCTTTTCCTTTGTGCAACTATGGGAAATTCGGACAAGGGAGCTTTTCCTCTTGACTTGAAATTTGAATTTAATTTAAGTTGGAATATATTTTTGTAGGAAAATTAAGTGTGATTGATAAGGCGGCATCTTCAACCTTCCGGAAATAAACTCATTTCTCACAACCATTTTAGCCAATTTCAATCTTCCCTCAAAGCTTGAACAACTTCCAGATGAAGTTTCCTCAGGAAGTGGCAGCTTCAGTGATTTCAGTTTATTTATTGGCATTCGATACACAGAAAGTTGAACTGCAAAAGGACTGCAGAGCTGGCAATGCAATTAAAATAACGAAAAGTGGAAAACTCAATAAACACTTTTCGATTGCGCAGGGCAACAAATTAATAAGATTAACCGAGAGCAAATCTGTTTTCCACTTGCCGGGGCATATGACAAATTTTATCCAGCTGCTCTCTTCTCACTCCAATTAAAGGATATACTTTTGATTTGAGGCAGATTAAATTGAAACAATAATCCAGAGGGTTGCCGATTTGCATTTTAAAATAATGACTACATAAAAACTAGTTAAAAGTTGACAACAATGAAATGTCAAAAGCGCTCGGCAAAACTTTATGCTGCTCTGGAAACTTTTTGTGTCTTTTAATGCGACTCCTCCCCCGGTGGAGGTGGGTTTGGAGGGAGTCCAACTACCTTTTTGCCAAACCATTGCGCCAACCCACCCGACCCCGACACCGACTTCCCTCTCCGTTGTCGTCTTTTACCCCTTTTGTTTTGCCCGAACAATAACAGCAAATTTTTCTAAAATTTCATGTCGCCCTCGCCGCCTCCTGCCACGCCCACAACACAGAGCTAAGCCCAAGCCCAAGCCGAAGCTATTTGCAATTTAACTTTTTTCCCCGGCAGGAAGGAGCGGCAAGGAGCAAGTCAAAACAGGGACACGTAGCCCCAACTCGGCTTTAGTTTTTAGTTGGCTTTTATTAACTTTTGTCTCTCTGCTCCGCTCCCGTGTGTGTGTGTATGTTTTGTTTTCTTGTTTGTATTTCTGTGTTTTTAGCCTCGCTCAGACATTTCCACTTATTTTTTTGGGAATTAAAGTTGTACAATTACTGAGATTTGACACTAAGACGATGGCTGTGAGTAGGCGGATTCCCCTTACCTTAAACTGTTTGAGCAATTTGAAGTTTTCCTCGATTTTCAGAGGAGGAAGCACTTGAGGTGCACCCAGCTCATTGCTTCTGGTCAATTGAACTTGGCTGGCTTACTCTACATGCTCTTTCGACGCTTGGGTGTCATTCGGCGACTTGGCCATCCGTCTCGTTGATCCACTTGGTGCAGCTGGGAACGGCGGGAATGAACATGTGCGAGAAAAATGAAAAAAGAAACTCGCTAGTGATCAGATTGCTGTGCGCTGCATCGTCCAGTATGCTGAAGATTCCCCGGGCACGGATTTGCTGCTTCTTGATGGACAGCAGCTTGTCGCCACTGGTGTGCTCAGAAGCCGTCAGGTACACATTACGAATGACCTGATCGTAGAGGATCTAAGGTGGGAAAAGTTACACTAAAAAGTTACTTAAATCTAAAGTGTTCTTCCTCACCATTAACATAATGTCGGATATACTTATCCGCTGGTACTTCTCGCCGAGCGCCTCAGTGGCCATGAAAAAGCTCAATTTCAACCAGTAGGGCTGGGCATAGAGCTGGCACTCCTGGATTTTCATGAGGCGGTACAGCATGATTTGCGAGCCCATGGATCGCAGACAGACGGCTGGCCCGGCAGTCTTCCATTTGGGTACCAGAACCGCCCAGTCCGTCGACGAACCTTCTTCAGCGACCATTCCGTAGGCCAGCCATTGGCCCACAATGGGGGCATTGTAATAAGAGGGCAGAGGCACATTTACGGACTCAAAAACTAAAGCCAGGACGAATTCGAAGCTGATGCAGTGCTCACCGTTGCTGCCACGCTCGGTGGCCGCCAGTTTGTGGATGAAGGGCACGCTGTGACTGCAATGTACAATGTAGGTGAGATCGTAGATCACTCCATAGGCGCTAATGCTGCTCATCTCGTTCACGACTTCAGTGAGATCCTGCTGCAGCATCATATTCATGCGCTTGAAGCTCAAGGCATTCCCAAAGAAGAATGGATGCTCCGTGCGGAACCCGGTAACCTGAACCGTGCGGTGTTCTTCGTTGAAACTGCACATAACCGGAACCGGAATACGGACGGGCAGGAAGATTTCGAAGTTAAGCGGCATGTCAAGGAGGAGATGCTTCACGTAGGTGGCTGATTTTCAAAGGAGATGATGAAGCAGTGGAGCACGGAAGATCGCGGATGTTAAAGCTACCCACCGGTTGTGTGGAGTTTGTCCAAAAGGTGCTGGAAAATGGAGTCATTCAGGATCAGCTGATGCTGGATTGCGTCGGAGAGCAAGCGTGCAACAATGATGAAGTCCTTGTGCGTTTTGTTGTTCACAATTAGCTCCTGGGCGAGGTCTTGTATAAAGGTTACAAAGTTTACCATGGCCATGGTCACAAATTAATAAAAACAAAAAAAGAACCAATACGAAATCGTGTTAGGAAAAAAATCGCACTGACTGACAGCTTTTCAAGGAAAAGTGTTGGTTAACGCTGAATAGGAGGCGTTTACCGCTTGCACATTGGGCCAGCGAGCCGATATATCGACGAAAATTCAAATTTTTCATAGAAAGTAAACCTATTTAAATAATAAAATTTGAATAGTATATACTCTGACTAAAATGAATCAAAAGATTTTAATTGTTTTGATGCATCCCGGAAATTTTGGCAGCCCTTCAAAGTCAGCTCTTTGATTGCGTGCGTGCGAAACTCAAAAGCGAGAGAAAGATTTTGTTTACTTGCGAGCGTGACAAAATTGTTGTGGTTTAAGCAATTTTCACTAAATTTATGGAAAAGAAAGGCAAAGATATGTAGAATATTTGTATTAAAATAGACTTTGTTCATGTTTGATAATGTGCTCTTTGTGTGCGTTTATTTGTGTTGTCCAAAAGTAGAAAAAAGCTAACCTAGTAACCCATCTGTTGTAGACTATAACAAATTTTGTGCCAACTTGTGCCAAAAAGTAACTATGTGTCATTAAAGTTCAAAGTGTATATAAACTAATTTTATTAAGCTTTTTTGCATCTTTTTGCGTCTATATATATAAATCCGACATATCGTAACTGTGGTTGAGTTCGCCTATGAGCAATTGTTTGATGCCTATATAGAAAACAATCATAGAGCATCTGCCGTAACAAGTTGGATTTATGATGAACTGATAGAACTCGACTTAAGAACGGAGCAATAGTGATAGTGATTTAGATTCTTACTCTGAAAATCCGTTTTCAATAAAACTTGACGTAGAAGACGACTGTTAGGAGCATTTTAAAATGAAAAATACTTATTTATATTCATTTTGAATGCATTGTTATTTTTTACTTCTTAATATTAAGGTTAAGTGTTAAAAAAATGAATTTAAAACATTTGTTGAATTTAATTTATTTATTTCCGTACAAATATCAATAAGAGGAAACCTATCATATATGGGCGGCTAGGGAAGGCGTGGTCAGATCGGTCTGAAACTTAGATATGTTTCTATGTGAATCGACACTAATATATGTACCAAATTTGAAGAACCTAGCTTTAAAACTTTAATTTTCGTCGAACTATCGGCTCGCTGGCCCAATGTGGCTTGGATGAATTGATTTTATCGATAACGATGACATGAAAGGCTTGTATCGAGATATTAAATTTAAATAAATTTTAACAAATAAAAAAACAAGGGTAAGAATATTGTTTAAACCATTAATCTTTGTATTATTTTTTAAATCTCGTGAACGGGGTAAAAATATTTTGAAAAATACCAAAATTACCTACAATTAATTAATGTATTTAAGAAATATTTTAAATATTTTTATTTAATAATAATCTTAAGAAAATAAAACCCTTTTGAATCTCAATAATGACTAGCAGGATAAAGTAAACTATTTAAAATATATAAAAAAAACAAATGCTATCTTTAAATAAGACTTATTTTACTAAATTGATTATTTATAATATTTATACTTCTATTGGCATATTACAGAAATCAATCTGAACGATCAACAACTTTCCGCCTCATCATGGAAGCTGCGCTGTGAATGAAGCGCGAATGGGATCCAATTTACTACGACTTTTACTACGCTCCTGTTGATGCTGCCTCCGAGGACTCCGCTTCGGACTCGGCTGCGGATCCTGCGCACTGCACCCAGCATCCACCAGCCAGCCAGGTGGCAAGGATGTGGAAGGGAGAGGAGATGTGGCGACTATGGCAACCTGCATCTGCACGAAAATCCTGCGGGCCAGCGCAATCCGGATTCAGTTGCTGTTCGACGTTGCTCGCGTGCGGTTGTTGTCTGCTCCTTTTCCACGGGAAAACGAGTTAGTGAGCGCCAGGCCAGGCCAGAACAGTTGGTGGAAGCGAGACGCCGAGTGGAGCGAGTGAGCGAAAGCGAGAGACCTGTTATCAGTGCGCTTTTCTTTAGGAAAAACTCGGAGAGCGCGCCGTCGCAGTTGTTGTCGTTGTCGTTGTCGTTGTCAGTGTCGCGAGTGCAACGCAACTCGCGTTGCAACAGCAGAGAGGCGGCAAACGTGCGTGCCGTGTAAATAACACGGATATATATAACATAACCCCATTATATACAGTGCCCGCCATCAGTGTATGCGTGTCGGAGAGTGCAACGTGAGCCAAGCCGGCCGCCAAGACGAAAGGAAAAAAAAAAAGAAAAACCGCCGGAAAAGTCGCGCCTGATAATAATGTTGTGTGTCTAATGAAAGGTGCTTATTCAATCTCCTTCCCCAAAAAAAATCCTGTATCCAGACCTACACCCTCCTCCTAACTATCCGCATTGCATGCGCGAAAATTGAAAATAAATTGAATTGCAAGTTGCAACAACGTGCTAAAAATCAGAGAGAAACAACACACCGGCAACAACCTGATTTTTAGCTATATATTTTTTCGGGTTGAGACGTTCCCACGTACACAAAGTGGAAAAGTGCCTTTCCTCGTGAGAGAAAATTGCATGCAAATTTGTTTTAGCTGCTGATGGCTTGACGGGCAGGAGGATAAGTGTGTTTTATCAAGCATTCAATTGCTTTATTTCGGTTTATTTATTTTTTAAGAGGGTTTAATTTGGAAATGGGGAGGGTTAAAAACAGTGTCGATTGTGATTTAAAAATGTGAGTGTTAGGGAGTGGAATTTATTAGTATTAATTTAATGATGAAATTAGTTCATTATTTAATTTTAAAATATTTTTTTGAGGTGATTAATTTAAGTTGTTTAAAAAACCATACAATTTCTTTGTGCAGGTTTGATTAAAGACTCTTGGAAATTTCTTATTATTTAGTGGTAAATTTTGGATTTTGAATGTAAAATAAATTGCTTTTAAAACATAATTTAAAAGTTAAAATTATGTTTTTCATTGATTTTTTATATCTTTTAATATCAAACACCGGTTTTTTATCACTACAAATATTTTAAAAATGATTTTTATTCTGTTTTTCCTTTTTTGTATCGATTATTATTATATCTATTTATTTTTTAATTATTTAAGATTTTCTTAGTTTTTTTTTAATAAAACTCCCTGTGTGCTTTTGTGTAAATATTTTAATGAGAAATTCCTTAAAAGAAATAATAGAAATATCTGCACACTGTGATTCCTCGAATGAAGTCCTCCATTTGGCCTTAGACCTTTTCTTGGCCTTTGCGGGAGTTCCCTCGCCCGCCGCTCGCCCTCACCTGGCCTCATCAATAAGGCATAATGCAATCCTGTTTCCTGACTACCTTTGAGCTGACTTGAGTGCCCGGCACCGGCTGCAGCTCCCTTGGACTCGTTTCCAGTTCCATTCAACCCCTTTTGACAAGCCGAAGACACGTTTAGAAATGCTTTCACGTAGCTGCCTCCGTCCTGCGTCTTCCTCCACTTCCTGGCAACTTCTGGTTCGCTGCTGCCGGCACTCTCGAGCTTTCTGCTAATTGCCGCTTAATTGTTTGACATTTTTCCCCGTATTGTGTTGAGGGCAAATGGCATTTATTTATATATTTCTTTTGTGTCGGGCGCGTACCAGAGTCCTTCTTGTGGCTCCTTGTGCTCTCATTTCGTTTCGTTTCTGTGTGCAAGCAATTAGCCATCCTGCGTGCGTTCTCCGCTCTATATATATGTGGTACATGTGGATATATATGGTATACCGGCCGGCTAATGCAGTGAGAGAAGAAGGTGGGGGGCGGCCCTATTGATTTTATGAACGAACGAAGAGTGCAGGAGAGGCTGCTGCAACTATTTTGGACATCGCGGCGCGCCATGACAAACTATAAATCTGTCTGTGCATATGCCGGCATCCTCGGAGCACTATATACTCGGGATACTCACGCTCCACGAATATACACACACGATATATTTCGGTATATATCTGGCTTATAGTGCGCTTGTTGTTCCTGTAGCTGCTGCTGCTGCTGCTGCTGCACACACAAAATTTATCGATTGCCGCATACACACGCAGCACACACACACATGGCATGTCGCATGTGTTGCAGCTTCTGCTGCTGCTGCTGCTGATGTGTAGTAAAAATCGGTCGTATTTCATGCGTTTCACAGAACCGGAAGTGACCACCATACACATGCACATGCACGTGCTTCGTAGTAGTTGTAGTAGTTGTAGTAATAGTAGTTCGTTGCCGGCATCCATCCACTTTTGGTTTATTTAAATTTTCGGTTCGGCTCGCTCTTGGTCTCCTCTCTCTCTCTTACTCATCTCTCTCTTATGTATTTTTGGTCAGTTATGGTTACTACGGGGCATTGCAACAGCTGCCCCTAGTGCGTATACGCAATTTTTGAATTGCCACAGCCAGGCTGCCACGGTGCGTATGCGCAATCTGCAAAAATATGAAGTTACCAGCGCTGACATTAATTAGTAGAAGCAGGAACAGGAACAAGTTTCACTTTTTCAACCCCAACCCCAGCAACTGATCCATCATTTTCCACAAAAGTCACGTACGAACGGCGGCCCTCGAGAAGGAAACTTTCCTTCCTGCTAGCCACTTTAACCCAGAGAAAAAAGGGGTGTGTGTGTGTGTGCGTTAAAGTTTTTCCCTTTTGTAACAAATTAAGAAATCACTTTCCCCGCAGGCTTAGGCAAGGGAAATTGAGACGGGAAAAATGTTTGAGAAATGATATTATATATTTCTGTTTGTGCATATATTTTATTCATGCTGAAGTGACGTCTGCCTAACTCGCTTTATGTTTATTTATGCCGGCAAACATGGCTGTGATTGGCGTGTGACATTTTAAGCGCGGAGCTGGCATTTCGAAATTATTACCCATGATTGATGTATAACGTTGGCGTTGCCGGAATGGAGAATAGCGGGCAATCTCATCCAAAAGTTCCCGTCGGGACACGCAAACTCGAGGGCCTGGAAAGGTCGATGTTGAATTGATTGGCAGCCAATACAGCGGCAGGGCTATGATAAAAATATAATTAAAAAAATAAGAACTTTTCCACTTGAATATATATATGTATATGGCATTTTTTTTTCCCCAAAATATATAGCTCTTTAGTCTTCCTTAGGGTTTTCCTTTTTTTCTTTTCCAATTTGCATTTCTTTGGTCTCCGCCTCATTATTTCGGTTTTCGAAAATAACTTCAACTACTCGTGCAGAGCTTTTCCTGGTTATTTTTTCCATTTGGTACATATTTTACTTAACCCAATATTCGGCTCGTTAGCCAGGAGGAAACAAAGGACCAGTAAGGCGTACCATAGTAACAGGCAAGGAAAAATCACTGAGCAACCAACGACTATGGCAACAACAATAACAGGCAGGATGCAGGGAGAGAAATATATGGGAGAAAACGGTTTTCTGGCTTTCCTTGTGACAATTGGTATTTATTTTAGATTTTATTTAGTTAGTTTTTAATATTATTCCAAAATATAAAATCAATTCCTTTAAGAATCCTTTATAATTTGTCATATGTTTTTTTTCATTGCACATTTAATTCTAATTTTATTCTTATTTTTTCTCCTCCAGTTTTATATAAATTTTAAAATATTTTATAAAGAAAACTCTATCTTAGAGCCAGAAATATAACAACATTTTCGCATTTAGAACTCAAAAATAACTTTTAATAATTCTATACTGTTTTAGAATGAGTTCTAATTGGTTTTTCTTAATTTAAAAATATTAGAAATATATTAATATTTATTGCCTACCATAATTCTTCTTAAATACAATTTTCTTACCCCAATTTCCTTAAGTTTTCCCTCTGTGCATCAACCGAAACGTGTTGGCATCAGCTGCTATGTGGAAAAAGTTTATGACTTTAGACCCATTTTGTGTACATCCCCCACCATTGCCCCTTTGGGCTACACCGTCGGTGAACTCAATTTTTTTTTTTTTTTGCACTGAATCACAGCAACGTGGACTTACCTTGGGCCCAGCTGGAGAGGCTGGAAAAGCGCCTGCTTTCCCTCCAGTTTCCTCCTGCAACTCGGCTGCTGTTTTTAAATGATTTTTATGTGCACTTCAGTGCAAGAGGGCAGAGCCGGAGCCTCTTTCCCCATCTGGGGAGGGGGAGGGGGTCATGAAGTATATATGCATATAATTTCTTGCACAATTTTGTAGCCTGGCTTTTCATTTCACAGTTTGTTATGCATTCCGCCGGGCTCTGTGTTCTCCGTTCTCCTTTCTCCGGGCTTCTCTCATCTTGTTTGTTTGTTGCTTCATGCCTTTGCTTTATTGATTTTCTACTCTTTTTCTGCTGCTGTTGTTGTTCTTGTTTTTTTGGTTTCACTTCTATTTCCATTCCGCCATTTTTTTGTGTGTGTGTCTGCTTCTACTGTTCTTCTTGTGCTGTTTCTCTATTTGTTTGTTTGTTTGCCTGTGTTTGTTTGCGGCCAGCCGGTCGGCCAGTGTTACAATGCAACAGACGACAGGCCGGCTGGCCATTACAATTCCAGGCCGTTGTCCAGTGTCCACTGTCCTCGGTTCTGGGTCCTCTGTCCCCACTATTCTCTCTGTTCTCCTGACCACTGGTTTTTCCATGGCTTTTCCCTCTGACTACTCTGGCGACCCTTTTGTTTTGCCAGCCGAGATTCCCATGCAGCCTGTGCCTAGGCCCTTTGCATTCTATTGATTTTTTCGTGCAGCCGCCGCCAGAGACGCCGTAAAAAGTCATTAGCGAAAACGGGGGGGCTATCCAGAGGGGGTTCCCATCCTGGCCTCCCCAGGCTCACTGCTTTCCACCGACCCCAACCGTCGTCGAGTGCATAATGGCACAATTTAAATACGGCTGCGGAGCGGAGCAGAGCGGATCTGCCATGTGAATGAACCGTGAACTATGACCGGCTGTGGCAGCTTCTGCTGCTGGTCTGCTCTCTGCTTAGTGCTTAAGGTGCTAGGACTGGCTTTTATAAACCAGATATGGAGAGCAGGGATTGCAGTTAGGTATATGCATTTTTACTGTAAAATAAAGGGATATATTTTTTAAGGATTTCCTTTTTATATGTTAATGGTGAAAGCATTTAATTTAACAATAAAACAGTTTAAAGAGCTTAAACTTTATTTTGTGGCTAAATTTTATTTGGATTGTCCTGAGAAATTAGATCTCTAAGTTAAGTGTTACATAAAAATCTAACCTACTTAAGTCCTCCACCTAGTACTAACATAAATATGTTCATCCCTCACTGGTCACAGACTGTTTTAGCAGGTCGCACATGTTTTCTATTTACCCACGCAAAACAATAAGCTAAAAGCCATTTGATTTTGATTTATTGACGCATGTACTCCCACAAGGGGGACTAGGAAGGGGGGAAAAGAACTGGGCTGGGGGCATGCAACAAGCGAAGCAGACTTCCAGACATGATAGAAATCGATGGCATAATGATTATCTATTAAAATAAATCACGTATTTGGCAGACGATGGCTGCCATACGGTGGCAAACAGACTGGACCCGAAGAGTCCCCCGTAACCGGCCAAGCGTTGAAGTCTATAAATTGCACTTGTCTTGGCCTTTTCCCCCCTCCTAGAGCACTACGCACACATGGAGGAGCTGTGGGACAGAGCCAGCCCTTAATGCATTTCGCCGGCACAAATTGTCACAGACAGAGCCGAGCCGAGGCAAAGCCTGAGCAGACAACGTAAAGTGTAATATAAATAAATCGAAGCTGACTTCAAGTGTTTAAGCCGTTGGCAAAGGCAGAGGCAGCGCAGGGTGGCAAGTTCAAAGGGAAGGCGATGAAACCGGAGGAGAAGCCGCTTACAAAGGCAGCCAGGCAGGCTGGCAGTCTAGCTGGGCTGGCTCGCAGCAGTATTCCCACTTTGATGCAATCATGTCTCCTTTTTGATTGCGTCGCAGACACAGTTTGCTCAGGCATTAGAGTTCCATTTAAATGTATAATAGAAGGAGAGATTCTTTAAGGGAATTTTTTTGGGGGAATTTTTACTACAAATCTAAGCAGTTTTTCGCTGAATTTTATTACAAATCTAACCAGTTTTTTTCATGAATTAACCTTTGGTAAATATCTAGAGATATTTAATTCAAAAATAAAGTTAATAAAAGTAAATGTTATATTTTAGTTTTGCGTTTTTTAAGGAATTATAGTAATCTGCAATAAAAAAATTAAATTTTGGGAGGTTTATTATAAGAAATCAAAGAAAATATTGTAGCTGAATATTTAGGATGACATATTTTATATTTTTCAATTAATACCAAATTATATTTAATGCTCAACATATTTTATATATTATATATTAAATATTTTTTACCTGAATATATTTCTACAGGGTATCATATTTTATTGCTTTCTAGCGGAATTTTTAAAAATTATAATTATATTATAAAATTAATACGAATTTTAGCATGTTACATATTATGTTCAATGCTCAACATATTTTATATTTATTTAATATTTGTTAGCTTAATATTTTACCGATTGACATACTTTTTTAATTATCTGGAAGCATATTTTAATAATGTATTTTACACAGTTTTCTGTTAATATTTGTAGTAATTGTTGTAATTGCATTTCCTAGCTGCTCCCCCAAAAGCTGCTTAGGCTTGCAATTTTGATTTTTTGCTGCCGCACTTTAAACTAATTGCCAGCAATTTAGCAAACGTTGGCAGTGCAATGCGGCGTATGCGTAATATTTATGTCCCTCTCATCCTCCTCCTCTCATTGCTCTCTCATCTCCCTGGCCCCGTGCTGGTGTGTGTGTGTGGCTTTCTCCTTTTGTTTGCCTGTGTGTTGGTATGCCCAGTGTGCACATTTGCCGCATAATTGCCAAGTCATGATTTTTTACACACCAAGAAGAGAAGAGAAGCAAACGAAATACAACAAGTAACGAAGGAAATAAACGAAGCATTTTCAGCCACATTTCCAGCAGCAGCACTGGTCCTGCTCCTGCTCCTACTCCTGCTCCTGGTCCTGGTCCTGGTCCGCATCCATCCATTCTCCGACGTCTGCCATTGTCTGTTCCAGCAGTTTGCCGATGATATTCGCACTGGGCATAATTTCCATGTTGCTTAAGCGGCATTTTGTTGTTACTGCTGCTGTGTTGCTCCCCATTCTCCGCCGCACTTTATTCTCTTTACTTTCTTTACTTTTTTTTTTGTGTCGTCTTCCCCTCCTCTGTCATTCCCTTTCCGGCTCTCTGCTTTATCGTTATTGACAGTTTTATACGTCTCTTTTTTTTATCTCCTTCGTATCAAGTTGCCGGTTCCTGTCCCTTTTGCATAGTTTCAAGTTTCGGCAAATATCGTTTGGTTCGTGCCGCAGTTTTGCTCGCTTTTCTTTATTTTCTTCGTACCTAGTAGGTCGTAAAATGCAGGGGTATATTGGTTTCAGGATAAAGTATGGCCAAAGAATATAGTTAACTTTTCTTATCTACATAGGAAAAAGGAAATTGCGAGACGTCGAAAAGGTACAGAGATAATAATAACCACAGTTTATAGGTTACATGTAAAGTTATAGTTGTTTTTAAAGATATTTTCTAACTAATCGATTTTTATCGATACATTAATTATTTGTATCTAAACTCTTCAACATTCCTGTAAGTTGATCATATCATATAGAAAGTAGTCCTTTTAAAGATTAATGACATTTTCTGTAAACATTATAGATCATATTGGCACTTGCCCCCTTTTTTTTACTTTTCTTTACATTATCCAACCATAATAAGATATAAAAAGTCATTAGGTATTCCGCTCACCAGTAAAAATAACGACTCCAGGGTATCACAAAGCCTTCTTTAGTTATTCTTCTTGTTATATTTTTTTTCTTGCTCCCATTTTTTTTTACAATGTCCAGAAGTTTACCTTGGGGAGTCGTCTGGCTTTTGGGAGATCCTGTCATGGCTGGCCACAGGCAAAGTTAATGTAATGCCATCCGGGGCAATACAATGGGTTTCGGTGTGAGGCGGGACAGGACACACACATAGAAGGACTCCCAAACACACTCACTCGCACGCGTGTTTTAGCATATTTTTGTCATATTTTGCATTCACGAGATACTAGCACCCAGATACTCGCTCGGATACTCAGATACTCTCGTACTCAGGCGCTGCTGGGCTTCAGTTTCAGCTGCAACAGCCACAGCAGCCTCAACTTCAGATGAGGATGTCAGCACTTCAGTGGCAACTTATGGCGCTCCAATTTCGCGCTGATGCATAATTTTTTCGCCTTCATCTTCTCGCATAAAAATGCGCTCAAAGGGGCGCAAAAGCCGAAACCCGGAAAAAGGGGGAAAAACTATAGGGAGCACAGCCTGCAGCAGCTCTATTTGGGGGGAGATTTTATTTTTGCACCAGAAAAAAAAGGGAGGCAAGTAGATTAAAAGTTTTTAATTGAGTTTTAGTGTTTATATTATAATATTTAAAATTGATTTTAATTATATAAAGAGAAAAGTATACAGTCTCCTTTATAGATAGGCTTTAAAAATAGTTTTTGTAGTGCTTACAAATATACTTAAAATTGTTTAAAATTTAATAGGTTTTAAAATACCCTTCTCAATATAAAATCTAATAGTAATATATTTATCTTATCTTTTCTTTTTAGTTTCTTAAACTTCACTTCCCCTAATTAATAGCTTAAACTCCCAACTATTTTTGTTATATTTTTTTTTCCTAGTGTCACTGGTTCTGTTGTTTCGGTTCTGGGGTTCTCCGCCAACCAAGTGGTTCAGCTGGTATGCTGGATGGGTGTGCGCTTTGTGGCGCTGACTTGACATGATTAATATCCTCGCTGACATGCGGATCGCAGTTGACTGACTGACTGTCGTCAAGTGAAATCAAAAGCAAAGGCTGGGCAAACCCAGAGCAGCTTTAAAATATATATTTGCATGAAAAGGAGGTCTCCCTCTTAGCACAAAGCATGCCAAAGTTCAGGGAACTCGCAAAAAATACATACCTATACATTCATACATATAAAATCTGCAATATTTTATTTGTTTTTTAGGCAAGGCACGACGAGCATTAAAATCCCTGGCCGCATAAATCTCTGGCATCGCATTCGAAATTCTAATTTCCGTGGCGCGTAATACGGAAAATAAACAAACAGAACAAGAGCAAAAACAAAAGCATCAGCACCAGCACCGGCAGCAATAATAACAACAAAGTTGAGCCCGAAACCATTAACATTTTGCAGCTTCAATCACAGCAGCAGCGAGGAAGAAATTAAATAACTGAAACAAACAGGATAAAAGGGGGCAGAGGCAGCGGCAAAGGCAAACACAAACACAAACAAAAACGCTAAACAAAAAGGAAAAACGACGGTAGTAATAACAAACAAATCAAGCGAAATTCGGCATTTAAAATCCAGACATAAAAAATGTAATGGAAAGCATTAGTGCTCATAAAAAATGGATTTACACAGCCTTTTTAAGGCCATCCTGATCCTGTATGTCATACGAGGTGAGTATAGCCTAGAAAGTGGAGGACTTCTACATGTATTTTTCGTCGAAAAAACATTTGGGTATTTTCACATTCTAGTTAACTAATGGAATTTGTTTTGAGTGGGAAAAATATAGTAAATAAAATTATTTGATTATATATAAAATTAGAATTAAAGCTATTAAAATAAAATTCTACCCTAAAGCCCTTTAATTTGTTTCCAAAGGTATCAAATATTTTTAACACAATTTTAGAAAGCTTAAAGATCACCGAAAAAATCGATATTTCCTTTAATTAAATCCCATTCCATTACCCAAAAAAAGTATATTAAGCAACATTCCCATTAATTCCTAATCGACAGCATTGATCCAAATCGAATTGAATGGCACTTGCTAATGGAAGGCCACATTACCAGCGACCTCTCACTCTTCACCGCCTTCGGAAGTATGCAATTAAATTTGCAACATAAGACCAAAGAACAAGGGGGTTTCTCTTTCTCTCTCTCTAAGAGGTATGGGAAACGGTGGAAAACTCGGGGAAATTGAAAAGCGAAAAGCATTTCAATTAACGCAACCCCATGCACATACTACATGCTCGTACATACATATATCGCTGTTAATGAGCGACGACCGCCGACTCAACTTTCGCGAGTAGACAAAAGGCGGGCGAAGTTGCGCGAGTCCTGCGGAGTTTGTGCCATAAAACTGAATTATTGAAAGGCACACGTTTCACTTTTGTTTTTGTTTTTCTGTTTGTGTTGCCTTGCGTGGCGCTGCGATTTGCATGGCGTTCAAAGAAACGGAGTCAACATCGCACAAAACTTTGCATGTTCAGACAGCAAAGGACGAACATCAGCCGCAGGAGCAGGAGCAGGCATTTATAAAACTTTCTGCCGCTGGCATCGCTCGACACTTCAAGGCACACACACAAAAGGTGGCACACACACACACAAACACACTACCTGGTTGGATCAAATGTTAATTGCAGTTTTCGAGCCATAATTAGAGATCCTCATTGTCTAATGTGTCATGGCATTTAGCAACCGAATACGTCTGCAGCCACAGCGACGCTGAAAGGCGACAGGAGCCAAAGGAGCGTGGGACAGGAGCGACTAGCCACGGCTTAACAAATGCACAACTAGCCGGGTGAAAGAAATTCCTCAGATGCAATACACTGGGAGAAAAGAGGGTCCTTGAGGCTAGCATTTAAAAAAATAAAATATCAAGTAAATGGTTTACTTTTTAGGGTCCCGGAATAGATAGATTTCATTCTATTTTAAATTAACTTAAATATTTATACAATATTAGTAACCCCATAGTTTCTGTATTATATAAATCCATTCCTTTTTCTCTCCCTGTAACCACAAATACTCAGGTACCTTGTGGGTCCTAGCAAAGAAGCTTCGCCACTTGGCAAGCCAGGGCCAGAATCCCCTAGGATTTGCCCAAGATACCTTCTTCCCGATTGCTGGCTTCCTGCAAAGTCCGCTCCTGTGAGCTGCCGCCTCTGTTTATACTCCTGCTGCAACACATCCATCCGCAACATTCCCCCGCTTCACACCAAGTTCAACAACACGCCCTCGAAATGTGAATGACCTCGAATGTCACGTTTGCTAAGCGCATGAAAGGAGTGGCCAGTGGGTGGGTGCTTGGATTCGGGGGTTTGGGGTTCCGGGGGTCCTTCTGCCGGCAGTTCGTCAGCGGGAGGGCCAAGATTATGCAGCTTCTGGCTCCTGACTGCCGACTGCTATTTTATGAAACAAAAACAAGCCCCAAGAAGCAAAGCCAAAGGCAGACAGAGGCAGAGGCAAAGGAGGGCTTTTGTGAGGACCTGGCAACATTGTCCATGGAGCTGGAGCTGGTAGCAGTGGCAGGATCCCGGGCTTAAGTCCAAAGCATGCGGAGCATAATCAGCTTCATCATCAGCAACAGCAGCAGCAGCAGGAACAAGCAGTGGGCAAATAAAGGCCTTTACGTCACAGTCAGCAGCAACATCAGCCCGCAGCTTAGTCCTGGCTGGAGTACAAAGCACGCCAGGAAAAGGACGATGACGATGACGATGACGAGTAGATATGGACATTGCACTGACACCGGCGCACACAGTCACAGTCGTTGATCTTTTGCTGATAACTTTGGCTTTCTGCGAGAGAGTGGAAGACGGAACGATGAAGAAGGAAGTGTTGCTGGCACAAAGGCAGAATAAATATTGCCCCGAAACAGCAACCTCCTCTTACCACCCACCGCCTGACAGCTTAATTATTTCCCCATGAAAACTGCATCTGGCCGAAAGAGGAACTCGGCATAATGAGATTGCCCCAACCAGATACAATTCTTTGGCCTTTCTCTCACTCGCTTGATGGGTCTTGAAACATTCGAGCTTTCAATTTGAGCAATTTTCCTGGTTTTCAGCTTGTTTAGTCAAAGCCAGGCCAAGGCAGAGGCAGGGAAAAAGGAAGAGAAAGAGCCTAGGTGGAGTCAAGTAGGGTACGTGCTCTGACCTAAGCAAATACACTTTACACTCAGGACCTCTAGCACACACACACTCCTGCTCACAGCCGCTTCTCCATCCGCATCCGGATCCGCTGAGGATTCCGCTTTGTTGCGCAGACAGACAGACAGACGGAGATTTCGCTTCGACATCGCATTAGTCGGGGCTTTTAAGCAGAAAAATGCGTGCACTTGGGGGTCGCACCATACCTCCCTCCGCCCTCTTTGAGAGTGTCCTGAAATGAAGCCCTGCCTGCCCTGGCATCACTCATCCGCCCCGTGTTGCCGGGCCTCTTTGGGCGCTACTTTAAATATTAAACGCTGCCTACTTTTCGGCTGACTGAATCAAATTTGCGCGCTTGACTTTGGCCAAGCTCCCATTTATATTCGTTTTTGTGTTTTGGAGATTTGGAAACGTGTGAAAATTAAAAAGAAAATTTTAAATTTGTTGTTTATAAATTTTCTTTAAAAAATAATCCGATTTTATTAGAATTTCTTTTAATAATTTGGCTTTGTATTTCATTCGAAAAACGTTCTAAATTCATTTCTTTCAAATCCTGATAGCTTTTCGTCTTTAAATATTCTTAAAAAGATTTTTTATTACAATTTCTTAAATTAAGTTGGCTTTGTAATTATTATTTCTTGATTAAGAGGTTCCAAAATCTGTACATTTCAATCTCCTGATATTTAAATAACATTATAAACAAGATTTTACAAATTGAGAGACCAAATTCCATTACTTTTACCCTGTCAAGGCTGACATCTTTGCAAAGGCGACAGGAAAAGCCTTCAAATTTTATAAGGAGCTCCCAAAAAATAAAGAAAAAACCTGGGCGAAAGTGAAAATGGGAGCACGTCTCCCTCCATATACATTTGTATTTGTCAAGCCATTTCCCCCGCGACAACACAACAACATGCTGCAAACAGGACAGGGAGCCAAGAGCCAGGAGCCAGGATATAGATATATAGCAATATAGACAGCCAAGACAAGTCCCCTGCTCTCACGGCATATGCAAATCAGCTTTAATGTTACTGCTCCTGCTAGTTCAGTGCTTTTTTTTTTTTTTTTTTTTTTTGTACTTTTTCGCGTTTGCGAAATTGCGTTTTCATTTAAATGGCGTGCAGGAAAAGTTTTTCTGATTTAGTGTGCGCTTTGAAGCTGGAAAACTGGGAATAGCTGGCAACTGGCAAGCTGGCAACTGGCGACTGGCAACTTCATTATTATTTGCAGACACTTTTCGAAAAACATTTTTCCGCTCGCTTTGTTGCTGAGAAGTAAGCGTAATGTGGATTCAAGTCGCCATTCCAATGGGATGCCTTTCCTCTGTCTTCCATTTCCCTGAGATTTTCTTCTTAATTAAGCAGGAGCTGTACTTGAAGAAAATTAAAATTGGAATTGAAAGGGAAGCCTTGAAAGGATTTGGGATTTCAGGGAAGTGGGTTTACTTTATTAATATTTTAAGGATTCCAAGAAGAACAAATTTCCACATTTTCTCACATTAATATCTAGGCAGCTTAAAAATTTGTTTAAAAAAATTCTTTCTTGATATTTTGGAAAGGTTTTTGGTATAGTTTTTTAACGTGTATCTTGGCTTTGAGGAGCCGCAGCTGAATCATTTGCCGTTGTTGCTCATTTGCATTTTGTCTGCTTGTCAACGCTCCTTCATTTGCTGCTGCTCCTTCTCCTCCTGGTTCTGCTGCTCCTCCTCCTCCTTCAGCTCCTTTTCATCAGCTTTTCCCCGTGCCATTTCATTCATTTCCGTTCTTCTCAGCTCGTCAGCTCTTCCACGGCAATTTTTAATGATCCGTGATAATGATGCAGTCTGCCGCTGGCATCGCTAGTTTCATTTAGTTTTTATTTTCCACCCGCCAGCTTAAGGATTCCTTGGCGCTTAATTGATTTTAGCCAGAAGGGGAGAAAGCACTGTACGTGGCACTTGCATTAATAAGCCGCAGCTGCCCAGGAAGAATCTCTCCAGCGGATTGACAGCCACCGGGACAAATGAAGAGTGCTTCATCACAGAGACATGGCCTTTGTCCATTGTCCAGCCGATGAAATGTGGGACACTCCGGTGACAGTTGGCGCTGGCTATGGCTCTGTGCGGAGATGAGGAAACTCCTCTAATTAGCTGCAACTTGTCTCGGGCCTAAGACAAAGTTTTAATTGAAATCCTACCTGGGAAATCTCACCCACACACATCGCAATTAAGGCAATAGAATGGATTGAAAGGCCGGGCCAAAAAGGCTCTTCGGATGGATAATTAAATTTTCATTAGACCGTGTCTGCCGGATAGAGAGAGAGAGAGAGAGAGAAGTTTTCTCAAAACTTTATCTTAAGTGACTTAAAAACTAAAACTGCAAATTTAATACGCTCCCCCGTCGTCATGTGGTCGCAGCCAGAGTACAGAAACTTGCGGCAAACACTTTTTACTTTCCGCAAACATTTTGCTTTTGCTTTTATATATTTTTTCCTTCCATTTTGCTCCTTTTGCGGCGCATTTCCTTTGGGCATTGCAGTTGACAGCGTGTTGCCAGGCAGGCAAGCAAAGGAGTTGAAAAACCGGCGGGAAAACCGGGAACCGGGGAGCAACCGCAACGAAAGTGGCACAAAGTTTGCTACACTTTGGGCCCTGGCCTCCCATGCTGCAAGTTGTTGCAACCAGGAGAAGGAGCAGCAGCATAGTCGTCCTTATCTGCCGCCTAATGCCTTTTTGACAAAACAATTTTTCATATTATTGCTCGACTGCAGCGTTGCTGGGGTTGAAAATTGCTTACAAATTTAGTGTTGCATACTTTGCGGCTGCTGTTGTCAAGAGTGCCACAAGGAGCGAGAGCTAGAGAGATCGTTGCCAAGTCCAAGTCCTGTGGCCAGGACAACTGCCAAAAAGGGGATTCCCTCGTCTGACAGCAAGTGATGGAAATATCTCTCTGCAAGAAAACTAACCATTTTAACAAAACATTTACACCTGGCGAAAGAAAGAAGGTGAATTTTTGATTGTATACATTTAGGTGTATTTTTAAATGGTTTTAAAAACTATTAGATTTTTTTAATGAGCATTTAAACTTCCTAAAAGAGTGTTTATATGTTATAAAATTCAGTGTTTATATATATTTTATACTAACACATTTATTGGTATTGATGGAGTTTTGAATTCACCTGAGTTTTTAGAGAACTATAATCTGTTTTATAATTTTCAAAAAAGAAAGAAGATTTTCGAATAAAATGTGTCTTTTTTAAAACGTCCCAAAAAAGTAATCATTCCGATTCACAAATTCCCCACCAAAAACTTTCTCAATTTCTCAAGTGTAGGCAAAAGAGAGAGAGATCCTTTACCTAAATTATTCATGTGTCATAGTCAGCTTTACCCGCTGCACATGAATTTCTGGTTATTTTCTGGACAGGAGACAACGCCTTAACGTGTCCGGGGCCAGCAGGGAAGGTACACCAACACCAGCTTCAGTATCTCGAGCTGGTGTCCTGTCCTCCTTGGCTCCGAATGAATAATAAATATGACATAAAAGCCGCATCAAAGGCAATTTTAAAGTAGGGCCCACCCGAAATTATGCAATGCTCAGCGGCTGGTGAAGCAATTAGAGGCGGCTTTTGTGGCCGGCAACCACACCAATGGTAGCCGCTGGCAGGTGAAAAGCAATTGTCTCCGCAGAGCATCAGTCTTTGTTGCGGGCCAGCGGCACTCACGACGCCTCATTAAAATTTAGGCCAAGCTGCCCCCCGAGGAGGAGGAGGAGGAGGAGGAGTCAGAAGCCGCCGCTGGCCAGGACTCGCTACTTAATTTCGACAGAGAAAAGTTTCCTGGTCTAACAAAAATTGAAATTAACTTTGGCCAACCAGGACAGAAGCGGCACTCTGCCTCCATTTAATTAAAATTTTAAATTTCCTCACCGAATTTTCAACGAATCTCCAACGAATTTTCACCGAATTTTCTCTGCCTTTTCTCTCTGTTCGTTCTTTTTGCAGCCGAGACCAGCCAGATTGTGAATGGACTGGATCTGCAGGGACCGATATTCCTACACGAGCCACCGCACCGCGTCGAGTTCTCCAACAATTCGGGTGGACTTATAGAATGCTCGGGCCACGGGACTCCGTCACCGGAGGTGAGAACTTCCTTCGAAGGACTTCTTCTGCTTCCCTTTACGTGTTTCCTTTCCACGCCGCCATTTAATATTGCTGTTTAATTATGCATGGAGCTGTGCGGCATTTGCCTCTGCTCATTTCCAAGTTAATTGACTGGGCAACAAACAAATGCTAAACGCTGACACTGAAAATAAATTTTCTTTTATTTATTTTCTTTATTGAAAATATTATATTTATTTGGTAAAAATTATTTATTGTTTAAAAAATCTAAGAATTTTTTTGGTTACTTAAATATCATTAAATTATATTCATAGTTAATTTTTTTGAACCCTATAAACCTCTTTGTTTCGATTACCTTTCTCACGCTCCTTTCCTCTTTACTCAACCAGGTGGAATGGACACCCATACCACCGCAGCAGGACATGGTGTTCCAGCTCTCCAATGGCAGCATGATGTTCTATCCCTTTACGGCGGAAAAGTACCGCCACGAGGTCCATGCCACCGTCTACAGGTGAGGCAGATTCCCCTGGACTGAACTTCGATCAATGGTTAATCCTTTGTCCTTTTTATTTCCGGCAGATGCAAAATTCGCAATTTGGTGGGCACTGTTCTCAGTCGCGAGGTTCACGTGCGCGGCGGTAAGTTGAAATAAATTTTAATTAATTTACGTAAAACACGGCTAGAGGCGGGAGCACACGAAAAAAACAAAAATGAGAACCAAAACGAAATGAAACTCTGGGAATTTATGGCCACCAAGTTGATTTGTGCTGACGAAGTGAGTTTGGCTTTCGACGGTACAGTGGTTGTTGTTGCTGTTGTTGCGGTTTGTTGGAAACTTTGGCCTAATTGGAAAGTTTTTCGCGCTGCCCCGGAGTCGCCCATTTGCCGCCCATTTTGCCCCAATCCCAATCCTGGATCCCAGTTCCACTACCAATCCGCCCAAAACTGAAGCCTAAAAGCAGGCAAACGCAAGTTTTAATTACTATTGCTGCCGGCAAAATGCTGTCGGCCAGAGGCGCCTCGTCGCTTCTTTCCCGTTCGCTGCTTTCCTCTCCAAACACATCCTCTTTAGTCCCCCCCTCATCCACATATATACCAGCAAACCAAGCGAAAAAAAAAAATGGTTTGCTCGGCGCTAATTTGGCGCCTCAGTGTGTGAGAATTGACTGCGGGGGGAATACCCTCATTATAAATGGTGTACTCGCAGTGCCTCATGGAATTTAGGCAGCTATTTAAGGGGAATATTTTGGATATTTATTATAGAAAAAATAATAAAAATACCTTATCTGACCTGACCTGAAAATATATACAATAAAAATTTATTTCTTAAAACTATTTAATAGTTATTCCGAAATTTTCCAAAATTAAAAAAACCACAACAAAATGTAGAGTATTTACAATTTCATTCTATACAAAATTCCTAATAAATATCAATATTCAACGCCACAGGGCAGAGTATTGAATATTCATTTTATATTCCCCGAAACAACCAAACTAACGATAAAGCGACCGAAAAAAAATAATAGAAAGTTTCTCATTCCTCACTAAACTGCATTAATGAACTCAAACAGAAACTGAAACTGAAACTCGGCCATTGCCTGTCTGCGGGGCAATCATTTTGATTGCCATCACATGTCGCATAGATTTTGCGGCTCATTGGGCAGTGGCCACCACTTCCACTTGGCCAAAAGGCGAACTTCAAGCAACTGAGGGAGGGAAACAACAATTAGCAATGACCATAAAAGATATGCCATATAAATGGGTTTTGGCCTTTTTGCTCTGAGACAACCAAAGGCTAATCCTCAAAGGGTCCACTTGAGTTTTTGGGGTTGCGTTTAATTAACAGGCAGAGCGGAAAAAAGGGGAGACCACGAGAAGTCAGTTCAAAGCAAAACAAATAGCACAAAGTCGCAACCGCAAAGATCTAAGATAGAGTCCGGACACACATGTAAGGCACTGGGAGAAAAATTGAGCTATTTAAATAAAAAGAAATTGGGTTCTTAGAAAATTATCTTTTCTAGTTTGTCACTTGCTTACGGTCTTAATTTAAAAATAAAAATCGAATGTATTTATGGTTTTAAATAATTTCAGTTTTCTATATTCTTTTTTTTTAATATTCTTAAATTTTTTCCAGTGTAACTAGCCATGCCATGCGTAGCTTTTTGTCCATGCTTTCGGCCATGCAAAGTTCCAACGTCCGGCGGCCATTTTTCAGCAGCTAACTCAACGTTACGTATACGCCATGTCCGCTGGCTTATTTTATTTGCGGTCTCTTTCCTGGTCGCCTACAGCTCCTCCTCCTCTCTTCGTCTTCTTTCTCTGCCCATCCTCTTTGTTTTCCGCTTCGTTTTTATGTGCTCCGCCAGAAATTGTTTTTTCCCCGAGCCCCCCGAAAATTTGCAGAAAGGAGAGCTTTCCGCTTGAACAATTTGACAGCGCGTAGATTTGGCGCAAAACGTTTTGCCTAATTTGCAAAAGTTCTCTAAGAGAGAATCAGCGATCTCTGCTGGCCAGTAATTCTGTTGCTAATGTGAGCGTTTTGGACGGGAGTCTGGGTCGTCTCCTTTAATTGGCAGCGCTTAGTTTGATGCGGGGAACTGAAGAACTTTTGGGTCTCAGGACTCGGGGCTTTGGTTAAGTGCGCGTAATTAGCGCAACTTTGCAACAAACAAAACAAAAAAAAGAAAAACCCTTGACAAATTCTCCCCCATATATATTCAAGTCAAGCTTAAACGCAATTGCTGGCATTTGGTTTTGTCAGGCCACAGGACATTCGGTGCTCCTTGCCAAGCGAAACTTCTGCTGACAGTGATGAATGATGCTGGGAGCCACAAAGTTGCCGCAGCCACGACTTTTCAGCGCTGACTTTTCCTGCACTTTTGCATTTCATCACACACAAACTCAAACTCACACCCATGCTCATAGTCATGGTTATACTCCAACCAAAGATAGGTATCCTGTGCATGCATATAGAAAAGTCCTTGGCACATCCTTGCAAGACTCGGTGCAAAGTTTGTGATTGAGCTAGAAAAGTTTGGCGAGTCTGCCGCTGGCTGCTTGTGTATGAAACCTGCGTAATTTGTTTCTAATTAGTTGAATGCACATTGTTGAGGATGCTCCAACTAGGTTCTATTCCCCTTTCTACACTCTCAATGTTCCTTTCTTTCTGCAAAACCTGCAACCGGATACTTAGTTGAGGGAGTTTTGCATACAAAATTGCTCATTTGCCAAGGCAACCATATAGAAGTAGAATTTTTCTTTCAAGTTGATCTTGGTTTTTATGATTTTATCTTTAGAATATCAACTAGATAGGTTTTAAAGTACTTAAAGATGGTTTTATAAATTCAATACATCTTTAATTAAGTGCTTTAATTTTATTCTTATGAAATATAGATACTCCTTGAACTTAAAAATAGTTTATAAACTTATTAATTACTTAAATAATTTTTATTAATATATTCAAGAACCTTTTCAAAGCAGAAATGAAATAATTTACCCAGAATATTTCCCATACTCCCAACCCAAATTAAATGCCACTCATATAGCTTTCTAAGAAAGAAGACCACTTCCCTTTCACCCAAATAATTCACATCGAAATCCGCTTGTGCAATCAGAGCCACTGCAAATGGTAATTTAATAGACACAATGCCAAGCCCGAACACAAAACTACAAAAAAAAAAGTAAACATTCCGGCGACGGAGCGAAATCCGTACAATAACTGCAAATCAGCGAAGACTGGCATACCAAAAGCATCTTTCCGGCACGCACATCATAAACATAAATTTCCCATCCCTCCCCTACCCCAAACCGGCTTGGAAAATGCAGGAAAAACTTTCGCCACACACAAAACAAAACGGAAATGAATTTCCGCATAAAATCCGAGTGCAGCGAATGTCTCCCGTTCGCTCGCTTTTTGCACTTACTTTGTGCGGCGACTATAAACTTAGCTTTCATACTTACTTTCCTGCCCAGCTGTCCTGTTCCTGTCCTGTCTGAAAATCCCCCTATTTTGCCCAACACAACATTGTTGGCTGCACCTCCGCCCCGCGGCCCCAGGCTGTCCTTCAGTTTGGAAATTTCCATGCAAAATGCAACATGAAAGGCGAAAAAAACTTTTCCCTTGCTAAAAATAGAAGAGAGTCTGCACCAAAAAAAAAATATAAATAGAAAAAAATAGTAGTGGAGGAGAAAAATTTGGGGAGACCGGCAATACAAATAATGAAGATACAAAAACAAAATTGTGCTAAACTACATAGCGCGGCGGCGGCGGCGGCCAGAGGAATTATAATAAAATGTTGTCACAAAGTTTTTCAGTCACCAGCAGCAGCAGCAGCAGCAACAATAACAAAAACAAGTACAGTCATAGAGCAGAAAACAAACAATAACAACAACTTTTCAAATTAAACTTTTATCCAATTTTAGCATATTAAAGTTGGCAAACAAATGCCGAAACCAGAAAAAGCCAAGCGTGATCTGAATCCAGCATTCCACAAAAAGGAAGTTGAGATAAGTTTTTCGTTGGTGGGGACTTTCGGGAGACTCTTGAGGCCTTGCGGGCCTCGAACCTAATCTATTTACGATTAGGCCTCGAAGGGACATACCCGATGAGGTCCAACAATGGAACGCACTTTACGCACGCCAGTTGAAAATTGCCTTTGTCCGTCTTAATTAATTTGCCAACTGCCACTGGCAGCAGCAACTAGACCTGAGCTGTGCTTTTAACTGATGCAAAGCCATTTCACACAGGCACAGTGGTATCTAGAAATGAGAAAGTCCAAATTAACATATATTTTTTTTAATAAAATGGAGTGAAATATACATTTCTTAGTTAAATTGTCAAAATAAATCCAAGAAATAATTATTTAAATAGTTTAAGAGTTTTAAAATAATATTTTATACATTTATTACTAACATTTCTCACCAAAAATAAATTTTACATTTCCTCTATTTATTTAATATAATTTTTGCATACCCTTTTCTCCACCCCTTGACCCACTGTCCCAGCTCTGCCTCACTTCAGTCATGGTTAGGATCCTTGTCATTCTTAATTTCGTGCTGAGCGCTCGACGGCTTTGGATGGGGACAGCGAAAAAATCTTTAACTCAAATTGCCAAATCCAATTTTTTAACGGCCGTGGCACCACCGCTCCTCTTTCCGGAGCAGCCTTCGTCCTTCGTCCTGCTGGCTGACAAACGGCCACACTTTTGTAAAGTGTCACAATGTGTTGGACATGTTTAGGACAACGGGTACTTTTCCGGTTTACGAAGGGCCGCCGGAACTTAATGTGCCACATATTTCGCCTGTCGCTGCCAGGATCCCTTTTTTTTATGTGGTCCTGCCGCCACATTAAAAATTAAAAGCCCCCGAAAAAAGGAGCACACAATGGCGGAGTCAAATGCGAGGACCTTTAGCTAATAAAAACAAACTGTGTGGCGGGACGGGGACGTAAACATAATTGTTTCGCTTCGTTCTCTCAGATGTGACTGCCTGGCCACGCTGCGTATGCGCAATATTTGTAGTCCTAAAAAGCCAAAGCAATTTGCATAAAATATATTTGCTTTTTAATTCGTTACAGTCGTCAACCAGAAGTACACGGTGCAGGTGCACGACGAATACGTGATGACGGGCAACACGGCGGTGCTGAAGTGTCAGGTAAGCGTAAGCCACATCCGCATCCGCATCCACATTCATGTCCTCCTCCATCCTTCGCTGACGGCGAGGTTAGGCAAGTGAGAGAATCCCAGCGAATTGCAGCTGGACCGCAAAATTCACTTAACTCGCACAAATCTCATTTGGATTTCTCCCCTGAAAAATGTTTATCAAATTTATTTATAGCATTAGAGACAGACAGTGCTTCTGACTGTCATGGAGATGCTTAAAAAATATCGGTTAAAATATCAAAATCATTTAAATTAATTTGAAAATATGTATTTTTGTAAAGAATAAGACAAACTTTATTTGTTTTCAAAGACTTAATTTTCGATATAAATTATAATATCGATATTTTCGATAAATAGCATATCTGATTCTGTTAAAAAAGATTCCTAATTCCAAAGCTTAACGCTTGTAAAACTATTTCTTATGGTTAATAAAATTAAGAAATGTTTTTATATATTTTTAATATATAAGCATTTTACGATATTTTCGATATAATCTTCAACTTCTCGATATCATCTCTAATGCCCGCTCCTAACTGTTATCGCAGGTGCCCAGCTACATGTCGGAATTCGTGATGGTAACCGCCTGGGTGCAGGACACCGGTATGCACCTATATCCGAACACGGACATCGGCGGCAAGTACACGGTGCTATCGAACGGCGAATTGTACATAAATAATGCGGGGCCCAATGATGCGTACAAAAGCTACACATGCCGCACTGTAAATAGACTGACAGGTACGTGATAATCGCATTTTCAGCTTAATCGTCCGGTTGAGGGATGCATGAATTGCTCCGGAATCGGAGGATACTGGGTCTCTGGACAACGGACTGCCGACTCTGAACACTTTGGACAGGACACTCCAGCATCCGGATCAGTCCGGTTTGTTGGTCCAGGGCGGGGCAGCTATAATTAAGTTGAATGAATAAGTTAAGAGCGAGGCTTTTTGCGTGGCGGGCTGTGCGTGTTGCCACGACAATTAAAGGCGGTGTTTTTCCTAGGAAAACCCTTGAGGGATATTCCACAGATTGTAAGTCTTAAGAGTCAAGGTTGTTACATTAAAGATTTGGGAAAAATTCAAACGCTTTATTTATCTAATTTAAATCCTTAACACTTGTTAAACTCTATACGATGGCAATGGTTTTTGTTTATATCTTTTATATATTATTTATATTTATTCTATAGTTTTATAAGTATTTTAATTTCAACTAAAATTACATACCATTTGCCATTTAAATTTCCTTTTTTTCATATAAATCTAAAAGCTTAAAATTTCCCTTTCATTCCTTTTATTTGCCATTTTCAAAAGCCAAATCTTCTTCTGTAAAATCCCTAAAATATTTAATTGCCAAAATGAACAAAGGCGCATTTTCGGAGCCTTCTTGGCTCGACTCCTTAAGTCGAAAACCCTTGCAAACAAGGACTAGTTTTATTCTCTGGCCAAAGTCAATTTGTCGTTTTGTGCATAATTTATGATGCGTGACATTCAATCGCCGGGCAAAGGGCATTGAGCTCCAGGGAGTTGGGAGTTTTCCTCCGACATAAGATTATATATACTCACATATATAGATATATATGGTATGTACATATGTGCAGAGTATATCTGATTCTGGCTGTGTGTCGACAGCCAATACGTGAGATCTTTTCGAGATAAATTCCCCGGCTGTATGTTTGCTCGCTTATTTGAAGTTTATTGTGTGTGAAAATGCGCTTAAGCTGAATTTCTATTAGCCTTTGTGCGCATATTTCACATCATCAATCAATACGATAAAAGTTCCACTCCCTTCGGCCTTTTTTTTCACCCTATTTTTCCCCGCAATTCGACCCGCTTTTCTTTTCATTTTCAATCTTTTCTTTATGTGAATGCAAAAGGGAGAGAGGCGGTTGGGCGACTGTGTTTGCCCGGTTTATTTACAGTTCGACTCGGCTGTTTGCATCTTTTAGAGATGGAATTTAAACACAGATGGGGATGGAGATAATATATATTATAATAAAAAGAATTTACTATAATTATGGTACTAAAATCCTTTAATTTTCTTATAAATTATATAAATGAGGATTAAATTTCTTTCAAATATAATTTTATTCCTATATAAAGAGAGGCTTATGTCTAGCCAGTTTATTAAATTTTTAAATAGTACAATAATAATTATAATTTAAAATTTCAACTGCTATTTATTTGACTCCAACTGTTGGGGCATTTTCCCTGTTACATTTTACGTTTACATTGCTTTCCGCCCTTCGAGGCATTTGCGGTTTTACTGCTCGCCAGCTATTTGCTTAATTAATCAAATTGAATCGAGCCGCAAAAACCGCAAGTTGCGCTCGAGTTCTGGCCAAAAGCGAAAATTATGAGCTGCATATTAATTTGGGAATCCTGGGAATGCAGCAACGCCAGGATGCGTGTCTGTATGTGAGTGTGTGTGTGTGCCGAAACAATGCCAATTTAGGTGATCTGGCCCCCGTTATGGCAACCGCAGAAACCAGCTCGAGTGGCACTCATTAAAAGTGTAACATGAGCCGGCAGGAGTGTGGCCTGGAGTGGGTGTGTGTGTGTGTGTAGAGTGCCGTGGAGTCCCGGTCATGAGTAATTCATTTATCAAGCACGGCGCACAAACACACTCCCAGCTACCATCTACCAGCTACCACAACCCATCTCCTGGTTGCATACTGCATTAGGCCTGGCCTTCCCCTTACCTGGAGGGCAGCGGGTTTTGGATTTCGGTTTTTGGCCGGCACACGTAATTACAATTTAAACCAAAAATCCATTTATTTAGCACAATAACTCGCGCTGGCCGGGACCAGGACGGACCGCACCGAGCTGGCACACAATGAGCCGTGGCCAAACAATGGAGCCTCAAAACTGAACAATGGCCGCCATAATGAAGATGCAGAATTGAGTTAGACGGAACAACACACACAGCTATAGGATATCTCTAAACTTTGTTATAGATTTTGATGCACAATCAAAAATTGAGTTTTAAAGTTTTTAAATATTTTTGTATTAGGTTTTAATTACTTCGAAATTTTATGTGATTTAAAGTATTTTAAATTTAATTCTAAAAGTATACAGCAATGAAAAATTATAGTATTTTCTGAAGAATAAACGGTAAAACGTTAGAATTAATGATAAAATAAATCAAATCATTATTTCACAAAGCTTAGACTCGTGTTTTGGAGATTTTCAAATGTAAACTTAATGTTAACTAAATCAAAGAAAGCTAAAATCAGTTCCTTGTAATTTTTTTAATACAATAATTATATTTTAAAATGAATTTTCCTTTTAAAAACTTCCTCAAATCAATCAATATAGCCTCTAATTTTTTCCCGGTGTGCCTTTTCCTGATTTGCTGACCCAGTAGAGGTTTTCTCCTTGATTTAGAGGCTGTGCGTGTCCTGTCTGCATCTGTAATGATGGTTTCCCTGCTAGCTCCACCAACCAAAAAAACAAGAGAGAGGAAAAAAGTGGAGAAAAAAAATTGAGAAAAAAAAAGAGAGCCATAAAACTGGAAAGGGCAGCCAGGTGGTCTCGGCAATCAAGTTGATTGCTTTCATTTACTTTCAATTAATTAAAAAATATATATATACATGTAAGGGGACGCAGTGAAGGCATGCAGGATCCGCAGGACATGCCATAAATTTGTGGGAAGGCCACCGCTTTAAATCTAAGTAAATGCCACAGGGGCCACTGTCAGCTGCCATCACTTGGGCAATTTTTCTGCCATATTTTTCAGCTTGAGTCTCATCAGTTTCCCCTCTTTTCCGTAACTTTCCCAGGTGAAATACAAATTTCCACATATCCCGGCCGCATTATTGTAACGGAGCCCAAGGGTATGGTACAGCCGCGCATCAACGTGGAGAAGCATTCGATGCGGCATGTTGTCCTTAATGGCCAAACAACGTTGCCGTGCATAGCTCAAGGACATCCGGTGCCGACATATCGGTGAGTAAAACACAACAACCGCACGACACACAAAAAAAAAAACAAAAAAAACGAAAAACTCGAAAAAAAATCAACAGAAACATCGCGAACCATGTGCAGGTCCACTTGGAACACGTGGCCATGTCACAGGACTCGGGACCCATGCGGCTCCGAGCGGGTTTTCGGCGGCATCCAAACCGCCTCCCGCAGCCGCAGTTGGCGCGCACTTTATGACAATGTGAAATATTTAACGCTTTTGGCAAATACAACAAAAAAAGAAAGAAATGCCAACAACAAAATAAGCGAAACGAACCGAAAAGCGAAAAAATGTGATGCCCGCGATGTCAGGCAACAAAAAAAAATAAAGAAAAATCATAATAAAAATGTCAGCCAAATTGTCAAAATGTGGAGCGCACGGCGGCAGGGGAATGCCCTGCGGCTCGCCCTGAAGTGGGTCGAATTCGAGGATAGGTTCGAGCCCATCAGCGCCGCTCTATGCGATTCTCAAGGGAGCCAGGGGAGGTCAGTGATGGATAATAGGAGAGATCAGCCAGCTGGGAAGGGATTTAAAATAATAAATCAGGAGGTTAAATAAGACTAGCTGCTTAGCCTGGGATAAGCTTTAATTTAAGTATATTTGGAAGTAAATAATATTGAAAAATAAGAAGGTAGTTCATTAACCTCGCATTCGAGGTTATTTTCGAGTCTATTAGCGTCGCTCTATGCGATTCTCATGAAAGCAAGATAGGTTAGTGAAGCAAAGAAGTGAGGAAAATGGACTTTAAATAAAAAACGAGTAAGTCTAAGGGATTATATTTATTTTCTAGAATATTACTAAGCAACAAGTTAGCCTCCAACTTATTTATTTATCAAATTGATACTTTATATCCTACGATTCTTTATTTTTACCTTAAATTTCTTGTAATTTCCCGATTTCCCTCTTTGGTAAGGGTTACCTTCTCTCTCAAACTAAATGGCAACAAGTTTAGTTATAAAAGATATCAAATATTTCCAGATACTGAACCAAGAAACCTCTGCTTCTAAGCCATCTAAGAGCTTTAGCTTTAAGGCTCGCCGGAACTTTATCGCATACGCTGCATGCTGGTTGGAATTTTTTTTGTTTTTTCGTCAAGAATTTATGCCTTGGGTCCTTTTTGAGTAAGGCTACCAGCTGGCAGTATTGGTGAGCTGCGCCTACGTACATCAAACTTGTTTATTGGGGCACTCTCGGAGGCGTTTGTCTCGAACGAAACCGGTGATTCTGCCTGCTCTGAGAGAGACACACAAATCAATCAAAAAAGCCAAGCGTCGTTTATGGCCGACAATGGCAAATTGCTTTCTGAAATGGCGTTCAAGTTTTTAGCACTCAAAGGACAAAGCGGGCCCCGTTGTATATTAGCCACTTTGGCACTTGGCTCATCATGGCGATTTTCGGGTACTAAAACATGCATGAAGGAGGCTGAGGAGAAGGATATCCCTGCTGTCCCTGTCCGAGTTGGATGCCATGTAATATGCCATTGTAGCTGACGGTGCTCACGGTTCATGGTTGTCCTATGCTTTTCGTTTTCGCTCGAGTCCTTGGCGCTGCTGCTGCTGCCGTTGCATGCATAAAAAATGCGCCCAGGATGTGCCACATCGCGAGAGTGCCTTTCATTTGATGTCTCCCGCTGTGCCGCCAAGGAAAAAAGGAAACCGAAAAGGACCACGACGACGACGATGCCGCCACCACCTCCTACGAAAAAAACCTCTAAAGGATTGCAGGGGAGGCGCTGAGTTTTGTTTGCCGCTGTTGCTGCATTGTTTTCCGAGGACCTGGAGGTCCTGGCTCATAAATGTGGAAATAGTTGGCCATGTTGCTCACTGGCTTTTCTGGGGCTTATTTTTTTGTTTTTTCTCGGTTTTTGTTCCTCTTTTTTTTTCACATTTGAAATCCTTTTTTATTTTTGCGCTGCATAGTTTCGGGCGAGCGAAGCCTTTGTTTCGCCGTCGAGTCCTTTGTTGTGTCGCCGTCGTCCTGCTTCGATTCGATTCGCCTGCCATATTGATTCAGTTGTTGATAATCACTGACCATATTTCCAATTCAACGGCATTTCATATGCAAATAGCCGAGTCCTGAAAATTCCTACGAGTATGTGAATTCCTGGCATTTTTCGTGATTTTAATTAAGAAATGCCATGCCATTGGCAATGGGCATGCCTTTGCTGCCAGCATCGACGTCATAAGACGAGAAATGCACTCAAGTGCAATTAAAGCCAAATTAAAATCAATAACTTTCATGGCAAGAAAAAATCCAATTGCAATTCCATCTGAGGGGCCTTTCGGCGGGGGCGGCAAGTGGGCGTGGCCAGCCATCAAACAGATTATGACACGCGCGCCAGATAAAAATGGGGGGAAAAAAATCTGTTGATTTACGCAATTGGGATATTTTCAGCCTCCGCAGCCTCGCAGCTGAATGCGATTTCTTTTGGTAAAAAATTCATACAAAATATAAATGGAAAAGAGGTAAAGCCTATGGATGGGAATACTCTTTATAAAAAGTATGCACGCGGAAAAAGTGTAACTGAAAAGGGGTTTTAATTTAATTTAAGGTAAATAGGTTTTATTCAATTAAAAAGTTTTCGAAAATAAAAAATAAATGTGATTTGATATATCTTTAAAATGGCGCAAAAAGTACGCTGATAAAAATCTGAAAAAATACTTAAAGAGTGTTTTTCTGAGATTTTAAATGAAGAGAAAGTCTAAGATTGAAAATCTCATTGAAATGCCTAAAAAATAATACTGAAAAAGGATAAATAATGAGATAAAACATTGCACATCTTTCAGAGGCTTTAGCAGATCGAAATTTTTAAGCCAAATCCCTAACATTTTTAAAAGAGTTTTATAATTTATACTTTGCCAGAACTGTAACTACAAAGTCTATAAAGTAATCCTTAAGCCCGACCTGCAATCGGAGCATAAATACTTCTTAAATAAGGCAATGCATATGCATATATGTGGTATATATATATGAATAAATACCACTCCCACCTCCCCCCTCGTTATGCCCACTTAACTGCAATCATTTTTCCGAACTATGGAAATATATTTCATCGGGCATGTGGACTCGACCTGCACAACAAGCCAACAATCAAAGGATGCGTGGAGAGGGGAAAGCGAGCGCAGCGAAATTATTGATAATTCAATCGTCATTTCAATTTGTTTAAAGCCCAAGCCCGAGTCCGTGCATTCAACTGTCAAAATCTTGGGCAAATAAAGCGGAAATGAATTTCCCGATCTGCGATTTCCCTTTCCTTTTTTCTCCCCCCTTCCTTTTGTGTCACCGCCCCTTTGCTGTTTGTCTTTGCCTCTGCCCTTTGTTTGGCCAGCGTTTCATCTCGCTGTCATCCTTCTTTTTTTTTTTGCAGGTGGTTCAAGGAGGAGAACGAGCAGCTGCTGCCATTGCAACTCAGCGAACGCATCACCATCGTATCCGCGGGACTCCTCAAAATTACCAAGGTGCGTAGCTTACACGGGGGAAGAATTTCAATTGGGCTTAAAAAATATTTTATGAAGCATTTATTTAAACTTTGCAAAATAAAAATAATTATTTTAGGGGATTTAGAGCTTAGAAAATGTTTAAAAAGAATTTATTAATAAGCATATTTGATTAAAAAAATATAATAAAACATTTAAGGAATAAAATCTCTTGAAAATATATTTAGCAGTTCACTAGAACATTTTTCTACCTTTAAAAAATTGAGAAAACATATTTATTTAAGAACATTTAGAGCTAAGAAATTTATAAACAGCATTTAAATATTATTATTTCATTTGAAAAAATATAATGAAACATTTAAGGTTTAAAATCTATAAATTTTGTATACAGAATTTCTTCAAAAGTATAAAATTTTTTACCGTGTTCAAAAGAGGGGAGAAAAACAGGGAGAAAGCAGGGAAAGGAGCGAAAGGAAGCCGTGCTGATTGCCAATTGATTTCGTCCATTGCAGGCACGTCTCGAGGATAGTGGAAAATATTTGTGCTGGGTGAACAATACGGCGGGCGAGGAGACCATCCAAGTGTCGCTAACGGTGACAGGTGAGTGTGTGTGTGTGTGTGAGTGTGTGCTAGGAGAAAAAAAAAACAACCATAAAGGATACTCAAAACCCTGAACCGCCTCCATAAAAAACTTAGCTCCTCTGACGGCACACCTGCAGCCACTGGTGCAGACGGTCGATGTCGATAAGGATGCGCAATTTCAATGCATTGTCTCGGGCCATCCGGTCCACGATGTCAACTGGCTGCACGACGGCAAGCCCATCCTGCGGGACAATCGCGTAGAGGTGAGATTCCATCAGCCCCATGTCTATCATAATTAAATTGTTTATGGATGAAAAATGTACATTTTATGTGATTAAAAGAGCTTAAATAAAATTTAAGAAAATATTTTATACAGTAAAATATTTAACTAAATTTAAAAACAAAGTAATTCTGATTTCCTTGAAATAATACAACGAAAATTCAATTGGTTTTTATAATAAAATCAAGCTGAGATACAATATTTTGTTTAAAGTGACAAATAAACCTTGTTTTTCCACTATTTTTGAGCTTTATAGCCTAACAGATAGTATAATCTTTTATTTTCCAAATCCTTACCAGATCCTCACCGATCCCCCGCGACTGATCATCAAAAAGGTCCAAAAGGAGGACCCTGGCATGTACCAGTGCTTCGTCTCCAACGAATGGGAGCAGGTCCAGTCCACGGCTGAGCTGCAGCTGGGCGGTAAGTAATGCTATCCGCTGGCCCAATGGGAACCATAAATTGGCCATCCATCGTTATGGCCATTAATAACCACTTACGAGAGCATACACACTCCCACACACACCCCCACACACACACTCCTCCCACACAACATCTCAATCAAAAGCGTAATTTCCTCCTCGAAGCCAAAGCGAATGACGACGACCGCAGACCGCACAAATATAAATGTTTGTCATAATTGCATTTCATTATTTTCTAATTTAGCAAATTGCTAACATTTTTCAACAACAAATCACAGCAACAACAATGGGAAGCTGCTGCTCTGCTGCTGCTGCCTCCATAAAACGCAGCGACGACGACTTAATTTTATTACCAGCACTAAAAATCTAGCCGCAGACACTAAACGAGGGGGATGTTAAGGGATGTTATTGGTGTGGGGGTAGCACATTGTATCGTTTAGCTGCCTTGGGGCAAACACACACGATGAATGAGCCGGCTTTTGGTGGGGTTTATGCGTGGCTTCAATGCGATTAATTTTAATCGGGGATCAAGAGCTATTAGTATACGGCAGATAAGTTAAGGAATAAGAAGGGTATATATGATATATTTTACAGGGACTCTAAAGAAAGCTTTATTAAATAAATATATCTCAATATCTAATTTATAAATAATATCTGATTAAGAACAATCAGAATCTGTTTAAGAATAAAACAGGCCCTTAAAATAAATTCTTCCACCCATCAAAAACCCATCTATAGCTTCATTCATGCCCCTGAATATGGCACATATCCTATCACATATGCCATACGATTTTATTGCCGCCTAAAACACGGATACAGATGTGCCATCGCGTTATCCTGTTCCGCATAAACACAGCATTCAGACACCATTCGCGCATTGTCGCTTTGGCAACATTTTGTGATTTGCTTTTAGGCGCAAGCGGAAATTGATTTCGATATATTATTGGCATGCTTCGCACAATTGGTAGGGAAGGGGGAGGACTCACTCCCCCTCACCACCATCTTTTTTGCCTTTTGGTGTTAAAAGCTCAGCCACGCTCAACCCCCTGGCCCCCGACCCGTACCGATAAGGCCACCAGACCCCGAGGACAAGCCAAGCGCCATTAAGCGGCCGGATATGGCAGCAATTGTGTCAACGCTGCAACCGAATTTCTATGGCATTATACACTGAAAAAAATCTGAAAACTATTAGCAAAAAAATAAAAACTGTCTAAGTATTTTCTATAATAACAGCGAGGAAAATTTTTAAAAATGTAAAATTTAAAATATAACAAAATATTATCCCAGATATGTACAAATCTATTTCCTTAATTTTTTTTCGAGTGCCTGTATGTTCAAATGTGACATGAGTGCGAGAGCAAATAAATATGGCAGCTTATAACTGAGGGAAAAGCAGAGAGCTGAAAAATCCCGAATCCTGCCACTGCGCCAAAGGAAATTGATACAATTTCCATCAGCAGGATAACATTTGCTGCTGGTTGGCTGGCTTGTCAAATGCATTTTCCGTTTGCCTTGGCTAAACACAAGCAATGCCAAAAGGAAAATAATAAATGAAAGCAGAGGAAATGCAAGGGCAAAGAAAAGTGCGAATTCTGGTCAAAGGAATGGTGATTCAATCGAGCATTAAACTGAGCTTTAAAAATCATTTCGATTCGTGCAATACAGAACTTTATTAATTTATGGGTCATTTGGTGAAAATCGAACTAAAATAGATTTCTGTGTAAGCCTGTGGAAAAGTCTCCTGAAATAGATTTTCCTATCCCGCTGCGAAGAGTGACTCATTCATGTGCATAATTAAGAAAGCAAGTCATCGATGCAATCTTCTCTCAACAGAAAAAGCCAGGATAAAGGAGTTGACACACACATGGACCGAGGACATATATGCAGATCCGACACTAATGAAACACTCACCCCTTCCTCACTTCCCCCCCTCGCCGTAATATGGCCAAAGTTTCCCAACTGACTCCGACATTTAATGCTCATTGCAGATGCCTCGCCGGAACTGCTTTATTGGTTCTCCGAGCAAACGCTGCAGCCGGGTCCGACGGTGTCGTTGAAGTGCGTCGCCACCGGAAATCCACTGCCTCAATTTACATGGTCCCTGGACGGATTTCCGGTGAGTTTAGCTGGCCACCAGCAGCCCCACCAAACTTGAGAATGAGACGGAAATGCAGGGCAGCGCTTCCGCCGTTTCCGTTTCTGATAGTCAAAGGCGGAGCTTCTATATTATCGAGCAGATATTTTGTCACAGTCCTCCTGGCTCCATTCATCTCCATTCCCGGGAATATGCATAAATATTTTAGCAAGCCGAATTTCCCTTTGCCCCAGTCAAAGCTTTCCTCAAAAAAAGAGAAAACCAAACCCAATCCTTAACCCTTAACCCCTTGTGAGGAGGCGAAGGCAACTCTAGTGCGTACTTTAGATTCCCAGCTTTTGCTTTTGCTCCACTCGAATTTTTTCGTTTCAAGAATTTTGTGTTGCCTTTTTTTCTTCTTCCTTCATCTTTCTCTTGCCAAATTTTCAAGGATTTTTTCGTTTATTTGCATAAATTTTCATCTTTCCTTCGCAGAGAGAAAAAGAGAGAGAGACAGAGAGGAGTCTCTTTCAATGGGCAGTGCAAATTTTATGCAATTCCAATCAATTCAATTTACATGAATTTTTCATTTTACCTCCACTCCTGGCTCTGTGATTTCCCCGAGCCTGTGATCCAGCAAAGAGTCCTTTACTAATTGGCCCCCTTAACCCCGCTCGCTTACAGATTCCAGACAGCTCGCGCTTTTTAGTGGGTCAATATGTTACCATCCACGACGATGTCATCAGCCACGTGAATATATCAAACGTGAAGGAGGAGGACGGCGGGGAGTATACCTGCACGGCCCAGAATGCAATTGGCAAGTGAGTAGCCGCAGTTCCATAAATAAAACACACTCGCCGATACAGGGCTAGATATGCCATATATGCGGTGCACAAGCCTGAAGAGTCGAAGCATAAAAAGCATTTCCATGCTAAATCATAAATTTATTTGTAGCATAGAGAGAAAAAATACAAAAAGGCCTAAGGGGGACAGAGAAAAAATAAAAAAAAAATAAAAATCCGACACAATGGCCGGGCATTGTTTGCAGGCAGGGGAGCGGCATAAAATCCAAACAATTTGCTGAGGCAGCCAAGGGAACTGTCGTCTAGAGATGGTAGAAAATATTTTGTTGGAAAAATCATAAAGGAAAATATAATGGTCACAAATGTGTTTTTACTAGGATTTCTTTGAGACATTTTTCTAGAATTTTAAAAGGTTTTAATTTATATTGTTTTTGAGAAATGTTTATTGAAAGAAAATCTAGAAATTTGGAATCTTAAAAGATTACAAATAGAAATTCCTTTTTATTTTTCTTCAAGAAATTTTATTAAAACCCTAAACGTATTTTAATTCTTTTTAAATTGCGCCCAGAAGCAGGCAATAAATTAGATAATACTATACAAACGAAAGTACCACATAATAGCTACAAGTAAATAGATTTTCGTGATTTTTTCAGCCTTTAAATAAACAATAAATAACAAATATTCACGAACCCATCACCAACTGTAACCAACTAATAAAAACTAAACGCCGGCCAATGTTTTATTTGCAGAGTCTCGCACAGCGCCAAAGTGAACATCTATGGGTTGCCTTACATACGCGAAATGCCAAAAATAACCGGGATCTCTGGCTCCGATTTGATTGTTAAATGTCCCGTGGCTGGTTACCCCATCGATAAAATCCACTGGGAGCGCGGTAAGCATATATGTATTAAACAAATACGATTCAGGGTTCCCTTTTTTGATATTTCGCTTTATGCCCATACATATGAATTTGCCTTTTGGCCAGCGTGTGTTGTTTGTTATTAAAAATGGTATGTTTGTTATTGCTCATATCAGTGAAAATTATTAAAACTATAAAATGAAAGCAAGGCTTTTTTTTCGGCAATGTTTTCTTTCGGTTTCGGTTTCAAGCGAAATAAATTTAAATTCACATGAATGCGTTTTTTTCTGTCTTTGTTAATTATTATCTTTGCCGAGCGAATGTGTGTGTGTGTCAACATGCATTCGTGTTTATCCTGGCGAATATTACCAAAAAAAAAAAAAAGACTTTACTATAATAAACATAAATAAAAGGAGTCAAGGCTCCGAGGAAGAAATACACTTGTAAATTTCAAGTGTTTTTGCTGGGTTATAATTTGCATTAATTATGAATTCAAGATTTAAAATTATTTTAAGTGACTTAAAGCTTAATAAATAATTAATCAAGGCTCTAATAAATTTATTTACATACAAATTGGGACTTAAATATAAAGAAAATATTATTGTGTAATAAAAAAATATTTAAATTATAAGGATAAAAATATAGAAACAGAAAACTCTTGCAATTTATAAATTTTCTAAGCTTACTAAGACTCTTTGAAGTCCAAATTAAAGTATGGAACCTATACTAATTTATAGAAACTTAGAAATAACATTTAAAATACCCCCTTAGATGCATCCATAAATTCACCTTAATTTCTTAATTGAGAAGCTTGGTATAAAAGTTCAGCCCCGCTCTTCTCAGCGTGTGTATGCAAATAAATTAAGCTAGACAAAAAAAAAAGAAAGGAAAAACAAACAAAATATACACAGACACCAAATGCTATATGGCCAGTCATAAATCGCATAACTTTGTTTTATGCGAGCAGCCAAATTAATTGCCAACGCCGTTTCGTTTTCTCCCACCAATTTTTCTGCTTTCTATGGACTCCTTTCTCCCCGCTCCGATTTCGGGATCCTGGCTTCTTTTTCTGGGGTAAAAAGATGGCCAAACGCTACCCATAAATCGCCGCCAGCGTGCCTACAACAATGGCACCTTAATTATCGAGCAATTGCAGCGCCTGGAGGATGCGGGCACGTACACGTGCATGGCCCAGAACAAACAGAAGCAGACCTCGCGACGCAATGTGGAGATCCAGGTCCTGGGTGAGTTTTACTTGGAGAAATATATAGATTATTTTGAATTATTTCGAGAAAAATGCGAGCTAAAGGGAAATAGCAGTATTTTCTACGAAAATTGAACTTGGGAATTATAAGCTAGCTTCAATGTAACAATAACTTATGTTATATAATCTGATAATATACAAAATCTTTTCATTTGTTTAACTTTTTTTTAAGTCACTACTTATTATTAAACAATTTATGAAGAGGCTCTAAAACTATTTCAAAAATTCATTTATATCGAATTTTTTTTTTATTTAAAGCCACGGATTTTCTGATATTTTCTCTCTGTGTCTGTGGTGCCAGATGATTTTCCCAATATTTAAAATTAGAAGTAGAAGCTGGAGCTACAATGAAACTATTCCAATTAGAGTGGCGAGCGAAACTATGCAGCCACAGCAGCAGCAGCAGCAGCAACTATTTTCCCAGTTAATGCACATACAGGCGGTAGGCGTTGGGCGGTGGGTGGCTAATGGGTTGGCTCATGGCTGGTGCCTGGTAGACCCACAATGAAGTCATTGACTTTTGTGTTCTGTCTGCCGCAACTGCGCCTCGTCATCCGCCTCCATGCTCCTGCTGCTACTGCTCCGCCAGGCAGCTCACTCTTTATAATAATTCACTCGGCAGCTGTTGCTAAGCCGCAGCTGCATTGATGCGAGTGCCACGCCCACAATTGCCACTACCACTAGTCAGCACTAGGATACCATACCCCCCAACAAGCCTCATCCTTGATCAGAGTGAGGCTTTGTGCCCAAGTCGAGCCGTCACAGTCCTTTTTGCGACACTCGACGATTTGTTTGCGGCTTGTGTCTGATGCTTTATGGCTTCCGTTTTTCGCAGTGCCACCGAAAATCATGCCCATCCAGGCCATGACGAACATGCTCCGCGAGGGGATGCGAGCGGCCATATCCTGCCAGATCCTGGAGGGCGACCTGCCGGTTAGCTTCCGCTGGGAGCGTAACGGAAAGCCGCTGATAGGAACAGGGTGAGTATTTCGAACGGGGAAAACTATTAAATTTTATATTAAAGTAATTTATTTTGGGAGTTTATCCTTCTGATTAATCAAAATTTCCTGACTTTAATTACAGCAACGAGGTATTCCGTCGCCTAGATGAGTACTCTGCCAGTTTGGTCATCGAACACATATCCTCGGATCATTCTGGTAACTACACCTGCATTGCCAGCAATGTGGCAGGAACTGAGAGATTCACAGTGCCTCTGACCGTCAACGTTCCACCGAAATGGGTCCTAGAGCCAAAGGACTCTAGTGCCCAGGCTGGATCGGATGTCCTGCTGCACTGTCAGTCATCGGGCTATCCTAAGCCCACGATGACCTGGAAGAAGGCCATTGGACCTACGCCAGGGGAATACAAGGACTTCCTGTATGAGCCCACAGTGCAGCTTTTTCCCAATGGAACCATCTTCTTCAAGAAGATCAGCAAGGAGTCGCAGGGTCACTTTCTGTGCGAGGCCAAGAATACCATAGGATCTGGGGTCAGCAAGGTTATCTTTTTGAAAGTTAATGGTAAGGAATATATTACCTATCCTCTTTAATCTTTGCTCTCCTTATTTCGAAAATTAATACTTATGTGCCACACCCCAATTTCACTCTTATATCCTTGTAGTACCCGCCCACTTCCAGACCAAGACGAAACAGATATCAGTGGCCAAGGGCAAGCAGGTCCATGTGCAGTGCAACGTGCTGGGCGACAATCCCATCGACTTCAAATGGAAAATCCAGGCAACGCAACAGTATCTCGACGAGTCACTGGATTCCCGGTAAGAGATTCCCATTCCCATTTCCAATTCCAATCCCATTTCCCATTCCTACTCCGACTCCCCTGCATACCCATTATCCACATTTTTAGGGCTTTCCATGCTGCGATGTCTGAGCGTCTGGCGAAATCAATTCCAAGTCGATTGCAAACAACAAATTGCTTTTAATTAAAGGAGTTCGTTCTGCCGGGCTAGGATTTCGGTTTCTCTGTGCTCTTCGTTGCTTTCTGGGTGCTGGGATGGATGCCTATGCCTCGTACTTGGACCAGGCCTAACTCAATTTGCACCAGGCAATCAGTTTCCTACGAGACCCGCACTCTCGCTCTGTGTCTGGCCTCATATTTTCGCAATGAGAATTCTCATATTCCCAGACTCTAATCAAGGGTTCTCCATTTGCCTTTGCGTATTTGCTGTGCACAGGGAATAATTTAGAGGTTTTTATGGGGTTTTAATATGGTTTTTAGGGAAAATTTAAAGGGATTTTTGAAATTTTAAATAAGTTATTAATCTCGATAATATTTTCTATATTTTCTGAATAATACCCCCATAACTTCTAGCTCCTTTTCAGAATCTATAAATCCTTGGAAAACCCCAAACACTCTTCAAGAAACTAGGCCACTCACATAATCCCAATTTCGAATTCTGATTATTCTCCAAGTGCTCCTCTCATCTCGAGGTACTTTTTGGCCAAGACCAGGTAGCTCCCCAATAAGGCAAAAGAAAACTTTTTGGCAAATGCCATTTTGGCCAGGACATTTTAGTTGCTGTTCTCCATTTTAGTGCCCACTTGAGTCACCCTCCTCCCCATCCTCCTGGCTGTTGTTGTGCACACACTTGTGTATTTGTGTATCGTAAGTGTTTTAATGTATATATGTATTTCCGGCTTTCTCTTTTCTTCCGCCCCCGCTACACCCACCTTTGCCTTTGGCTTGGCAAACAACTGAATATGCACATGCGTTTTATTTATTTATGCCATTTGCACACGCACACACACACACACCAAACTGAACCGAACCGAATGCCACGTGTCCCCCGCTTGTGTGTGTGTGCATTTTGGCCTCGTATGTCTTCGTCTTTGTCAACAAAACTACAAACAACAATAACAACGATGGCAATGGGAACGGGAACGGGAACGGCGACTGCAACGTGGAAAACATTGTTATAAAATTGCATTGCATCGCTCACGTTGCGCAAACACGTATCCACATCCTCGCATCCGTATCTGTATCTGCATCTGCACCGGCATCCGCACATCCGCATCTCCATCTCTGGTCTGGACCTGCATCTGTATCTGTATCTGTTAAATGCATTTACTTGCATATAAATCACACACCGCACAGCTACACCATCCGAGATCAAGTGCTCGACGACGGCATGGTCTCCGAATTGGGCATTTCGCACACATATCGCCAGGACACGGGCATTTATATCTGTCAGGCGAGCAACGCATTTGGACAGGTAAGTTTGCCAGCCAGCCAGCCAGCCAGCCAGCCAGCCAGGTGACACTTTCGTTCGGAAAGCGATATTATTATGCATCGGCCTGACTTAAATCAAGCTGTCGCAGCACTAATGGAATCGATGCCGTTTCTAGAGTCCATTTCGATCGGTAGTTGTGGCTGCCAAAGAGTCATGGACGGTCTATAAAACTAATAAATCAAAGGGGTTGCAGTCGGAAAAGTAGTTTAAAAATAAAATATAAAATATATTTCAACTAAATATAAAATATAAAAGATATTTTAACTAAATTCAAGACATTTAGATCCCTTTAAAAAGGTGTCTAAAAGTAGGCAACAAAATACCAAATTCCGTGTACATTTTCTTTTTAGCATACTTTTATGATCCTTTATATAAGTTTTTAAATCTTAACAATTTCTTTGATATATTCGTTACTTTTTAATTATTTTTTAGACTGATAAACCCATAAATTTAGTAAATAAATCATTTCTCTGGGTGCATATCCTTATGTGTGCCCACACACACATCTCACAACTTGCCAGCTAAACTTTTACCCCAAAACCCCGCCTGTCGGCAAGTTGGAAAAGTATCCCCCATCCCTTTAACCCTTCCCCAAATAGCTCCCTTTACCACCACCGAAACGGCTGTTAACCCTAATTTATGGCAATTTGAATGAGACTCAAGCAACAGCTGCAACTGGCTGCCTGTCATGACTTCCACTAGGCGCAAATGAACTCTTAATGCGGCAACTCCACCCCATCATACTCCAGCATAAAGACGCCCTATTTCCCTTTGTCCATAGGATGAGATGTCCATCCAGCTCATCGTGCAGGAGGTGCCCGAGCAGCCCAAAAATCTCCGCATCAACTCGCAGCAGTCGCGCAGCCTGCAGCTCACCTGGAGCCAGCCCTTTGCCGGTAACAGTCCCATTGAGGAATATCACATCTACTACAAGCAGATATCAGGTATTAACTCTTAATTAAATTATAACATAATTATTTTATTAAAAAATATCAACTATTAATTTCTGCCTTCCTCAGACATTTGGCAAAACTCGGAACACCTGACCATTGCCGGTTCCGTGACCGTGGTAAACATTCAACAGCTTCGCCCGGCCAAAGCCTATCACATCCGCATGTCTGCTGAGAACAAACTGGGTGCCTCTGAATTCTCTGAAGTAGTGCAGGTGACCACTCTGGAGGAGGTGCCTTCGGGTCCTCCGCTAGCCGTGCGCGCCGAGCCCAAAAGCTCCACCGAAATCTTTGTCACCTGGGATGCTCCGGAGCGGGATCACTGGAACGGCATCCTGCTCGGCTACTATGTGGGCTACCAGATGTCACTGACGCCCGAGGACAAGGAGGTGAATCCCACCCAGGGTTTCAGCTTTAAGACTGTGGAGGTGCGCTCCCACTTTGGTGGGGAGACGGTGCTGGCCAACCTCAACAAGTACACTCAATACCATGTGATTGTCCAGGCCTATACCAGCCAGGGCAGCGGACCGCCCAGCAAGGAGATTGCCGTGCAAACAATGGAGGACGGTGAGTGGGCGGGGCATGTGGGCGTTGAATGTGGGCAGAGCCCGTGGGATGTATCCTGTGGAGAGGCGGGCAGCGGCGGTTATTTCCAGGAGTCAGCTGGCATACATTGATTGGATTTGTTAATTGCCCGTGCACGAAATCTGACCAGGACCACGGACACTGGCTGCCCTGCAGTCTGACTTTGAGTCTGGTTTGGGGTAAAAGCACTAAGAAAAATTAAGTATTACTTGTTAAGGCTTTTAAAAAATCTTTAAAGATCTTGATCAAGTTTTGAAAGGAGGTAAAAATTATGAATTCCAAAATTTTTCTTTTTAAATTGTGGAATAAAAAATATATTCATATTAATAAATATATTTATTTTTTTAAGCTCATCTTTATACATTTTTTTTTAGTGTAAGAAAAACGTTTAATAAACTTTTTCTCTTTTCTGGCCTTTTCTCCTCGCTACAGTTCCCTCGGCTCCGCCAGAGTCGCCGCAGTGCGATGTCCTCGGCTCCACATCGATTTATATCACCTGGTCGCCGCCGGACATTGATGGCCAAAATGGCAAAATCAAGGGCTACAAAGTGTTTTACATATCGGTGGACGAGCTCTACGGTAAGTCCATTATGCAGCTCATTTTTTTCCCTACTAAAAGTTTTTCGCTTAAGTTTTGAGTGTTCCAATTGAAGGGTCTTAACTCGGGTTCATCTTTGAGGATATTTTATCGAAATATTGCCAATGAACAGGGGTTTATGTAGGAATTTTAAATATTTCTTAAATTTAAATAATTTGAAATAAATAAAATATCAGGATAATGAAATAATTTAAGAAATATGGAGAATTGCATCCCTAAAAAACATCTCTCGAAATATGAAATTTAAATTCAAAAGCTTTCAAATATTTAAATATATTTAAATAAGATAAATCAAGTTGTGGAGAATTAAAATCTCTTTTAAAACGGTATTAAAGTATGTCCTGTTAACTATGAAAATCACAGCAAACTTTTAGGCAACTTTTTTGAGAAAGAATTCACCTTAAAAATGCACTTTAATCAACACTCCTTAAAGATCACGTGGAATCTCCCGCCTGTCCGAGATAAAATAATGGCATAACTCACAATTGACCATACTCATTACTCAGAATCCATGGGTGGCAACCAATTACTTGGTTTTCCCCCGGGAATTCTCTGCATTTATGCAACAACAACGCCGGAAAGCGATGGTCAATTGCCGGGCTATGGAATGTGTCCAGAATGCCGTCTGTGTACCCGCCCCAGCTCAAGCAACTTATTTCAGAAATTTATGGCACTCGCCAATTAATTAGCCCACTTCATGGTCCGCTCCTCATATTTCCAATCAACGCTAATTGTTCGCCGTCTCTCTGTGCGGCACCTTTTCTGCTTCCTTTCTCCTGTCTCCTCTCTGCTCCCGCTGCTCAGAAACCGATCCGGAGGTTGTCAAGTCAACAAATCAATACGTCACCATCGAGAATCTGCGCAAGTACACCAACTACACGGTCTGGGTTTTGGCTTACACCAAAGTAGGCGATGGCATGAAAACCAAACCGTTTTATTGCCGCACCCACGAGGATGGTAAGTGGCGTTCGGTTCAATGAACGCAAACGAGGTGCGCCCTCCGCTCTCGATACCGATACCAATCCCAATCCTGCCACGTCCTCATCCCCATTCCCGGTCGCTGATATATACATTTATTCATATACCACACATACACCTACATGTATTTATTCTCTCCTCTTTTTTTTTTTTTTGTGTGCATTTATTTGTGCAATCGCATTGGATTCGCGGAATGCAGTGCCCTCCGCCCCGCAGGCCATCAAGGCGATACCCGCGTCGAGCACAAAAATCATAATATCCTGGCTGCCGCCCGACCTGCCCAACGGTGACATTGTGAGTATATATATATTTTTTTTAAGCAAGAAGGATATTGCAAATTTGGTCACGGGAAATATGAAAGGGTGGGCTCAGGCAAGGTCAGTTGAGGGGAAATATAAATAAAAGCAATAAACCTGCGGGAAAATATGAAATAATGTAGAAATTTAATAGTTTGTAATATTATATATTTAATAGAAATTATTATTATTATTTTTTTAAGACATTTTTAAATTTTATTTTGGTATGTCAAATAACTTTAATTCTTGTAATTATTTTAAGCAATTAAATTAAAAGTTAATCCTTTACTCCTCCTCCTCTAGACCGGCTACACCTTCTACATGTCCATGCTGGAGGGTGGACGCGAGGAGGGCACCCACAAGCGTCTGCTTGGACCCTATGTGGAGATGCACGAGACTGTGAGGACTCAGGAATCCGCCACCTACCAGTTCTGGCTGACTGCCTCCACCAAGATGGGCGAGGGCGAGAAAACCCAAGTGGTTACAGTGCCGCCCAATAACAAGGTGCCGGCACGGATCGTTTCCTTCAGCCAAAGGATAGTTACCCCCTGGAAAGAACACTTGGAGCTGCCCTGCCGCAAGGTAGGCTCTCCTGCCCCGGTGACAATTTGGCGTCAAGATGGACACAACATGGAGACGAGTGCCCGCAAGACAATAGCCAAAAACGGGACACTGTACATGAAGGAGTGCCAGGCAAGTGATGCCGGCAACTATACTTGCAGCGTGGAGAACACCTGGGGCAAGGACGAGATCGTGTACAACATAGTGGTGAAGGTGCCGCCAGAGGCACCCAATCTCACCGTGGTCAATACCTACACGGACAGCCTGCTCCTAGAGTGGCTGGACAACAGCCACGGCGGCAGTCCCATCCTTGGCTATGTTATAAACTACAAGCGGGACAATGGGGACTGGGAGGAGTTGCAGGTGGATGCCAAGACCACCTCGCACCTGCTGAACAACCTGTGGTGCGGCACCCGCTATCAGCTTTATATAACAGCTTATAACAAGATAGGAACAGGTTTGCCCTGCGATATAGTCAACTCCTACACAAAGGGCAATCCTCCAGTGCAGCCCAAGCACTCGCAGATGATCACCAACAACTCGACGAGTGTGACTTGCTGGCTGGATTCCTGGGGAGATGGTGGCTGTGGCATACTCTACTTTATGATCGAATCTAGAGTGTACGCCAGATCCTCTTGGACAGTGGTCTCCAACCACATAGCACCCACGGAAAGGATCTATACGGTCAGTGATTTGACGCCGGGCACCAAGTATCAGCTCAAAGTGACAGCCCACAACAATGCGGGCTCCACCACGGCTATATACAATTTTACCACGCTGTCTACTCAAGGAGGTGGGTTTTCCATAAAAATTACTAAATTTATAAATCATTAATTATATTCCCCTCTAGTAATGTACAACAATGACCACTCCACACCTGTCTCCCACCTGAGCGACCTGCCCTTCTATGCCAACTTCAAGCTGCTGCTGCCCATCTGTGTTTCCCTGCTAATGCTGCTGGCCCTCATAGGAGCCGCTCTTTTTCTACGCAAAAGAAGTAAGTAGAAAGCATTTATATCTGTAAAAATGTAACAAGAAAAATTCTAAAACTAAAACCTTTATTTCCTCCCTAAGTAGAGCTGAGCAACCAGGCCCGGCTGGCCAGCTCCTCGATGTCGGAGTCCCCTTCACTGGCCAATCTGCAGAACAAGCAGAACCGAGATCAGCAGTATTTGGCTGTGCGCTGTAATCCCGGCACCTCTGCTCCACGGGGCTCCAACTCCAACGACTCGGGGAGCTTTGGCAAGGCGGAGGGCAATGAGTACATTGAGGACATTTGTCCCTATGCCACCTTTCAGCTGAATAAGCAAACCTACAGCGAGAGCTCCTACAGTGGCAATGTGTACAGTGGGCCCTATCACTCGGTGCGCGGATCCTTTGTCTACCATGATGTCAAGCCGGAGAGCTATCATGTGAGTGGAATAAATAATATTATTAAATTAATACAATATATAATATAATCTAATAATATAAATACATTTTTCACACAGTCCAAGGAGCCGGAGTACACCAAAGTGCGGCGAAAAGTGGGCCGCCTCAGGGATCCGCACTCGGAGAGCCAAGGTAGCTATGGCCAGGACTCACTGTCATTTCTGCACCTATCCTGAATCCACTTTTCCATCCAAGACCGCTTAACCCTAAGCCCCCCGCTAGCTGTAAGCCAAATTGAATCATCGTTTGTCACAGTCGCCAAGCCCAACGATCCCCATCCCTAATCCCCATCCTGTGTGCCCTTGGTTTTAACCCCTTTAACCCGTTTCTCATTGCTCTCAACGTTTTTCTCCATTCTCATAACCGTACCTCATCTCGTATTAATCAACAAACAAAAAACAACGTATCCATCGAATCGTACTAAACTTTTAGAATCGGACAATCCAGGTTCAACAGATTCCGAAGTTAGGAAAATCCTAACGCTTCACATCCCAATTACAGAATATGACACACTCGGCTCCGAGTCCGACAATGATGTGTCTGCACGCGCTCTAAACTCGGCCAAGTATCGCGCCCAACGGGGTGAGTCTTCCAGGATATCCAGAAAATCCTTGGAATCTATTATTATCTTTTATTCTCCCCCATGGAAACACAAGCCATAACTTAAAGGTAACTCCCCCATCCTTTTTAGATACCCAAGATGAGACTTCATCCTCCTCCGAGACCACGCCCACTAGCATGACCCGGAAATCGAAGCCACCGTTTGCTGCCCGGAAGGCTGGTAAGCCCGGGACGAGTGGCAAGCGACATGTTCGCAGTTCCAGTGGCTACTCCAGCCACAACGAAGAAACTACTTTTAGGTAGGTGATCTAGATGTAAGCCCTGTTTGATCGATACCGAATGCCGCTACTTACGTAATCAGAACCCTGTACGTTTAGCATATCCAACTATCCACCAAACTATCAGGACCACATAAATCCACCAGCTCGTTTTTCGGATGCCAACGACAAGACGAAGACCCAGACGTCGCCACGAATGCGTGCCAACCAGAAGCTGCAGCGGGAGGCTTTCCAGATAAATGTCTAAGACCCGGAACCGGAACCGGAAACGGAGAGTTAATTTTAAAGCCTAATCTTAACTGAATGTACTATATAAGCGGGAAACGAAACTGTAAAATCTTGTTGTAAATCCACCCAGTAATGCGGAAATCAAACCGAAGAAGGCCCACACTTTCAAAACTTAAACAAAGAAAGTATAAAGAATAAGATGAGGAACTCAAAAAGAAAAACTAGCGAGGCGTTAATCATCTTATTCTATATATAGTCTTTGTCTAAGCTTTGACTAACTCAATCTACAAAAGGGAAACTCAACTATTTACAACGGAAAAGCGTTCAAGAAAATAACAGCCGTAGGAGAAGGGAAAGGAAATAACAGATTTTCGAAAGGGATTTTTGATTTTCAACTTAAGAATCGAAATGGCAACAGCACGAGAAATAAACCATAAGACTTATTTACACACTGATTATGCTTAGTTGAACTTCAAGAGCAGCATAAGTGTAATAAACATAAAGACGAGACGACGGATATAAATAAATTAATGTTATAGATCCTAAATTAAGCATTTAATGTATGATAAACCGAACTGCGGCAGGCCGCAGATGATGATGCTGCTGCTCTGCCGGCCAAAATCGAGGAAATCTAAGAAAATCTTAAGGCAGGGCACATGAAAATATATAGTACTAACATACATATATTCATATACGCGCATTACAATACTAAAAAAAAAACAACAACATTGGGCCTTTGTGCTGATTCTTTGCATTTTGTAGTGGAATTATGAACATTATTTCGTTGAACTAACAAGAAGACATTGTTTGTTTCCATTGAATCCATTTTTGCATCAGTTTGTAAGTGTTTTGCGACAAGAAGAATGACACTGTTAGCTAGTTACTTAAATGAATTAAATTAATTTACACGGGGATACAATAATAAATAAACACGAATGCATTCAGATAGTTTATGAAACTGTTGTACATAGCTAAGCGTCATACAATTAATTCTACAAAAATCGAAAAATAATATACAAAACCGGAAGTTAGAGGTAGGAAGAAATCGATTTTGACAATCGATTACTCTTAAAATTTTTCTTTTCTTCTTCTTTTCCTATACAAAACTCATTAAATTCGTATTATTAGTTATGAAATGATCGAAAAATATATTGATCTCTTTAGTGTAGAATTTTTTTCATGGAATAATCAATTTAATAGATATTTTATTTAAAAAATCGATTGTAAATCGATTGCAAATCGATTTTTTCCTAGCTCTACCGGAAACATACATGTATAAGAAGCGTATTAAATGTTAGATGGAAGGATATTACCAAAGGCCAAAGTCGTAAGCCAGCATGCATTTCCATAGGCTCAACTACTGAACCCGCGACAGACAGAGACCCCCAAGATATAGCCGAAATATTTGCCAAAATAGCATCACAGAACCCCGCTCTCCTGTACCATATATATTATGCATATATAGTATGTATTGTATGTAACTCTATTTTCCAAATAGCTACAACGACAAACAACAACCAAGCAACCAATTACATGACAATATGACACAACACGAGTACATTGCAAGCGATATAAAATGCATTAACGATAGAGGATAAACTTATAAAGTTCAAGTTGAAATTAATTAATTAGCAACTCTTCAGACTGCACAGCAAAAGGCGAAAGGCATTTACTTGAAAATCTTCAACTGCATTACTTGGTTGTACAATTTGGAATAAAGAATAAAAAATGTTATTAAGTAAGAGAACCTACATAAGCATGTTGTAAAATTACACACGAAATTCTTCTAAAAACAGCACAGTTTATGTACATTGAGCATACATAGTTCGCGGCAACAATGAGAGAAACTTCAAAGCAAAAATACATGACTTGACATATGATAAAGAAAACGTGTAGTTTTTTTTCTTTTTTTGGGAGATAACAATAAGTGGTTTTATTTACACTTGACAGAGTTGAGTAAAAGAGAGAGAGATGCCTCGGATATATAGCATAGATTCACACATCCTTCTCGTTTGCAATTGTTGCATTTAAAGCATTTTCATAGATATACATTACAGATAGAAAGATAGATACGACTGCTTCGGGACTAAGAGCTATACAATGATTGTGTGTGCTCGCTTACACCTATAACTTAGGGCTAGACAGGTTACAATTACATCCTAGAGTTGCTTTTGCGGCAATTACAAAATGGGAATTCTAACATTTCGCTTACAGAACACACGCTCGGGTTTAAGGTTTTTCTTTTATAAAACTGGAGTTACCGAGCTTGCTCCGCTAGCTCCTCCTTAAGGATTAAGTCCAATTCAGCTTTAGTGGCTTCTATGGCAAATATCAGAACATGATGGGCTTGTCCTTGCACTGATCTATTACATAGCCGGTGAAGCGCTTCAGAAACTTGGGATACTCTCGCTTGTAGACGGCCCTCAAGGCGCTGGCAGGCGCCCAGCCACCGGGATTAACTGGGAATGGAGAAAAACACGCTTTAGTAAGAGAGATTCTCTTAGTTTCCCCTTCAAAAATACTTACCCACAGAGCAGTAGGTGATTTTACAGGTTAAATCTTCACGATTCAGAGGCTGACCCTTGACATAACCATCGGGCAGGTGCGTCTGGCAGGCCAGTATGACCGTGAGGAAAATACGCACACACTTGCCATTCTTAGACTCCTGTTTGGCATACTCCGTGGAGTTGTTGCACACCACCCACATGTCCCGGGCGCCATCCTCCAGGTTATCGGTGATCTTGCGCATGTGCGACCAGAATTGTGCATCTCTTTGACTGGCTGGCCAAATACGTTTGTGGGTTTGCAGAAAGAGCAGGGTATCCGCCGAGATTTTCTCCAGAATTGTGCAGTCCTCCAAGGTGGCTGAATTATAAATCAAACTGTTAGTTAAGGAAACTCTAACTAAATTCCAGCTAAAATCCCAACACTTACTCTCCCAGTCGTTGCGGAATTCCGGCATAAAAAAGTAATGGCACATCTCTCGCGCCGTCACACCCTGGACCGTGTGATAAGCCTTTAGGGGGTCCATCACCAGCCCATTGACCTCCTCCTCGCGTTTGTACATTTTGATCTCACCCTCGTCGGCAAAGATTTGCCAGCCATTGCCGTCCTGGCCAACGCCCTCGCGTGCATAGTGCAGCTGCTCCTTGCACACGCGATCGATCTGTACGGGGGGATAAATCCAATTAAATCCAATTAGATGTATTGGCAATTTCCGTTGCTTACCTCCGGCCATAGAGCATGGCTCTTGGCCTCGGCACCCGTGCCGAATTCCTCGCGCGCCTCCTCGCCCTCGGCCACTGCCTCGTGGGGCACATTGACCAGCGTCTGGGAGATTTGGGATTGCAGCCTCAGCTTGAAGCGCAGCTGCATGTCCTCCTCGATTTTATCCAGGCCCGTTTCGACCGCATCAAAGAACTCATCCTCGGGCAATGTGGAATGTGGACCCTCCTGAAGAGAGTGAAAGGAAAAGTTCAAGTAAGAGGAAAGCTTGGGCTAACAAATATCTATATATATCTATGTATTTATCTTTCAAGGTTCGGCCTAATTAATTTTAATGACGAAACCGCATTCAATCCAATTGGAAAGAAATGGAACGTGCTTTGTATAAATTAATCGACGACACTTGTCGTCGTCTGTGCAGCCAAATGGCCCAAGAAAATCCAATTTATGCTGTTGTTTTTTTTTGCGAACGGAGATTCTCCGGCTGGCATGCGTAATTGGGCGAGCATAATGGACACAAAGGCGCATCATTGTGCCATGAATACGTAAGCTGAACCATGCCAGACGGGGCTTGGTAGTGCTCGTCCGCCGGCTGGAGTCCCATTAAAGCAGTGGAAACCCCCCAAAGGAAATGCTATTAAAAGGAACTTTTTAAATTCCATTAACTGAAAGGGTACTAGGGAAAGAGGTAAGACCATAAATAACAAGGAGTTGGGCTTTGCTAAAGGAGGAAGGATGAAATAACCAGTTAAACTTTGCAATTTAAAAATGAAAAAATTAAGAAAAGGTATTCAAGAGCTTTTTTTCCTAATAAAATAATCAAAAAGAGTTCTTAATAAGTCCTAAATATTCCAAAATATTTATCTAAATATTATCTACTATAGTTAGTTTATTCTTCCTTTATAACTAGTGACCACTGTACCCTAATCTGACGTCTGCTGGGTGGCGCGTGTATCCCCAGAACGGCAACAGGCACCCAGTAAATGCCTCGAATGGAATTTTTGCGGAATTGAATTTATATTTATTAATTAATGCAGACATGTGCGCGGCCACAGGCGTTGAAATAAATACGCCCCCACTCAAGTGCATCATCATAATCATCATCTTTATCGTCGACATTGGCCACGTCTTCATCTCTGGCCAAGTGGCGCCTTGGAATGTGGGCCAGGCGATGAAGTCATGGCCTGTTCAGCGACGTCGCCTTGTCTCCTCTTACCAGGCTCCTCCACGAATTTACCACGAATTCTAATCGAAAAAAAAAGTGTCCTTTTTTGCACAGCAGGAAATTAAGCGGGAGAGAGAGTCAGATTGCGTGGTGAGAGAGGCAAGCCAGCGAACGAACGAGCAAGCGGTGGGGGTAGCAAACTAGCGTGTCCACGCGAATCCTTCCGCTTGGCGCAAGGACACAAAACAAACTGTTGCTGGCTGCCAGCAACCAGAGCCTCGAGAGCCAGGACAACGAACGGAGAGAGTGCGTAGAGAGCCCAAGAGAGAGAGTGTGTGTTAAAAGCGAAAAGCCCCGCACAGTCAAAAGCTTCAATGAAAAGGATTTCTCGCATTTAAATCATAAATCAATGCGTGGGGTTTGCCAGGCATTAACAGAGGGGAGTCAAGTGGCGCAGGAGCAGGGGTAGGAGAGTGGGAGGTGGCCCACAAATGAGGCCAATTTTAGTTGTAAAAACCCAGCAGCAACTAACAACATTTAATCCCTCTCATTTGGGGGAAAACTTTAAGACACTAAGAAAAATTTTAGAAATAGTTTGAGAGGAAATACTAAGAAGATAAAGATTAACTAATGAAGTAAGTAAATAATAAATAAAGGAAATAATTCGTGATAAGCAAATGTAAAAACAAACATAGTACTTAATTACTTAAAAAATGAATACAAATAATGACAGAAAATCGTGAACAAATCAGTTTAAGAACTTCTAATTTATTTTTTCCATACAAATAAATATAAAAACAAGTAATAAAAAACCCTAGATAATAAATACAACTCCTAATAATGATAGAAAATCATAAAGAAATCTGTTTTACTATTTCTAATATATTTGTTTCTATACAAAAAATAAAAAAATCAAGTAAATAATAACTTTAGGAAATAAATACAACCCCTAGGAATGCTAGGAAATCATAAACAAATCTGTTTAAGTATTTTTTATAGCTTAAACTCAATTCTTAAATCCCAACTTGTTGACTTTTGTATATACAAATTGCACAGATAAAACCCCACACATGAAGTTCATAAACTGAAGCATTGGGCATTTCGCTTGATAAGCATTTAATCTTTACAAATTCCTATCTAAGCACCACACAATGTGTTGATATTTAATACAAGTTTTGTTTACAAACTTTGCATGAGCTACACCAAAGAAAATATATTACCAAACACGATTTATATGACAGATAAAATAAATAATAAATGAATGAAATAATGTATATATATCATTACTTAATGAGACCTATCCCTTATGAGCTCATTTGTTAATCTTATAAACAGTTTAGGGTGCATTTAATTAACACCTTTAAAAAAATTCCACTTTTTTTCCAAAACACTCCTTAAAATGTAAATTTTGTTTAGATATTTTTCGTCTGTGTACCATAATTTGTTTGACTTTGCCCTTCTGAAAACCGGAGCGCCAAATAAATCGCGCCGAGGGCATGCCGCCTTAGTTTTGTTTATAACTTTGTATATATACGAATGGGTATTATTTATATTTATGTATTTGTGCGTGCCGCGATTTCAGATTTGCAACATGAGCCAGCACAGCTTGCTCGGTAAATATTTTTAATAGCTCTTTCAATGCAACCGAAAGGAATTTCACAATCTGTAGCACAGCACACTCAATTAAAAGCGACAACGACATCGGCGACGACGACAAATATGAAAAAGAGAAACGGTTTCGATTTAAATTGTTTGCAGCCGCCTGGCAAAAAATTTGGTTATGATTTGTACGTGTTGGCGACTCGATTGCTGACCGCCGACTGACCACCACAAACCTGGCTCATAAGCCATTAAGCCGACAGCTGTAAGCCAGGCTAAAAACAAGCGGACAGGTGGGGAGGCTCTGTGGAAGTAGGTGGATTTTGAATGCTCTTTTTTAAGGCAGGAAATACTTTGGGGATTGAATTGTGTTTAATAAAATATTAATATCATATTTAAGGGATTATTACAAGGATTTTTAATATTTTATTAACACAATTAACACAAAGATTAATCTTTGAAAATTCTTTGAATAGGAATGTATCAAGCTACCTATGAAACTAGGCATAGTTTGTCGTAGATTTTAACCCTAATATCCTTAATCTTGTTCTTAAAAACAAGACTCCCCATATTTATCAGCTTTCTATCAACAAATATACTCGTTTCTCACCAACTGTTTTGATGATTTGTCAACCTCAATGTCTGCAATATTGGAATCGAGGTAAATCTTCCTCCAGCAAATGCCAGTCTGTCATTCTGTCAATTCAAACTAAAGAAACCGTCTAGACGCCCACTTTGTTCGCTTCACTAGTCGCCATTCTATGAAACCAAGAAGCCTCTACCAAGTCGAGTACTCACTACAACTCCATCATCTCCATCATCATCATCACATTTCCTACAATTATTGGACGTGTGCCATTAAATTGTAATTGAAAGGGCAAACAATTCAAACTTAACTAAGGCGGAAATGGTAAAAGAGATCATTGCATGTGCCCTCTGATAAAATCAGAACATGGGGGACTCCGTGTCAGGTCCATGATTCAATCGAAATCGCTTAAATAATAGTACGGCATGTTCTACTTTTCGTAAATATGATGAAATCTCTCTCGTCTGACACAACGTCGAACCGGCAAGTGTTTATTTTAAGACGCACACCAATCGCACGCAAATCACTTCATGGATTTAGCTGGTTTTGTTTGCTTGCTTATTTTCGGTGGGAACGTGTTTGGCCCCGATATGCGCGGAATACTGACCGTGAAACTGATTTCGCTTTGAGTTGCTTTCGGTCACTCTTATTACAAGTTATAAGGTGGAGGACTTACCTCGAAATCTGGGCCAGGATATGACAAGCGTTTCATTTTCTCGATTTCCTCTTTGAATTTTCTGTAAAGGAATAAAAAGCAGAGGAATTTTAAGGCTTAGCTTTGTAGTTTTAAGTAAAAACTATGTTAATTCTATTGTTAATTTGTATAATACAGATCAGCAGTAATTTATTAAATATTTTAATTATCCAAATGCAATAATTTCCGAAATCTAAGCTTTTTTTTAACTATAAAATCTCAAAGAATCCCTCTTTCTATATTAATACAAAATTATTCTTAAGAAAACTTGAAAATACAGTCTCCTTAGGTAACTCCCCGATTTCAACCTACTTGCTCTGATCCTCGGAACGACGTCGCTTATCAATCTCACGCTCCAGTTTCCGCTTCCATGAGTCATCGCTCTCGGCAATGATTTCCAGGCAGTGCTGCAATGTGGTGAGCACACCAGACGTAGTTGCCCGAAACGTAATGGATTCCCCCTGTAAATAAAAATACTCTTTATCTACATGGATTCCCCAAAGAATTCCGCTCTACTTTACCTTGAAATCTATGCACTTGAGGCCATCGCCCAGATCCAAAGGCTGAGCATTGTTCTTGTTCAACTCCGAGCAGGCATCAAAGTAACGCTGCAGGGTCTCGATCTGTCCAAATAAAATGTCCTTGAAGGTCTCCAGTTCACCAACTTTCTCGCGGAGATTCCGTTGAGTCTTTTTCAGGCTTCCGCCGCTGGTCAGCGAGATAGTGTTCGACTGCAGGCTCATGGTGCTGCCATGGCGTCGCAGCGAAGTGGTGTCCGTGCTGCCAGTGTCCTCCTTGTACAGCTGCAAGACCTCCACCCAGTGCATGCGATCCTCGCTGGTCTCCGCCCGCAGGCACCAGTTGTTGAGGTTGTTGACCACCACATCGAAACGCAGTTCATCGGATTCGTGGGCCTGGGTAAGGGAAATATAGCAAATAAGTTACAGTTCAAGAGGTGTAATTATGGGCAATTAATGTGGGAATTAATATATTCATTAATTGCAAAAATTCAATGCTAATGAGAAAACCAAACCTATAATTATTTGCATTTATTTATAGAAAAATTTAAGTTCTGGAAATACTTATTCATGATTCATTTCTCTTAAAAGATAAGTCATGAAACAAGGCTACAACTGTCATGATTAGCTGAACATTTCAAGGACGAGATTAGACCTCAATTTTCCCCCCAAAATTAGAGTGCAAATTACAGGAATGAGCTTTGTGTTGAGTCACCACTTGTGTTTTTATGTGGTTTTTGGCAGTTTCGACAGTATAAATAGATAATAAGTACACACTACACTCATTGTGTGAAACACCCTTCTTGCCAACACGCCCTCCTGTCAACAGCTAGCCCGAACGAAGCCATTAAAGCCTGGACAAGGAGAAAGAGCAGGCGCCACCTCCTCCCCCCAACCCACTTACATTGATGACTTCAATTTGGTCTATTTTCGTCGCCAGCAGCAGCAGCAACGTTAATTGATTGCGCTGCATTGATTGCGTCGCTTGGAATGGGAATAGGAATGGGCTTGAAAGTGGGACCCGGGACAGAGAATGGAAATGGAAATGGACTCGGCATCGACTTGGGTCATCGAGTTTTGTTGCTTTGACCGAAAAACACATGCGCACACACTCACGCCCATTACTTTTTTATTAGTCCAATTGAAAGCACTTGCCGGGTGGAGATTTTGCTATCCCGCCCTGACTGTAGCACCTACCTTAATGGTGGCCTTGGTCAGGCTGATGGCTCCGCGACACCCAAAGTCCGATTCCGACTCCGATTTGTAGTAGGAGAGGGTGCCATCCTTGAGGACTATGTAGCGCGGCTGCCAGCCATATATGTAGTTGGTCCACTTGCTCAGGTAGCCACGCAGCTCGATGCTGTTGTCCAGATACTCCTCCTCCTCGGAGGCGTCGCTCTGTGACCCAGCGGCCGCCTCATTGCTGGAGGGTGGCGATGCCGATACTGATACCGATGCAGATTCCCCTGCCTTGCTCGTCGACGCCACGTCCATGTCCAGTGAGTGCTCAGTGCCAAGTTATCTGCGAGTGGTGTGTGTATCTTAATCAGCAGGTTGCCGCCGCAGAAGATTAAAAATATATTGCGCCACGTCCGCGCAATGTAAACAACTACAACGCCGCCCGGCGGCTCCGCGAGCGAGCGTGCTGGGCAATTGAAGGCTGAAGGCCCATATCGTGATAATCCAATTCAATCAAGCAGAAGCAGCACATCATCACTATATCGCCTGACTCATTTCACTTCGCTCGGCGGCGGCCGCCGCTGCACCCTGTGGTTGCTGTTGCTGCTCCGGTTCGGGAGCCACCGCTCCTGAACTGGAGGAGGGTTCTGGATTTTCATCCCCTTTGGCCCCCGCCACTTGCAACTCACCGTTCGCTTATTGATTGTCCCGGCGCTCCGCAAACATCTGTGCAACACGTAACGCGCGCTGGTTGTTTTAGGTAAATAAAATAAACGAAAAGAACTCTCTTGCCTGCAAAAACCAAAACAAAGCTGTCGAGTGTGACCAGGCGGGGAGTGATGTCAATCCAGCCTTTTTCCCGTTAAATTCAGCTTTTTTTAAGTGTGATTGCGAGAACTGTAAAACAGCGGCCAGTGGAAACTCTTCCGTTTTTTAGAAAATTAAACCAGTATTAAATATAATTTAAATATAATTCTTTAATATATATTTTGCACTGCACTAACTCCAATGGCTAAAAATCCTAGTGCTGGAAAACGACCAAAGAAATGATGTGTTCACACTGGGCTAAAGTGTAAATAGTGGTTAGTGTTAAATAACGCCAGTTAATAACGTTTCCCGTACCAGTTTGGCGGGAATTTCAGTTTAAGTTTTATTTTGCTTAAAATAAATTTAAAAACTATTCAAAACGAGGGATATTTATTTAATTTTACGATAAGCAATATAATAAATTATTTTTTTGAATTCAACGTAAATAATTATATAAAAGCAAAAATGGTAAAAAAGTATAAATCAACAATAAAGTCAAGAACATAATACCGAACTCCACTAAGCCTTCCAAACACAGCGACTGTCTTAATCCATATTAATAAACAACGTATTAAGTTACCCTACTTACTCAGTGTCTGCTGTCCAGCTGCAGTTGCCTGTGAACAGTTCCCGATTAGAGTCCCCCGATGGAGCAAGGAAAACTAAAAGAAGCCGTTCTCTATCTGCCCGAAGGACATGTCTTCTTCCATGAGGGCATCAAGCTCATCTCGGACTACGGAGAGATTGACGACTGTGATGCGGACTGGCTGGTAGATGCTGAGGCCATTTGCCAGGTGCTGACAGAGGCAATGGCCGAGAAGGATGTGGTCTACAAGTACATGCTAAAGCACCTCCTAGCCACAGCCACGTTTTACAGAGGATCCAAGATAGACTTTCCGCTGGACTTTGAGCAGTACCTCCGCTTCCGGATGCCCTTTCCAGTGACGCCTGTCTTTAACTCCTCGCAGCCTGGTTACATCAACCTGTTAGCTCCCACCTCGCATCCCATGGTGAGCAATGGCTACGTGAATCCTGAGAGTGTTCAGCTCCTGCTGCGGGGAAACTTAAGGGATGCAATTAGGCGACTAGACGCCATCCGTTGTCCCAGTGGACTGCAGTACAAGTTGAGTTATCGAACGCATGAGATTGGGGATCAGGGATTCGTTCACGAAATCCTAGGCTGCGAGAAACGCGTCTCTGGCGGCATGCCCAGCGTTGTGTCCTTTGTCTTCCTGCCGGCTTTGGAGTTCAGTTTCGCGGAACATCCGCTGCCCACGTTTGTGCCCTCGGGACCAGCGTGGAGTCACTGCTGCAGCAGCACCTTCTACTGGCTGGCTCTGTTCCAGGTGTATCCGCACTTTGACCGCCGCAGCTTCTGTCCCTATGTGCCGAGGATGCAGGGTATCCAAGATGAGAGGATGATAAAGTACAGGAATGTCCTGCGCCTGCTGCTACGCATAGGAACAGGCAATAATATACCCGATATGTCGGATATATTCGTGCTAAAGGGCCTGCACTTTTATCGGCTGAGATATAATGCCAACTGTGACTGCAATCTGTCCTTGCCCACGCTTTTTATAGAGGTGAGTGGAGAATTTAAGCCGGAGATAATCCATTTAAGGTAAAGCTTTCCATTTACAGCTCCTTGGCATTCACAGGGAAATCACCTATAACGAGGCTTTGCAGCGATTCGTGACCTTTGGCGGGCAGCAGGCTCATTGGATGGGGGATGCCACCCGGCTGTACAGCATCACCAGGAACGTGGCCATGTTCTACTATATGAACTGCATACCTGTGGAACACCTGAAGCACCTGTTTGGCATTATTTAATCATCAATTCCTCTGGGAAAATGTCTGCTAATATTACGTATACGCAGAGTGGTTTATGTGGAAAAAAGCTGCAGACACAACACAGTTGTTAATGGGAATTAATTCTCTATTTATTCGAGGCTTCTCGAGGGAAATATGCCACAATTACAATTATTTACAGACCACAAATACAAACAGAGACCCGAGTCTCAGCAGTTAACAACAACACGCCTACGAAACTAACAATAAATACAATGCGTAAATAAAATAAATAATATTAAATAAATAATAATATTAATTAGTAAACGTTAACTACAAACAAGTGACTTTGAGCATTCCTAAACCTAAAATCTAGACGAGGTCAACAATGGAAGTTGCAGCCGTGGAGGAGCAGGAGCGGTATCAGGAATTTTCCTACATAAACACATCGTTGTCTCGATCTCGAGAGACGGGCAGTTGGATCACCTGCTCCTCGTGATACTCTCCCTTGGGTCTATTCGTTGTGGTTGTCCTTTTCGTCTTGCTCGCGGGCGCTGGCTTGGTGTACTTGCTGGCCAAGGCCTTGAAGATGCTCTTGGGACAGGCCTTGAAGTAGGGAAAGCACTCTCCCGGAGCCTGCTTGCCTTCGCCCACCTCCTGAGCCTGGACATAGTCGGGTACCAGCTCCGAGAAAGGCGATTTTTTGACCCTGAAAGGGAGAGAATTTTTGTGATCCCAGAAAAAACTTGTAAAAGTTATCCCACTCACGTTAAAAACAACTTGGTCATCTCGCCAAAAACACCGAACTTCTCCAGGCTGCGGGAGTGCATCTCACAGATGGTTCGCAGCAGGCAGGCCTTGCCGTCCATCCCAAAGGTGGACAGAAAGTCCTCTACTACACCATATAACAGCACACGCTCTCCTCCATGGAAGATGTGCTGCAGTCCAGCAGGCAGTTCTGGAAACTTGGGTCCCTCCTCCTGCACCTTAAAAGAACTATCCTCGTTGCTCCTACTTTGCTGCTCGCTGAGATCTCGCTTCCTGCGCTGCACATGCAAATACCTGGCCACATACTCGCCCACCATGTGGCCAGCCTCATGGCCAAAGGAGCGGGCAAAGAGGGGAGGCAGATCTCCCAGAGGATTCTGGTTGTCCGTCAGCCCCAGCTTGTCAAAGTCAACTATGGTGAGAGATCAAGAGATCAGTTAAGAGTTAATAGAAAAGTCAGTACCACTTACTGGTGACTGGAAAACTGATGGTCAGGTTGGAGAAGAAGCCCTCGGGCGGATGCCGTACCAGGGGCATGGCGATCGTAGGGGTAAATGTCAGCGATGTGCCTGGCGGCAGGGCCAAGCGCCCATCATCCGTAATCCAGATCAAACGCTTCTTACGTATGTGTGGTGTATCTGGGGAGTCGGATTCATAGTCCGGCTTGGCCAGGGCCTCGGCATCCGCCAGCTGTGCTGCCAAATCGAAATCCTGGCCAGCAGCATCCGGCTGTCGATTAAGTGCACAAGTGATTGGACACAAGCAGACAAGTGGCAGAAGCACCAAGAGGAGGAGAAGGTGTTGACGCCTTAACGCGATGTCCAACTCCATCATGGGTTGATGCTAAGATGGTGATAATTGTGAATAAGTTGATTAAGTTGAGAGAGAGAGTAAGATCTGTAACCACTTAATACATCATCTAAGGTGGTTTAAAAGATGGCTTTAAGTTTGAATCAAAACAAGGCTTATTAATACCTGGATTATAAAGCTTTTTGTAAGGTAATAAAGCGCTTGGCTTAACTGGAAAATTGTATACTAATCATAATAGTGTTTAGATGTTAATAATAATGTTTAAAGTTGATAGAGCAACAGGTAATGGATCGATCATTCGGTGAATGATGAGGCTATTGAGAACGTGTTAGTAGTCTAATGACTGTATTTTAACGAAAAGTGAATACTACTTCAATTTCCTGTATTTATTTAAGCAATCTTTCCAGTTTTTCTTCAATTTGTAAGCCTGATAAGATTACTACTCCTCTCTCCTTTGAATTTCTTTCAAAACAAAACACTTAGGCAGCAAACTCGATTAGTCTGGGAGTTCCATTCCAATTCCAATTCCATTTACCATTCCTGACTGGATATGATAAAAGACTGGCCTAATGGCTATCATTATACAACAGTTGTATAACAGCAATTGTGGCCAACATATAGACTTCACACACACCGTTCTGCATCCTCTTCCCACACCCCCTTGTACCCCCTCCATCAAACATCCCCCTGTTCTTCTGAGTTTTTCTATATTTTCAACTGGTTTCCCTGCTCCGAGCGCTTTGTTTTGGCTGCCTGTCGAACGAGGTTTTGTGTTTTTGGGAAAGCTTCTCTCTCTGGACATTGTTCCAGCTGCACTTGTTGAAACCGTTAGGCTATATGCTAAGGCATCAGAGTCACAATACCAGAATTGGCAAGGTGCGTGAGCAGCAGTGAAAGCATGTTAACAAATTGATTGATAATTCTAATCGAAACTCGTTGAGGCAGACGAAGATTTCACCCCGAATAGAATCGAAATGGAGCAATAGCAACTGCTCTCTCTCTCTTTCAAAACGCACTTTTACCGCACCATCATCGTCAATGATGCAACTAGGCGGAGGAGCAAGTTCTCCAGCCGGTTCGGCTATCGATGGCAATGGAGTGTTTGCAGTTGGCGATCCGTTAGCGATCCAAGGCGATCATTAGAGGCTGCAGCAGCACCAGCAGCAGCACTTTCCCAAAGGCTGCAATTTGATGGCCAACTGGGAGGTACAGGTTCCCCCCAGCTATATCTAGAATCTAGACCGAGGAGGCATTCCAGGCAGCTGCTCCACACACAACGCCGCCGCCAACTCAAAAGGTTTGGCCAGAGAGTTTCTCCCAATTTGACACTGACATCAAAAAACTGAACAAGACATCTCATACGATGTGGGTTAAGGCCTTAAAATATGGGATATATTCATCTAGACAGGGGTTTTCTAAAGAAAATAATTACAAAATTGATTACACCCACCCAAGGTTAACGGATATTTAAACGTGGTAAAAATAAATTAAAATTCTTTGAAATATGACTAAGCACGGGCCTTGCCAAACTAGTTTATAATCCTTGCTTCTCAATCCAATTAGCCAAAGGTCTGTCAGAGTTTCTCCACATTTTGACACTGATACTTGGAAATTAGGACTAAAAACCAACACGCTGTCAGGCCATTACTTTGGGCGTTACCAACGAAATGTAGATGAGAATTAATTGCAGTCTTGAAGGCAAAACGGGGCCACTAACTAGGCTGAAACAGGAGCGAAGTGCGTTGAGGAAGCGCCACAACTGGCCCGTCCAGTCCATCCCAGCCGGGTTAGTCTCACTCTAGCCAATCCACTTCAGTTGACAGAGAGGCGGCAGACTCTCGCTTATGGCCATGACTGGTGGCGGTATGTTACTCATGTTGGCCAAGGATCATTTTGATTTCTATGCGCAATTAGCAGTAGAGCAGCAGATGAAAACCAAGTCGAAACTCAGATGCCTTTCAGGCAGAATGTGTTCCAAATGTTAAATCAAATACTACAACTAATACTAATCAAAAAATGAGATAAAAATTTACTCCTCAAATTGTGTAAGTGTATTTTTTAGACATTTTAGGGAAGAATACTTTGAATAAAGAAAGTTTTTAGTATTAAAGGTTTAAAATAACTCATAATTTGCTTATGATAGAGAATTACAATTAAAATTTGGAAATTTCATAATCAAAAACAAATACAGTAATACATTGAAATAAATCTATTAATTTTCGACAAGTCCAAAAACTATAAATTTATTTAAAACCCCAAGCTAAGTTTTCTCTATGTCCTGTCACTCTCTAAGCGAAGAAAACATTTTTTGGAAATTTGTTACACAAATGTCAGCCACAAGTGAGCATTAGATAGCCACCTGTTGTTGGCCAAATCCATCTGCCAGGTGATTTACCCTACGGTGGTGCAAGTGCAATGTGATGGCAGACACAAACAAACAACAAACACGCAACAAATGTCAGGTCGGAATGCCACATCCAGGAGGGAAGTGAGTGAGCTGAGACGAGACAGACTCTGAGGCAGAGACTCTCCATCTCAAAAGAGACAGTGGAAAGCCTTCGCAACTTATGGCGAATTAGTGCAGCGAGCTTTAATTGGCGGCTGCTAAATATGTCCATGTCCGTCTGTCAGAATCCAGAGACTCTGTTTGCTTTTACGATAAAGAAATTTACTTAATTTTTTTTGCATTGAAACTGAAATCGAAAAACTGGGTCAGCAGGTGAGCGCTGGCACTTGAGATCGACAAAATAATACTCGTAATTTTGATTATTTCATTCCCGATTGCCTTCGAAATTGACACACGCCGAAAGGTTCGGTTCGCTTCGGTTTGGTTTCGGTTCAGTTCGTTGCTTAAGTCTTTCGTTTTAACGGGCACGTTGCACCCGCACTCGCAGCAGCAATGGTGCTGAATAATTAATTAAAAATCAACAAAAACAAAAAGCAATGCTTGCGAAAGGGAGGAAAGTGCAAGTGGTGTCCAAGTGTCCGGCGGATTCGATGTGCGTGCCTCGAATAACCGAAGAAATCAATCAAAAAGAGCGGGGGTAGAAAGTTGACAGGCGATAACGCCGGATGCATGTCAATTAGGTAATTGGTAATTTGGGTTTTATTTTGTAAGGTTTTTTTTTCAGCGAATTCTGCGTCTGGCTGGATCTACGGAGCTGGAGCTTACATAATTTGAATCCGCACAATCGGCTGGGAAAGATCTGACTGCGTGAACTTGTCCTAGTTTCCCTCTGGCTCCTTCTAATCGTGTTTAAAGTTTAGTGAGAGATCACGCGTAGGTTTCTTTTGCCAGACAACACGATTTTCACTTGGCCAATGTCGATCCTGTCAAAGCCTCTATGGTTTCTCGACTCGGTTTTATATTTTGTACTTTTTTTTCGGGACACGTTCCGACAACCGCGCGCGCTAGCGTTTGAAATTCAACTAAAGCGGCCAGCGGCCGTGGCGAGCGATAAAAAGCAACGGCGAACGGGCCAAACTACAATGCATAAGCAGCAGCGAAGAGCCAAGAATCCAGGCGGGGATCGGATCGGGCCAAGTCGGGGCAGGCAGAAGCCACTCGCAGCCGAAACGGCAAACCAGTATGCGAGTTTAGCCTGGCAAATATATACGTTTGATATTCGTGGTCGCTTTGGCTCTCGGTGTGTGAAGTTGCCAATTTGGTATTTGATTTCCTCTTAACCCGGAGCAGGCTCTGCCTGGGCGGCGAAGTAGGCGGAGATCAGGTCTAGCGCTGGGAGATGAGTGCTGAGAGCTGGGAGCACTTCTTAGCCTGGCATACCAGTGACTCACTCAGGAGGGTTTTCCTGGCCACGGAATTAGGTCGCAGGTTTTTTCTTGGAGGGAGATTTCAGTTTCTAAGGCTTGCCAATTAATTTCTCTTGTACAGTGCACATAGAAAAATAGTGTTCTGTTAGATAAGATAATTGTTTGTATTACTAATTACTAATATTTAAATATTAATGCAGGTTTATTTATTATTTAAACTTTAAGAAAAATGTTATCTCTATCTTAAAAGACGAATAATGAGAATGTCCTATTTTTCGTGTATTTCTCTGGGACCTCATATTTTTTTCTGTGCATGAACGATGTCCATCACCATCATCCTAATCGTGGGACAAGTTCTCTGGCAAACTCTGCTCTAAGTCAGCCGCAATTAAACTTTCCATGCGAACTGGATGCCACTCGATGCCAGTGCGTGTGTGCGCATCTGGCATGCGGTTTCCAATTCGCTTGGCAATCGAAGCAGTTGCTGGTCAACTCATTTGCATACAACGAGGAGATAGAACATCTTGCTTGGCCGCCTCGCTTCCGCTGCGGTTTGAAAGTGAGTCTCGTTTCGCCGCCTAGAACTGGAAATTTTCAAATTGTAGGTCAAGGTCTCTGGTCACTGGGGAAAGAATTTGTCTCTTTGCAAATTCATTGGGGGAAATCTTTTGGGGAATTCTCTGTCTCATAAAAATATTTACTGGCCCGTTAAGTAAACTCTTTAGCGTCAAATGGCGCCATCATCAAGGTACGTGGTGAAAATTTATTGGAGTCCCAGGCGTTATCAGAGGGCCTCTGTACTACGTGATGGTCGCTTTAATCGGGCTAAGTACACACCGTGCTTCACATGGATTCGCACGCACAACCGAGGCTTTCCATTTGCGATTCATTTAAATAAATCGTCAACATATTTAAAGCCTTTATTGCGTAATGATTAAATCTAACAATAAAATTTCCATTTCCAAATGGCCGGTGCGAGTTGGCATGTCGATATTGGAAAATTTTATGGGCTAGGCTTTCTTAAATGCAATAGCCCACATTTTTATCCAACGGAAATAAATCATAAAAATAAAATGGAATATAGTGATAATGCCTAAACTGCAAATATCATTCAAATTGGTGAATTACTGCTGCATCTAAGAGAAAAAAAACTTAAATAGTTTTGTTTAACATTGAATTATACTATAATAACAACTAGACTTTGTACAAATATTAAACCTGAGCTTATTTAATATTTTAAAATTAAGCCGTATTTTCAGGTGATAATACTAATTAATAAGTATAGTTTAAAACAAATTACTCATAATTTAATTTAACGGCTCAAAATCTTCCAAATCTAGCGGGAGTTTTAAGAACTATTACTCTTGCAACACTAGCGGCAGAATTTGGAACTAACCGGATAAGGCAGCACTGTTGCCAGACTTGGTGCGTTGCCAGACTTTTCGTTCATGGGCGACCAAAAAACATCGATACTATCGATAGTGACATCGGTCTCCCTAGAAAATGGTAACAATTGTGGTTGGCCACACTATGGTGTCATTCCCTGTTTTTCCCGTCAAATTCAGCTTATTATTAGGTGTGATTGCGAAAAATTTTAAAACAGCGGGCTGCGGGAATTCCAGTTCTAAAAAAAAGAAAATTAAAGCAGATTTCTAAATGATCCTGCTACTAGGCCCTAACTAACTAATAAATTTAACAAATTATTTTTAAAAAATCAGTTTTTTTCTTAGCTATTTCCCCTTGGAATTTGTCTTTTTTAAGCTGTTTTGTTTGGTTAATCTAGCTGTTTTTCTCAAAAAAGTGACATCACTGAGCTGAGGAAAACGCAAATTTCATCTGGCCACACTGTACATATGCAACTGAAAAGAAAACGGTGAAAATTGTGGCTGGCCCCGTGTGGCCAAGAATAATCAGAAACGCGGGCAATAACAATATAAATAACTAATAGCCGCAGGAGCGAGTGCATCCGTAGCAACTGCGTTCTCAAGGTGGCCGTTGCTAATAAGTAAGTGTAAGCGAATGAGAGCGCAAAGCAGATGGCGAGAGCGTCCCGCGCGTCAGTGTGTGTGCGTGAATGAGAAGTAGAAAGCGGCGGTAAAAACCTTCGCGTGTAAGGGAAAAACACCAAATCATTTTGATCGAAAAATAATACATAATTCCCGGGAAAGGGAAAATATCTGTGGAAATCGGAAAAGCAGGCGGAGCAACAGTCGCCGAAAAAGAGAATCTGCGGACGAAAACAAAAACGCTTTGCAGGCAGCCGCCGATACTGAAAGTGCCAGCGTGTGCGTGCGTGCCAGCGCGTCGTGTGTGTGTAGTGGTGTGGGCAGTGAGAACGGCGAGGAGAAAACAGTGATAATCACAAACGGGCAAATAGATTGCTGCAAATGGTTGAATAATATTTAATCCAACACCGCCAGTGCTGCAAAAATCGGTCTGCATTATCGTAGTGTATTCAGTGTTGCACATCGCGGCCGCCCAAACGCATAATCCAACGCGCTGCCCCCGCCGCACCTCTCTGTATTTGTCAAATTGACATTGTCAACATATATTTCTTCCGAATAACTTTTGGGCTTCTTTCCGTTTGCGAGGTGAGTTTTGTTTATAGCTAGTGTTGATTGCCTTCCTGGCCCAATTGACATTCCGATGTTCGGCGGTCTCATCGCACCGCAAATGCGCTGAAACTGTACCATATTGCGGAGAGCGGAATGCGGGGCGGTACGGTGAAGACTGTCTAACAGGAATTCCTTTTGGAACAAATAGAATTTGTGGAAGGGGGCACAAGTACTTGAACATGAAAAAACACTGTGAGAAAACTCTTAAAATTGATTTGATGAAAATATTTCACATTGCCCTCCATTAATTGCTTATCTACAGTTGCTATCAAAATAATAACACTTACAAAAATTGTCTTTAAAATTTGTTTTATTTAATATAAAAAATTCCCGTTTAAACGAATATTTGTTTCGCTATGTTTTAAATAATATTGAACCTTACTATTCTATATAAATAATACAAATAATTTATTTCATGAATAAATCAAAATTGATATTTTTTGACTGAAATTTAAATTTATGTCACAGTTTCTCTGAATAATAAGGCCAATAAGGTCAATTAAAAACCCTCCAAATATTGTATTAACTTACTTTTTTTCATTGCAGATTAACAATGCGTCACGATAATCAGCCACGGAACCTTATAAATTGTTGTTTTTGATTAGATTTATGCAATTTCTCGACCATCCTTAGACTACGTAGTACAAGTACGTAAAGCGCTGCATCCTTACCCTTGAAAGGTCGGATCAAAGGGCAGAACCCAAACCGTACCGAAAAAGCAGCACAGCTATAAAATGAGCAGCAGCACAAGTGGCAACAAAGCCCGTCGCAAGCAAAATCCCGAGCCACCTGTCCATGAACAGGACCCGATGGCGCTGAATCACCTGAATGGGATGGCCAACGGAAGTGGTGGTGGCAAAAGGCGCAGGGCCAGCAAACATACAGCGACAACGGCTACGATGACAATGCCAACGCTAACCAATGGGGTCAGCAAGAAGGCCAGATTAGAGCATACCTTAGAGGAGAGTTCCTCTTCCCGTTCTGGAACCGCTTCGGCCAAATCTCTGGCCTATAACAACAATAACAATAATAATAACAACAGCATCACTGCCACCAATGGCCAGTACAACAGAACCAACAACAAGAACAGCAAGGAACCCAATTACAATTACCGAGACACACACTCGCCGGCAACTCCCCCATCGCCACCATCGCCTCCATCCTCTACATCGACTGCATCACCTCCGCCGCCGCCGCCTGATGACCAAATCCCCGAGATCGTGTGCATTTCGGACGCGGAGAGCGAGGAGGAGCTCGATCAAGAGCGCGACTACTATGATCAGGATACAGAGGAAGAGGAGCAGGCCGTGGACAGCGAGCTGGAAATTGACGAGGGCACCCCGAGAGCCACATGCAATAATGGCAATGCAAATGCGAACGCGGCTGCAGCAGCCGCTGCTGCGGCAGCGGCAGCCGCATCGTCGGAAGCCGCATTACCGGCAAACAACAATACCACCAGTTCCACATCGCCCATCGATCTGGATAACGTGGCGCACCAAGAGGAATTGGAGCAGCTCACCGATTTGCGATCCTACGGTAAGTAACAAAATCCACAGGGAATCCCCTTCTTATCGTGGGAAGCGATAATGCCATTGAAATCTAAAGTAAACACAAGTAAGATAACAGAATTAGATACCCGAAATGTTTAATGGCAACGAAAGATAATATAACCTTGGTAACCCAATTGTGTATTGATACTTTAAAAAACAGGTTGAATATAAATACTTTCACCCTATATTAAGGAGTTAAGTATTTTTTTTTGCATCTGTTATTAAAAGAATATTCTATAGTGTAGTTTCTACCAGACTTCAGTTCAGAGTACTTTTTAGTACTTAATTATGCATTCGAAAAGCAATATAAAAACTGTTCTTAAATAATTAATAAGCTGCAACTACGCGTTTCAACCGAAGATGCCTCCAAAGTTTTTAATGTAGAAGGAGTGTCTGGCTGACAGTTGGTCAATGCCAGTTAGAGCGCCGCCTCCGGTGTCCTTTAGAAAGTGGAGCACATGCATTTAACCTTGACACAATTACCCAGAAAACACAGCCCGGCTTTGTACGGTCTTTGAGTCAGTTTCAAAACTACTGACCCCCTCAATGCGCCCGCCCGACCTCTTGCTCTTCCTTTTCCCCCCATCTCAGTACTCACCTCTCACCACACTATATTCGAATATACAACGTGTACAGACATACATTAAGCAGACACAATACACCACCCAAAAGGCCTGTTTGTGCACAGTGGGATGCAATTGTGAACTCCTAACGGGTTCAGTGTTAAATTCAGAACCTTTTTTATGGCATTAACAAATATCTCGATAATTAATATTTGCCAAGTAAAGTACTCTACCTTTTGTAAGTGGTATACAACTCTTGGCTTAGCATCTTTTCTTTATTTATTTCAAGTTTCTTGAAAATTTAGACATGCTTCTGAAAGATCATTAAATTGAAGGCTTTAAAAGAAGATTAAATTAGAGAGAAGATGTTTATCAATTTGTTCTTTTTATTTCATACACTTACATACAAATAACTCACCTTGCTGAAAATAATAATAATAATAATAATAATATAATTATTTAAAATATAATTACCAATCCACTGTGCTGCCTTTCATAGTCGTGACCATGTTCGTTTGTACATCGGCGTTTATATACATACATATATAGTACATTGCATGAGTGTTTGCTGTATTCACAAACATGCTTGTTTGCATAAACGGTCCGTACTGGCAGCGTTGTGTTGTTTGTAGGCAATTTATTTACTTGAACTTGACAATGCAACTCGCCGAACATACCAAGCATAGATGGAGGAGCAAGTTAGCCTTTGGGATAATTACCTGCAAATTGATAGGTGAGCTGTGTTGTGTGTGGTTGTTTAATTATCACAAGAACGCTGACACGGCATATACATACAGTGGCTCACAGCTTATTTCAACCAGACCCAATCAAAAACTTTAAATGCCTGTAAAACATAAACCAAAGGCTTTTTCCAAAAAATTTAAACGCACAATGTTAGATTTGTGTTCAAACATAATATTTAATAACTTCATGTATTTTTTTTTATTTTTTTAATATTTATTTTTTAATTAATAACAAAAAACGACGAAAAATAAGGCCACAGCTTATTTCAACCAAAAAGTTTGCAGTTTTGCTATGCACCGTTATTTAGAAAATTAGGTGTTCTAAATTTTTCTGTGCTTTGGTCAGTCTATTCGGAGTTGGTTCAAGCTTATTCTTGGAAAATTTGGCAAGAATTTAGTGCGCGAAAATTCTGTAAGAAAAATGGGACCACGTACTACAATCGAACAGCGAGAACTCGTTATTAAACATTTCAAAAATGGAAACTCGCGTCGGAAAATTGCCGAAATGGTTGGTCTAAGTGATTCCACTGTCCAGAGCATCATATACCGCTTTGTCCGTGAGAATAGGGTGCACGATAACGGAAGAACGGCGCCCAACAAAATTTTTAATCCAACAGATGAGCGCCATATCGTCCGGAAAATTCGGGAAAATCCCAAATTATCGGCACCGAAGATTGCAAGTGAGGTGGAGACCGAGTTGGGCAAGTCCTGCCACCCAGAAACAATTCGTCGTGTGCTCCGAGAGCATGATTATAATGGCAGAATAGCACGGAAGAAGCCGTTCATCAGTGCCAAGAACATCAAGAGTCGCTTAAATTTTGCAAAAGAGCACTTAGGAAAGGAATCTTCATTCTGGAATACAGTCATCTTTGCGGACGAGTCAAAGTTTAATATATTTGGCTCAGATGGTGCATCCTATGTGTGGCGAAAGCCGAATACTGAGCTGCAAACAAAAAACTTAAAAGCTACAGTTAAGCATGGCGGTGGAAGCGTTATGGTATGGGCCTGTATGTCGGCAGCAGGTGTTGGAAATCTGGAGTTCATTGAGACAACTATGGAAAAAACCCAATATCTTGAGATTTTAAAAAAAAATTTGATCGAAAGCGCCGAGAAACTTGGTATTCGGGAAGATTTTCGTTTCTACCAGGACAACGATCCGAAACATAAGTCGGGCATTGTGCAAGCTTGGCTCTATTGGAACTGCCCGCACGTTATGCAGCCGCCAGCACAGTCGCCCGACATGAATGTGATTGAAAATTTGTGGGCGATTTTGGACACAAACATCAGAAAACGTAAGATTTCGAATAAATCGGATCTGAAAGAGGCGTTGAAAGAGGAGTGGACAAAAATAGCCCCAGAAACAACCCAAAAGTTGGTGGATTCCATGCCAAAAAGGCTTAAAATGGTTGTGGACAACAAAGGTGGCCATACCAAATATTAAATAAAGTATTAGTCATCTTTAAGCATTGAAAATACATAGAAGTACCGACCTGGTTGAAATAAGCTGTGGCCTTATTTTTCGTTGTTTTTTGTTATTAATTAAAAAATAAATATTAAAAAAATAAAAAAAAATACATGAAGTTATTAAATATTATGTTTGAACACAAATCTAACATTGTGCGTTTAAATTTTTTGGAAAAAGCCTTTGGTTTATGTTTTACAGGCATTTAAAGTTTTTGGTTGGGTCTGGTTGAAATAAGCTGTGAGCCACTGTAGGTAGGTGTTATCTTCTCCTCTCTCAAAACAAATATACCACGAAAAAATAAGTGATCTTTAAACTGTTCAAGTAATTTATTCGGTTAATGATTTCCAAAGAATTTCGGCACAGAACGTTGATTTAAAGATCACATTAAACAAACCTAACTCGAAAGGCTCTGCTATTCAGGGAATTATTTTTCTTTCTAACCAGTAGAAACGTCTAGGAAATATATATATAAAGTACCTTTTCAACCCCTTTTCCATAAGTTTTCAATGATCTTTGGCACGTTTCTTTGGACAGTACTATTGTTGCTTACAAAATTACACTTGGAGTAGCAATATTTATCAGTAGACATGGCAAGAAAAAAATTAAAAGGTTGCTATCAGAAAATTCCACACTTGTTGCGGTTATTATTGTTCATATATACCGTCGGTTGGCAGCGTTCATTAAACTTTGCCTAGTCGGAGAGAGAAAATACATTTTGTTTGTGCGGTTTTTTTCGGTTTAAGAACCTGTCAAGAAAAATATAATGCATATCAAGGCCAAGATACATATATCCATAGAGATTGGGTTGCTTTAGCACTTGATTCCAAATGTTATCCTTTACCTCATATATTTTTAGTGTTCCCTTAACATGTATCCAGTTAAGTTTTCACACCATCTTACCAAAACTGTTTTCTTGTTGAATCGATATTATTTCGGTGAAAAAGTTGTTTCCCCATTATTCGCCACCCACGGAGAGAGTCCTCGGTTCATTGGACCCCCTCGAGAAATTCGGAACGCGTCATCGTCAGTCATCCCGAGCGTTGTGCTGGTGTTTTGCGTAAATTACACTTACTTGCTGGGCTGTTTAGTAAGTTGTATTTTCAAACAACCCAACAGGTTCGCCCAGCAACTCGGTTTCATTAACCCCCTCAAATGTTCCTCGATTTCACAACAACTCGAAATTTTGATGGTTCGATTGCACGAGGGTTGAATGCACGCAGCAGTAGGCAGATATAGAATGTAATGGCGAACTTATGTTAGACTCGAATTTTACATTTACACTCTATTCTTTGCTGTGCACTGAACTCCTGCGAATGTCCTTCGGGGTTCAAGGACAATTTCACCAGCTGCTGCTTGCGTTGCTGCGGCTAGCGTTCATTTGTCAAAGCAGGAGCCAAAATTCGCATTTATTTGCGTCACACGCTCAGACTTTTGGAGCGGGAGAAGGGTGGCCAAAAATGGATCTAACTGACTAACAGATTGAGGATGACCATATACAAATTAGTCACTTGGGAACGTTCTACTTAATTGCTATCAAATTGAATTACACGCGTTTTATAACCCTTCGGTTTCTATTGTAATAATTTATATTGTCTTTTAGTGGAATATAACTAATTAATATTTTTTATTTTTTGTTTAAGTAATAAAATATTTTTCAATAGTTTCTTTTTAATCAAGATTCTTTAAAATATATCTTAAATTAAAGTTAAATTTGGATTTATACATTAATTGGTCTTGCTAAAAATATTATTGTAAAATTTTAAATGCATTACACCTTTCTATTTTTTAACAATATTAAAGTTTATGTAAAAATTGTTTCCATACTAAGCCTTCGGTAATTGCAATTAGCAAAGTTTCACTGTAACTTTGTAATCCTCCAAAAAGGTTGTCTGGGCCTTGTAATAACCGTAAACTCGGCTTTCGTGGCGAGACGTTCGGGCCAATGAACTGTTACAGCCTATGTTGAAAGTTGGGAGAAAGGCAGGAGTCGCTCACTCCCTCTTGAGAGGACAATTGGTGCTTGGTTTAGGGATGATGAGTGTACAAACTGTGGTCAAAAGGAATTGTAGGGAACCCATTTAAATATTTATGTATAAACAAATGGGATAAAGCTGTGAACTTATTAACCTTTTATAAATTACAATCAAATATTTTTTAATACTAGACATTTTTTTGGACATGTACAAATTTCAGTTCACTAATCGATTATATCTGAACATGAAAATATATTTTTATTTGTCAAACTTTATTATTAAGTCCTATGATTTTGTCGCCAACTGTATCCGCCACCCACCTGCTGCGCAGCCCGACGAAATCTTAAACTCTTAATTCTCTTTTTGTTAATTATCGCAAAGTGCATTTTCCACTTGCCTGTCTGCGTTTTCCCCCTTTGCTTTCGTCTCGTTTCGCATAGTTACCGTTATGCGTACTAGCCTCTAAAAGCGGAATGAAGTGTCTGGCACGTGCTGCGCTGGCGATAAAAATAAAAAAGGCGATAATTCGAATCACATGTGTCAAAGTAAAAATAATGCAAACGACTATTTTTATCGTCCCCCCCCCCCAATCATTCATACATATACAGTGGTGCTCATAGACTTAAGCCACAAGACTTCATCCAAGAATTTTAACGAAAATTAAGAAAAGTTTTTATTCCACAGCTCCAATTATTTGTGTCACATTAGTTCTATATATCAGTGTTCTAATAAAAGAATAACCAAGTTATAAAAATATATATTCAACGAAAAATTAAAAAAATCTGAGACCAACCCGAAAATGTCCTGCTCACATACTTAAGCCACCTGGAAGAAAATGATCCAAAAAGTTAAAATTTGCCCAATATTCCTTATAATTTTAATAAATTTAGTTTAATATTAAGTGGGATGACCTTTCTGATTAAGAACAGCGGAGCAACGCTTTGGCATTAAGCCCACAAGACGTGCGCACTGATGAGGGGTGATTTTCTTCAACTCTTCCTGCAAAATATGCCAAAATCGTTTTTTTTGCTGTTTTTTTGGCCAACGACTTGTTTAAGAATACCCCACAAGTTCTCTATAGGGTTCAAGTCGGGGATCTGCGGTAGCCATTGCAAAACATTGATTGTCTCTTGGCTAAGCCACGACTTGACTATCTTGCTGGTGTGTTTCGGGTCGTTGTCCTGTTGAAATATCCATGCAAGTGGCAAATTATCGGCATATTCTCCAGATAAATTGTTAATAAGGATGTCCCTGTACATTTCGCCGTTCATAATGCCTTCTATCTTCTTTTGGAGACCTACGCCCGATGCGGTGAAACAGCCCCAGACCATAATCGAAGAGCCACCATGTTTAACGGTCTTTCTCGTGTATTTGGGGTCCAATTGTTTGTTGGGAGGACGTTGTACATATGGTTTACCATCACTCCCAAAGACATTAAACTTGGATTCGTCGCTCCAAACAATCAAACATACACGAAAAAGATCGTTAAGCTTGGTGGCGCTTCGATTATGGTCTGGGGCTGTTTCACCGCATCGGGCGTAGGTCTCCAAAAAGAAGATAGAAGGCATTATGAACGGCGAAATGTACAGGGACATCCTTATTAACAATTTATCTGGAGAATATGCCGATAATTTGCCACTTGCATGGATATTTCAACAGGACAACGACCCGAAACACACCAGCAAGATAGTCAAGTCGTGGCTTAGCCAAGAGACAATCAATGTTTTGCAATGGCTACCGCAGATCCCCGACTTGAACCCTATAGAGAACTTGTGGGGTATTCTTAAACAAGTCGTTGGCCAAAAAAAAACAGCAAAAAAAAACGATTTTGGCATATTTTGCAGGAAGAGTTGAAGAAAATCACCCCTCATCAGTGCGCACGTCTTGTGGGCTTAATGCCAAAGCGTTGCTCCGCTGTTCTTAATCAGAAAGGTCATCCCACTTAATATTAAACTAAATTTATTAAAATTATAAGGAATATTGGGCAAATTTTAACTTTTTGGATCATTTTCTTCCAGGTGGCTTAAGTATGTGAGCAGGACATTTTCGGGTTGGTCTCAGATTTTTTTAATTTTTCGTTGAATATATATTTTTATAACTTGGTTATTCTTTTATTAGAACACTGATATATAGAACTAATGTGACACAAATAATTAAAGCTGTGGAATAAAAACTTTTCTTAATTTTCGTTAAAATTCTTGGTTGAAGTCTTGTGGCTTAAGTCTATGAGCACCACTGTACATGCATGTGTATTTATTTTGGTATTTTCTTTTATTATCTTTATCATTGTAAGAGTGAAGGGAGCAAGAGAAATTCCTTTAATGGCTGTGTAAACTGATTAGTTATAGGTGCAATTGTGTAATTACGGTTTGATATCAATAGGAATCGATCTTATTCAGTCTATTTAATTATAAATTACTTACAAGTAAACATATGATTATAATACAAATATTTATACTCTTTCCACAGTGAAATTGTACAGTGATGAGGCCGTCAGTCTGAAAGACTTCAAAATTATACGGGTTCTGGGCACTGGAGGTAAGTTTGTTTTATTTGTTTTGTCATTTTATTGATTGGTATTCAATTATTGACTTTTTTTTGTTCTTTTTCAAATTATTTCCGTAGCGTACGGAAGGGTGTTCCTTGTTCGTAAGCTGTCGCGTCACGACGCTGGAAAACTCTATGCGATGAAAGTTCTAAACAAGATAACGGTCGTCCAGAAGCGCAAAACCGCAGAGCACACTAAAACCGAGCGAGTGGTAAGTTAAGCCCTATATAAAGGAAATAATTTAAATAATTTGTTTAAATTTTATAACTAAAATAAATCATTAAAAGAAGGAATAGAATGGATAGACCTAACCGGCTGTTAACGCTGACATTACTGCGTTGCAAGCGTCTAACTAAAACTATAATACCCTACCATGGGTATCCTTAGCCTTATAATGTTAATAGCCACTGTAAAAGTGTGTGCAAAAACCCTTTTAATCATTTTCGAGCAACTTCAACGACGATGTAGCAAACGTGTTTAATCAACAATTTTTTTTGGCAGCTTTCTTGCTTTTGCTTTGCCGTTACCTTGTGCCGCTACTTCCTCTCCCCGCTGCCGCCCCCGCTGCGTGCTGTTTTTGCAATCACCGCAACAAGACTTCTTTTACTTTGGATTCCTCTTCACTTTATGACGACAATAAAGTGCAGCTTACTGAAATTAAACTCGTCGTGGAACGATTTGACAACCTTCACAGTCGCACGTACAGTTTCCAGTAGCGAATCCAAGACGAAGCCGAAGAAGAAACCAGTAAACGGGAAAGCATGAAAAAAGGAGGTGGCGGGATGGGGAGAGAAATGTTCTTGTGACCCACATAGCGACTTGTTCTTGTTGCACCGGCACAAAAAAAAAAACTAACGGAGAGCAACTGTTGAAAGCCAGCCCCAAGAGAGTAGTAGGATACACACAGTGAGAGCGGGAGAGCGGGATCAATAGTGGAAGTTGTTGTTGCTGCTGCTGTCTAGTGCAACCGGTTTTTGTTGCGGCATTGAGAGAGTCGCTAGTAAATCAATGAAAATAGAAAACGAAACGAAAAATGGGAGAAACAACAAAATGCGTTAAATAACTGCAAACAGGTGTAGGCGCAAGAGCGGGACGGCGGCAGCAGATAAGCGCCTCGCGTAGCAGATAAATTGAACAAATTTTACAATTGGGCCGGCTTATTAGTTGTTGTTTTTCAGCTTTCTGCGCTATTTTCGTGTGTCTCTTTGTTACACTCTTTCCTGCTCTCGCACACGCACGCACTTGGCTTTTTCAAGGTACAATGAGTGTGTGCCAGTAACCCAGTTATAATTAAACTTAGTTTGATTCAATAACATTCGATATGACAGGTCTATAATTTGACTTTCAAAATAGAAATGAATAAACTTTCGGAATTACTAAAATGACAACTCACAGATAAATGTAATAAAGCTAACGCTTTATTTATCTTTAAATACTTTTAAAAACAAAAATAAATAATTTTGTTCCCTTAAGAAGAGTTTTGAAAATTTCGCTTAAGAAAAAATATTACACACATTAAAAACTATTAAAAAATAAACCTTCCCTTTCATTTTGCCCATAACTGTAGATAAAAAGACAAAAAGAAATGTGAAAGTTTGCTCCTCCCACCGAAAAAGAGCAAAATATGAATTAAGTTCATTATTAATTCACTTTCGAAGTGTACTTTTTACTTTTCCCCTTGAATATTTATAAGCTTCCGCAGCCATTCTTTCATTCCATGTAATATTAATCTTAACACGCAGCTAAGCAACAACAAGTAATTCGCAAACTAAATACAGGCAAAACGAAACACCTCACTTAAACACACACACACTGTATTTGAGCAGACAAAACAAAACGAAAAGAAAAACAAAACACACGAAGCTTTGTGATAAGCGAAAATGAGCGAAAGAAGCGTCCAAAAGAGAGGCTGCAAAATATCGATAAGCTGTGATTATAAAGTGGATAACACGACGAACAGTCGATGCTCTTCTGGGATGTAAACACGCCAAGATAAAAACATTGTGATATGGAGATAAGCATAGAACAAACAAAAGAAAGATTGATAAATTTAACACTAATCTACGGGGTTCTTTTGACTTTGTTTTATATCAATTTACATATAAATATTTTGGTTTGATATTATATATAAAAATAATAATAATAAAATATCATTATTTGTAATTTTAAAAAACCTATTCCCGTATCATTTCAGGTCCTGGAGGCTGTCCAGCGAAGTCCTTTTCTTGTAAGTCTCCATTACGCTTTCCAGTCAACTACGAAACTGTATTTGGTGCTAGGTAAGTGGCCTTGAACGTACAAATAAATCTGAAAAATAATTACAACATGAAATAATTTTGCATTTTCAGACTTTGCAAAGGGCGGGGAGCTGTTTACGCATCTCTACCATGCCGAGCACTTCGATGAGCATCGAGTGCGTGTGTACATAGCCGAGGTAGTGCTGGCCTTGGAGCAGCTGCATCAGCTTGGCATTATCTATCGCGACATCAAACTGGAGAATATCCTACTCGATGGCGATGGACACATTGTAATCTCCGATTTTGGGCTTTCAAAGATCCTGTCCGCTGAGAACGATTACCGGGCGACCAGCTTTTGCGGCACTCTAGAGTACATGGCTCCCGAAATCATTAAGTCGTCGCCATCTGGCCACAACAGTGCCGTGGATTGGTGGTCGGTGGGTGTGCTCACCTTTGAGCTATTAACCGGAGCATCGCCATTTGCGTCTGCGGATGGACAGAGTCAACAGTCGGAGATCTCACGTCGCATCTTGAATGAGCCGCCGTCGATCCCCAGCTCCTTCAGTCCCGATGCTAGGGACTTTGTGGAGAAGATGCTGCAGAAGAGCCCAAAAAGGCGACTGGGTGGCAGTCATCGCGATGCCACCGAAATCAAGGAGCACCCCTTCTTCAAAGGCATTAACTGGCAGGAGCTGCGCGTCAAGCGACGCAAAGCTCCCTACAAGCCTGTTATTAACGGCGAAGAAGATGTACAGAACTTTAGCACAGAGTTCACCGACCAGCTGCCCGAGGATCCCGAGTGTGAGGCCCCGCCCAGTCGGATTCGGCTCTTCCGCGGCTATACCTATATAGCGCCAGAGCATTTGGAGCAGATGCGTCGGGACAATAACTGTAATATTGAGTACTGCAATCCAGGACTGCAGGTGAGTTTATCAGAGATTCTTTTTTTGTGTTGACGCCTAAGATGACTCAATTCCTTGTAGAACGTACCCTCGCGACCGGATGACCTGGAGTTGGGCAGCAAGACGGCTAGTGGTGCTTATGGCATCTGTCACTTTGTATCTGACATTTCCACCGAAATGGTGTTTATGGCCAAGGTCATACAATTGTCCAAGTATCGTGCCTCCGAAGTGGACGCATTGATCTCGTGCGCCTTGGACAGACAAGGTCACAAGAATATCGTCAATTATCATGGAACGTTCCGGGACAAATGCGAGACTTGGATCATTATGGAGTACCTGTGTGGCGAGGAGCTCTCGGCGCTTATCCAGCGTAACTTTTTGGATGAGCAGGCCTGTCGGGAGATCTTCCAGCAGCTGGTAATGGCCACACGCCATGTCCATGCCAAGCACTTTATACACGGTGACCTGAAGCCGGAGAATGTGATGTTTGAGAGTCGCGACGCTCACACTGTGAAGCTGGTGGACTTTGGCAATGCCTGGTAAGGAATGCGGGATCACCTGTGTGAATTCCATGACTAAATCTTTGTTCCCCCACAGCTACAATGGCAAGTTCCAGAGTTGGAAGGACAAGCCGCGCTACACCCTGGACTACGCTCCGCCGGAACTCCTGGCGGATCCCAATATAGTGACATACTCGCCGGCCGTGGATATTTACGGATTAGGCGCCACGCTCTATGCCATGCTAGTGGGTCATCCGCCTTACAGGCAGGGCTCCAGAGATGTGGAACACACCGCCAATGCCCATCATAGGCTAAGGAGACGCATGCAACGGGAGCCGTTCAATCAGAGGTCAAGGCGCTGGCTGAGTGCCACCCCTGCTTTCCGGCACCTGGTGGGGTGGTGTCTACAGCGCAATCCCTCCGATCGGCCTAGCCTGGACGACATCCTTGACAGCGAGTGGCTGCAGTATGGCACCAATGATCCCGATGTGGACATTATTTTGCCAGCGGAGGAGCAGGAAGTGGTCGATCTCAGCGAGGACACCATGGAGCAGCCCACATCGGTTGTGCAGGATCAACCCAAATCTAGCTCATCGCTTGACAGGTCGACGGAGGATGAGGGCATCACTCTGGTCAACGAGCCAGTTGAGGAGACGGTGGCCAACGGCGGAACTGCAGCGATAAATGTTGCTCCCATATCGGACGATGAAGACCTGGTGCTGCACGATCGCTTCGATCCGGATCTTGACGGGACCGAAGTCTTTTATGGCTTTGACGAGAATGCCCCGCCCCTGCGTATGCCCGAGGAATACTATGTGGAAATGCCGCTGCCACAACCACCGCCGCCGCCGCCTCAGGAGGAGCGTCTCCAAATGCCGCCGCCACCCCCTCCGGCGGCTCCAGTTGTCACGGCCGAAACCACTACCAGCCAACGACCCAGAACCCGTCAGCAGCGTCGTACCGCGAGTTTGTTGCCCCAAAATACAGTTGCAGATGCGCCGGAGGTGGATAGCAAGGCCAGCTTGTATCTCCTGATGCAGAAACTGCCGCCGCCCGCCGAGACTATTGTGGCCCGCATACCAAGAGTGCAACGTGTCGTGCGTACACTACCCTCCAGTGCGTCCCGGCGGAAGATAGACGACGAGGTGGATTTCTTGGGCTTCAACAAGACACCGAATACATGGCGCAAATCGCGGGCTAGCTATCGGCACTTCTGCCTCCTGATTAACGGGGTACAGCAGGTGCTCAAGCATAAATTCAAGAAGGAACGTCGAGTCTACAGTTTGCCAACGGTGAAAATTGAAAAAATCGATGAGGCGTACGAGAGGCTGCAGATCTATCCCAGGCCAAAGCCCCCGAAGCCAAGGCAACCTCGGGCGCCCAAAGTGTACCGTCCACCGACGCGAGTGCAGCCGGAGAGAGCGCGTGCGCAGCGTCAGCAGTATGTGTTTGAATGACATCCTTAACAGGAGCAGCAGGCGGCGGCGTTAAATGACGAGGTGCTGGTTGTAGAGGTGAAGGAAGAGCAGCTAGATGAGGAGGAGAAGCAACTGCAGGCGGTGCTGCAGTGGGAGAAGCAGGAGCTGAGGAGTTGAAAACAGACAATGACACGGACAGGGACCACGACAAGAACGCCAACGAGCAGAGCCCGGCTCTAACCAGCCGCACCAAAGATCGTGTCAATAATTATTCACCATTTTTGTTACAACCATTTGAGAGATGTAAGGTGAGAGAGAAGCTCATCCTTAACACCAATAATAAATGTTCATTCTTAAACTTGAAAGGGGAAGCAGAAACCCCGCCCCTAGTGCTTCATTGTGCTAGCTAATTAGTTAATTTTGAATTTAAATTTAAATTTAAAGTCAAACCAAGGCAAAGTCAATTTCTTCCCAAGAAGCGGAAGGAATGGACAATAAGGAAAGACCCGAGACCACACACAATCACTGATATCATTACTAAGAGCGAGCTGGAATTAGTTAAGTGCAGAGTTATATGTTTAAGAACAGTGAGAACGACTACATGATACCCTCTTTAAACACACATATATACAAATTTGCTTTAAGTTGTGTCCTAACTTAAGTTATATAAATATATATATATTCTTTACTATTAACCAGAACATTGTCTGCTCTGGACAATGCATTCAATTCCTAAGTATCCTAGACATTATTTCAGTGGAATATATAATATATAATCTGCGAACAGCAATCTACGGCCTGAAGAGTCGTACCAATTGTTAATTGCAATTAATTTCATTGTTTTGTTGTCAAGTTCTTTTGTTTTTGTTTAATTTTTAAAAGTTAGTTTGCCACCTAAAATGTGTATTTAATTGGCTAGAAAAAGGTATGGAAACCCAATGAAATTCAAATAAACTCGGAAAACATAACAAAACATTTTCACATGGAGTACCCTTTCATTTTTTTAAATTGTTCATTATTTTTTTTATTAATGCCCAAAACCCACATATCGAACTGTGTAAATTTGTCGTAGGATGACGATGAAATGGTGTAAATTTTAGTATAAAAACAAATAATGTTTATATTAAAGTTGCCTTTTAACAAGTTGCCTTAGAACGAACACCACACACACACACACAAACACACAATGTATAATCCCCAGAAAACCGATTAGAAAGTTAAACATAATCCTACATTTTATAAGCCAGATTCGAGAGAGAGAGAATCTGTTTTGGGCATGAGTTTTATATAATAAAAATAATAATAATTATAAAAATAATAGTGAAACACCAAACCAGCAAAGCAATTTGTCGTAGCTATAAGATTCACAAATAACTAAAACTACATAGACCATAGACTTTACCTAATCTACCTGCACAGGGGCGAACCAGGCAAGGATGCTGAGTAAGGAGGGGTAGCGACATGTTATACCCTTTAAAACGACATAGCTTCGCGAGGAGATATGTCGTGTGTTGTTTGGCGGAGGCAACGACGACCACTAGTTAAATGTAAGAAGATGAAGCAATCAAATTTATAGTTTGGCCAAAAGCATTATGCGGACAGAAAGGTCTAATCCAGGGGAGCACAGAGTTGAAGAGACAAATGAATATGAAACAAGTTGCTAGCAATGTAAGTCACCAAAGTTTGTACATAACACGAAAAACCCTATATCAAAATGCAGTTACAAAATAAAGCATTTCAAATGATAAACAACGAGGATTCTTGATTACATCTTTAATCTTGTTTTTTACAATTTTTAGGCTTATATACTCTAGTCCAATATAATCCTTTACTGTTCTAATGTTTCCTCTTTTTGCCCGCCTTTTGTGGTGCCTTTTTGCTTGAGGATTTCTTGCCCTTGTAGGTTTTCGCATTCGATCGCCGGTTCTCCTCCCATTTCATTTGCTTGTCGGAGGATTTGTCCTTGTTGAAGACGGCATTGCTGGTGCCCTGGCCCTTGACCTTGGAGGTTTCCTCCAGCATTGAGGAGAAGTCATCGGCGGCGGCAAACAGCGAAGACATGTCTAAGGAGAATACAAGATTAGTATACAAAATAAAAAGATTAAAACCCGAATCTCTTACCGTGACTTTGCTTGAGTGTCTTGGCAAAGCTGCGGCCATTGAACATAGCAGACGAGTCTTGGCGGGATTTCTTGGACCTGGGCGGCGCATCATCGTCATCATCATCATCGTCAGGACTCTCGGGAGCTTCACTGGAGTCCCCATCGGAAATGGAACCCGCATCATCATCGTCATCTTCATCATCCAGTGGCTCTAGATCAATGGAGCCCGTTTCATCATCGGACTGATCTTCGCCATCCTCCTCGTCTTCTTCGTCCTCCTCCCCTAAGTCATCATCCCCCCAGTCCTCGTCTATGTCTTCCATATCCTCCTCCGACTTGTCCGCTGCCTGCTTCTTCTTTTTCTTGTCCTTGGATTTATCCTTTTGAATCTCACCACCCAGCTCTTCTAGGAAGTTGAGCTCTTCGTCTTCTTGTTCCTCCGCCTCGCCGCCCTCCTTGAACTTCTTGCCAAAGTAACCATCCAAATAGGCCTCGAACTCGTCGTCATCCACCTCGCCCTCCTTCAGATATTCCTCACCAGCCTCGCCATCCTCCTGGTCCGCTGGCTCCTCCTTCTTCACCCCCAATTGCTTCTTGTTTTGTGCCACAATCTCTGCCTGGCGACGCTTGTGCTCCAGGAAGTTGAATATAAACATCTCGTCCTCGGTGCAGTTGGTCTTGGTCAGGGAACGTACAGACTTGCCTCGTGCTCCGTAAGCCATGTATCGCTTGTGGGCAACAGTGCTACTTTCTGCCGTCTGCTGGCCAGCGTCCAGTTTCTTGGGATTCTTGAAGGCGAAGCGCTCTAGGAAGTGCGGCAAGCCAAAGTCCCTCAGCGGGTCGCCATAGTAATCAATGCGGGATTCTAAAGGAAAAGAATATAATGAGATTCGGGCAAGGGAATTCCTTCGATAAACTCACGATTTAGGATCTGCTCGGCAAATACCTGCACAGTGGGATGATAATGCTGTCGCAGGAGCAAAAGCTCATGGCGTAAAGCATAGCCAGCTCCGGCAAAGGCGGGCACACGATGATAAGGATCGTATTTGCCGGAATCAATTTCCCGCACCTTGGCCTCCGCTGAGCTGCCAGCAGTGACACTAACATGATGCCAGGAGGACTTGGCAACCTCCTTCTCCTCTGTCGCCTCAGGAGCTTCCTTATCCTCCCCTTCCTCCTTGACATCCTTATAAGTCTCCTCCTCGTCGCTGCCAAACTTATCTAGATCCTCATCTTCGGGCAGGATAGCTTTGGAAACAGCAGCCACCTCATCGGAGGCTCCACTGCCGCCTACCAGCTCCTTGCGCATGCGCAACAATTTGTGGAGAACAATCAGGCAGCCGGCGGCTATATGCGGTGGAGCATAAAGCGTCAACTGGAGCAGACGCTTCACAAAGGCCTGGGCACGCGCCACATGGTTGTCTATATGTATGGCTCGGTGGACAATGTGCAGCAGGTGGGCGGCTGTCTTGCTGCCCACATTGATGAGGTTCAGATCCAGCAGCTTTACATACAAAGCGTTGTAGAAGCGATCCGATTTCTCCGTCTTGACAGTGACCAGCTGGAGCAGCAGTCCCAGCGTTTGGACACTCACACGTATGTCGGCCAAGTGGACCAGGCGGTAGATGGTGTCCTGCATCTCTTTGTTGAGCAGCTCACCATTGCTGTCCTTGCCTGGCTGTGCCTCAACAATGGCCTTTTGCAGGCACCGCAGAATGGCCTGCATGGTGCGATTGTTGACGGCGCCCTTCTGGACCAGCACTTTGAACAAGGCAAAGCAGATGTTGACCAGCTTGGTGCAGACCTCGGGCCGGCCCGAGGGTGCTATGCTGGAGAGGAAGCACAAGGCAAAGTGCTGGGCACGCTCCGATATGTTGTTACGGAAAAGAAGCTTCTCCGCCTCGGACACTATGACGCCGCACATATTGGGATGCCTTTGGGCCACCTCGCTGAGGTGATGCAAAGCCTTGGAGGCCACCTTGGCAATGGGATCTCCCAGCTTATTGACCAGCATGGTCAGCAGCAGCTGCTCCTTTTCGGGGGCATAGGCCAGCAGCTTTGAGGCGGACAAAATGGACGAGTTTTTGTTGTGCTCTTGGCCCGTCTGCAAACCCTGCATAACGTTCTTAAGGAACTCATGGTACTGATCCTTAAGCTCTGCCTCAAAGTACCAATAGGCGTAGATCCGTCGCTTCTGTTCATTGCGCAGCTTGTCGTCTTTTTTCAGTTTCTTCCAGTCAGCGCCGCGGGTGTGCACGGCCAGGAGCTTTCTGTTCGGCGGCAGCAGCACCTCCTGCCACAGATCCGTGAGCACCGCAATCACATCGTTGCTGGCCTTGTTAGAGAGTTTGCAGAAGCCTATGAGAGTGGTGAGGGCTTCTAGGTTACCCAGAGGATTGCTTGTGACCAGCAAGGCGCCGGCATTGGCCCGATCCTTGGCCGTACCCTTGTGCAGGGCGGTCTGCAGCCAGCGGGCATCGGTGGGGTTACCTAAAACGTAAGGAAAAATCTTAGCAAAATATTTAAGAAATCTCCAAAGTGAAGGCAACACCTACGCTTATTAAAGGTATTCTTTTCGGCCTCGAAGGAATTCTTGCACAGATTATACAGCTCCAGCTGCTCATTCTCCTTCATGTCCAGCACCTCATCCGTTGAAGGGTAATCGGGGTGCTAAAATTAAACCATTAGTTATTTTATCTTGTTTACTTATTTTGAACAATGCTTACCACATGGTACCACTTCTTTTGAGCCGCCTCGTCCTCATCCACTTGGGACTGGTATTTGGTTTGCTTCTTGGCAAAGGTTTGTCCCACTTCCTCGTCACTGTCCTCGTCCTCCTCGCTGGCGGAGACGTTATTCCCAGTCCCGTCCTCATCGAACTTGATGCGTTGGGGCTTCTTGGCACTTTCGGTGGACTGTCCATCATCACCAAATTTAATTTTCTGGGGCTTCTTGGACTGATCAGGCTCTTCTTGGCCTTTGTTAAAGCTCTTCCGAGATGCCCCTTCTCCATTCTCGCCAAACTTTATTTTTTGCGGCTTTTGATGATTTTTGTTAAATGATTTCTGGGCTACAGCCTCGCCGTCGTCACCGAACTTTATTTTCTGAGGCTTTTGGCCATTCTGTTGATTTTTGTTGAAGGATTTGTGGGATCCTGCAGCTCCATCCTGGCCAAACTTAACCCTTTGGGGTTTTTTATGATGATCTGGCTTCTGGTGATTTTTGTTGAAGGATTTCTGGCTTACAGCTTCTCCATCCTCGCCAAACTTGATTTTCTGGGGCTTCTTCACCTGTTCCTTGATCTGGGACTGTTGATTCTTGGGTCTGTTCGGTTGCCCACTTTTGTATGGCTTGGTCACTGCCTCGCCGGAATCGTCAAACACGATTTTTTTGTTCTTCGACGGGCCGCCAAATTGCACACCTGTGGCTACTGCTGCCGGCATGTTATTATTCAGTATTTTGTGAATTAAAAAGCATTAAATGGAATAAACTCGGAAGAAAACAAGTCGCACGTGTAATAGTGCTGGCAAGACATAGATTATCGATACTATCGATGTTTTAAACATATGGTTTAATGCATCGATATTTTTAAAGTCTGGCAACGCTATTTTTCAGCGTTTTTGTGAAGACTATTTTTTGACCATGGGAAAATATGAAAGCGTGAAAATAAAACATTTATATTACGTACATTTAAAATTGATTTATAATAATTTTAAAGCAACATATATACTTCGATCAGAAGTTTTTAAATATCAAATGTGGTTCTGGATTTTTTAGGGTGAAATTTCTACTAGTTGGGATTTTTTAGGGGAAAGCAAATAGTTTGAAAAACGTCGACGCCGCCGCCGCTGCACTCGAAAAAAATTAAAACATTTAATCGATTTAACGCAAACAACGCAATCCGTAGGGTCGCGGTTACGTTTTTTTTAGGCTTTTTTGTTGCACCTGGAATTTGCGTGGCCTCTTTTTCATCAATTTTTGGTTCGTTAACATCACACTCGCACACACACACAGTCGTGCAGCAGCAGCAGCAGATGCGTGTGAGTGGGAAATTGTGCAAAAACCTGTGACGACAGCTGAGGGGGCGGAGAGCGGGCGGAGCTGTGTTGAAAGCGAATTCATTGTTTTTGTGTCGTGTTGTTGTTGTTGTGTGTGGCGCGCAGAAGAGCAGCGCACTAAATTAATATATTAAAGTGTGTTTGCCCGCGATGGCAGCCGTGGTGGGCCCATAATGCCACCGCGTACCCCTCCCTCGCCAACGAATTCAGCAGCCTGCTAGCAGCCAGCTGCTCATTTGGCGAGTGTAAACAAAGCAGCTAACGCACACTAACGCAGCGACTGCGACGCAGCTGTGACGCCGACGTCCTTCACCTTGTGCGACGCGCATATTGAATTTCACATCTCCATTCCGGCCATCTCCAGGCAGCGACTCGTCCATCGGTCGTCATCATCACCATCATCGTCTTTTGTCTTGGCAACCTGTTCGCTGTCCAGACAGGAAGTTTAACCAACTGCAGCGCCGTCGACGGAACCAGCAGCAGCGCTCCGCTTCGCTGCCAGCGCCAACAGCGCCGTCGCAGCAGCTGCATCTGTCAACAAAATTCGCAGATTGAATATTTTCGGTGAGTTTGAAACAAAGAATGTTATTAATTTGGATTAAGTATCAAAGTATCAAAGTTTTCTTCGAAAACAACAAAAGGGAACTTAATATACTATAATGAAGACTTCGTTTTTTTACTCGTATTAATTTCATTGGTTCCGTTTGATATAATTTATATACATATGAAAACGTGTTCATTATATTCTACGAAAAATATTTCTAATAAAAACGAAAGAATATTGCCTTAATCATTAGAAACTATTTAAATCCATTAAACGTTTGTCTGTTGCTGTTGTTTTTCTTGGAAACTATGATCTCAAAAGACAGATTAAATAGAAAATAAAGTTAACATGAAATCTATTTATATGTATATGTATTCCATGGCCATTTTTAATCTTAGATTTGTAAATAAAGTCCCTAGTGTTCAGTGAGCTCAAAGAAAGGTTATTCACATTTAAAAATAAATCCTCTCAATGAAAAACCCCAGGGAAATGCAACAAATGTTCCAAAAAAGTGTATGAATAAGCCCAGCTCATGTTTGAATTTTTGGGGTTGGATCGTTTAACAGTAGAACTTCAGTAAAGTAAAATTATTTAAAGCAAAATATAAACATACAATCATTAATTGTTTTAATAAGATTTTATAATTTTCCAAAACTTTAATGAAATTTTAACTTTAAAGATTGAAGATTAAAATAATGTTACCATTTCTCAAATATTTCCAAATGACAGATAGTCACCTGTAGGCTGGCTTGACTGTACATAAATTACACAGCTGATGGTGATAACCTGCTCTCAACTGGGCGTGTTGTTCCGTCTCTCTCGCATCCGCTAAATTCCAGTTTCCGCCCAAATAATTACTCAAACTGTCGCGGCCGCTGAGCGTAATTTCTATTATTTGCTTGTTAAAACTACATATTATTTACATGGGCTGTGCCCCAAAAGAAAGGTATGTACTCCTCACGGGGCGAGCGTGCATATCGGTTCCGTTTCGTCTCCCCATCTGCAGCTCACCTCTTATCGCGGCGCGCAGCGCGCTCCACAATCGCCACTTGGGCACGCGTCTCCAGAGGTTGAGCTGGTAGGGAATCTCCTCCGTCTCCAGTGGCTTTGTCCACTCCATTCAGCCGGCGATGAGTGAGGATTTCAATTTGCATTCACGGATTGCAAGGTGACGCAACGCGTTTGCGTACTTTCCCAATGCGCAAACCTGACGTCATTGATGTGTGGGACATATTTACACAAATCCACTTGAAAGCCCCTAGCTTGTGCATTTCGAACCCTCGGAAACAGGCAATAAGTTCAACAAGTATAGCTAGAAATAGTCTCTTGTTTGTTTTATCTAGAATTCATAGGAATAGGGAACTAACAAACGATGAATGTATATAGTTATTCAAAATAATCGCTTGAATAAGTACTGACTTTGCTAGAACTAGGATTTTTCTTTGGAAAACTGCAACCCACTGTGGAGATATTAACTAATAACATCATATTTAGTTAACAAAAAACTCGAGCAAGTGCTAATATTCATTTATTAGCAGCCCAATTATCGCAGTTGAACTTATCTATAATAGCTTTATCCAACAGTTTATATTAACATTTAAGCACTCTAGCAGGCGCTGAAATATTTGTAAACAAAGCTACCACGCGTTTATCGTTGCAAAAACAAAACGGCTACTGTTACCTTAATGATTAAACTACCATATAATAACACAACATTTGAACCATAAATAAAGTCCCCTAGTTTGGTTATTCACATGTTTAAAAAAAAAACCTCTCAATGAAAAACCCCAGGGGAAATACCACAAATGTTCCAAAAAAAGCAGAGCTCATGATTGCATTTTGGGGTGGGCTCGTTAAACAGTGGAACTTCCGTAAAGTAAAACTATTTAAAGCAAAATAAAAAACAATTCGCATCATTAAAAAATATACTTAATAACTTCGGGAAGCCGAAATTTGTATACCCTTTCAGTTTACCATGGGATCATGGCATCTAATCAAAAATCGGTCTTAACTCAGCCAAAAATTCATTAATTTCACTTCTGAAAGCTTTTCTATGCTAGTTCTTTCTAGTTTAAAAAATCTGCATACTAAATTTTAAATTTTAAGAAAATAAAATTTTTACCAATTTTCAAGAAATTTAACGATGTAACCCCTTATCAAATTTTGAAAAAAATTGAAAAAATTGTATTTCTTCCCGAGATAGTTAGAAAGACGCGCCTGTTAATGCTGATCAAGAATATATATGCTTTGTAGGGTCGGAATCAATTACTTCAATGTTTTGCAAGCTTTTTACTGAAATTATGATACCCTGCAAGGGTATCTATATTTTTTAAATTTAATGTTCAGGCTCATAAAACTTTTAATTTATGATTTTTTATCTCTATAAAATATTAACCAAAGCTACCTCTAGTTAGGTTGTGAGTAATAGCACCCATAACATTAGTTAAAATAAAATAAGTTGTCAAAAATATATTCATATACTTATATGTATACTTTTTTCACAATTAAGAAAACACTGAAAATAAAAAAAAGACTTTTAAACATTTTATATAGCTCTCTGTTCTTTGCGCCACCTTCTGCCCATGGCAACATGCTCCATTGATATTCCATTGCTTATGCTGTCCATAAATGTTGAATACTTTCGCTGCTCCCTGCCGTCGCCCTCGTCACTCTGGCGGGGATTACGCGATTGCACGATTGACCGAGTTCTCATGACCAGCCCAGTTCAGTGACCCTGATCGTTGCCTTGCCCTTATCTCATACTCTGCTCTCTTTGATGCTCCTTTCCAGAACATGACTTCCACATCTGCGACGGATGGCGGCGGCCACAGTAGCAGCGAGACAGCCTGGCTGGAGGATCTGCTGCGAGAGGTGCAGCTGGAACAGTTCCTAGACAGGATTCGGGATGACCTGCAGGTGACCCGGCTGGCCCACTTCGACTATGTGCTGCCCGACGATCTGGAGAGATGTGGCCTGGGCAAGCCCGCCATTCGACGGCTGATGGAGGCGGTTCGCAAAAAGAAGGCCCATCAATGGCGCAAGAATATCCTGTCCAAGCTGATTGGCGGTGGTAAACAGCCTTCGTCCAAGAAGCAGCCCTCCTCTAATGGCCGCGAAGCCACTCAGGGTGGGAATGGTACCCAGCTTACCTGCCTCATTCACGAAAAGGACATCACAATGGGCCTGAAACTGGGCGACGGCTCCTTTGGCGTGGTGCGACGCGGCGAATGGAGTGCCTCGCCGGCAGGCAAGGTCATACCGGTGGCCGTCAAGGTGCTAAAATCGGACAACCTCACCCAGCCGGGTATCATCGATGACTTCTTTCGCGAAGTTCAAGCCATGCACGCGCTAGACCACTCCAATCTGGTGCGGCTTTATGGCGTGGTGCTGTCGCAGCCCATGATGATGATCACAGAGCTGGCGGAGAGGGGTTCCCTGTTGGACACGCTGCGTAAGCAGTGCCGCCACACCTCACTCACCATCATATGGAACTGGTCGGTGCAGATTGTCACGGGTATGGCCTATCTGGAGCAGAAGCGCTTCCTACACCGCGACCTGGCCTGCCGGAATGTTCTCCTGGCCGCTGGAAATAAGATCAAGATTGGGGACTTTGGGCTAATGCGGGCCTTGCCCCAGGAGGATGATTGCTATGTGATGTCCGAGCACAAGAAGGTGCCTTTTCCTTGGTGTGCCCCGGAATCCCTGCGCTTCCGGCAGTTCTCGCATGCCTCCGACACCTGGATGTTTGGCGTGACGCTGTGGGAGATGCTCAGCTTTGGCGAGGATCCCTGGGTGGGTCTAAATGGCTCGCAGATTCTCCGCAAGATTGATCGCGAGGGCGAGCGACTGCATCAGCCGGACGCCTGTCCGCCGGATGTCTATGCCATGATGTTGCAGTGCTGGGATAAGACGCCCGCCGAGCGTCCCACTTTTGCTGCCCTCAAGTAGGTTTATTTTCAATTTATTGTGGGTTTAGTCCCTCTAATCCTTAACTCTCCTTTCTAGGGAATACCTGGCTGGAATGTCGCCACCTGTTATGCGTGCCAGCCGCAGCTACCACGAGTCCAAGGGCCTCCAGATTGAGCCGGGCGACACCATCGCCATCATCGATGGACGCCACGAACTGAAGCTGATCAAGGGCCAGAACCAGCGCACTTTCGAGATTGGAATCTTCCCCAAGAGTTTGCTGGAGCAGCGAAAGGTGCCAGGCGGCGCCGGGGATGTGGCCATGCGTAGCAGCTTGGGTGCCAATGGCTCGTCCTCGCCTTCGCCCTTTGGTTTCTGTTGGGGCGGAGCAGCAGTTTCAGAGGAACGGCAGCGAAAGTGCGCCTCGGTTAACCAGGGTCATGCCAAGGAGCGCAAGTCCACGTCCAACAAGCAGTTTGCCTACAACAAGCTGGTCAACGACACGGCAGCGGGTCTGCAACGACGCAACGCGGTCAAGCACAAGGGAGCCCTGGTGGGGCCGCAACGTCCACCGCCACCGCAGTTCCAGCAAGAGGGCTTACTCATTGACATTTCTCCGGATATGGCAGGAGGAGTGCCGGCAGCTAACGGAGCAGGGGATAGTTCATCCCTGCAGATGGACAGCTCCTTTTGCATCCTAGACGCCCCCATAGAAGTGCAGACGTATGTGGAGGAGGGTGCTCCAGCGGACTTGAATGTTTCACCCACATATTACAATGAACAGCCTCAGTTTGACTTTGATTCTGGCAATGTGACAGCTTCGCCGGGACGCCTACAACCGCCACCTTACCAGATGCCTCCCACTTACTCGAATACCATGGAATTTGTCCAGAAGCAGCAGCAGCAGATGGCGACACGGGATCCCTTTGATACCAGCAGCTTGGAGACAGCAGTGGCCCTGTACTCTAACTTCAGCCAAACCCAGGAGCCAGCCCCACCGCCAGGTCCCGCCTACAGCAGTCCCTCGGTGAGAAAGAGCCTCTTTGGTGCTCCCAACTCGAATAAGGAGAACATACCCGCTTTGGAATCGGCGGCCATGCAGCTGAATCTCAGTAATCTCTCCATGGAACGGCATCCTGTAGAGCCTCTACCCATTGCCCCTGCCGAGAATAGCGGCGTTTTGCTGGACAAATCCTTCATCGCCGAGCTGGAAAAGGACATGTACAGCAATGGACAAAACCGGGCTCAGGAGGAGTACCAGCGCAACTCCAATCAGCTGCAAGCCAACAAGGAAATGGTGTACAAGCAGAATCTTACGCCTCTCAAAAACGGAGCCGCCTCGAATCATTCCACCAGCCCCTCGTCCACAGCCTCGCCCAAGCAAAACAATGTGGAAGCAGCCGCTAGCACCCAGAGCGTGGTGAATCGCATTTGGTATGAGCAGGTGGCCGCCACGCCCTCAGAGTACTATGCCCAGCCGCCGCCAGAGCGACCAGAGCAAGAGCAGATCTACCAGAATCACCAGCAGCAGCAGCAGCCGGAGGCCAACCACTCATTTGTGGCCATTTCCAATCGCGTGGTGGCTCCCAAGAGCAGTGTCTATGCCTCTTCCTCCGCTCTGTACGATGCCGTGGCGGCCAGCACGGCAGGCTCCACGTATTACGGCCAAGTGCCGAATGGCAATGGAGCCGCCCTCTACGACGAGGTCACCCTGGATGACTACCTGCGACCACATCGACCTGCTCCACTAGCACCGCCTCCCCTCTCTGCCCAGCAGATCCAGCGGCGCATGGAGAAGATGCGCCTGCAGCAGCAACAGCAGTTAGAGGACGCCCATCAGCTATATGCCCCTGTGCCCTCGGACTATGGACGCGAACAGGAGAAGCTGCAACAGCTGATGCAGGAGCTGGGCAGCTCTGCGGTGGAGCAGGATGTTCGCAATGCTTTGCGAGCGGCCAGTGGGGATGTGTCGCTGGCCACAAAGCACTACAAGATCGATCAGCTGGCGCGGTTGGGCGTGGCAGGGCGACCACAGTGCGAGCAGGCGCTGCAGCAGACCAACTGGAGTCTCGAGGTGGCTGCCGAGCTGTTGCTGCAGTCCTAAGAGAGAGCTGCTCCTTCCAAACATCACGTATTACTGGATCGAATATAATATAGTTTTATTTACGCAACGGAATGCAGCTTAGGCAAAACGATGTCTCGAATCTTTTCAAAATACTCTTAAGTGAAACACTCTCGAATGGAAACATACACAACACATTGTCAAGCGACTGTACAACATGTTCTATTTTATATAAGCGATCGGTATAAAATTATTTTATAATTGTTATTCGATGACTGTACTATACATATATTCATTATAATCCAAGGCCTCGAAAATTATTTACAAGCGAGAGAAATCGAAAGGGAGTCGTCCGGGAATGGACTCCCGAAGAGTTGATGTCAATGCATGCAACAAGTATTTGTTTTCAAATCAAATAAATAATATCTGATTGTTACAAAAAAGATACGTTGTTATTTTTATTTGTGGAAATATCCTTGGGAAAACGTAAAAGTCTTGGAAAAGTTAATAAATCCCCACAAAACAGAGTTATTCAGCCTTCTGTAAATCCCTGCACATTATCATAATTGCATACTTTCATGCTAATCCATGTAATAGAATCTGTGCCTAATATAAGCATACTTTTAGGCAGTACAAGTATATATAGTTGTTGTTGTGGTAGGCAAAAACCAGGCTTCATAATCCTTCAAAAGACCCAATAAAAACTAATGAAAACTACTTTACGAATTGAATTAGAGCTCATTTCGTTTAGTTAGAAATAATTTTCCATGAGAGAAGGCTAGAAAAACTTCGGCTTCATAAAATAGGCTTCCCTTTCTTGTTTAAATTTAGCATTTAGCTCTTCACCAAAAATAGTAAAAACAACCTTCTTATGTTAAAAGAATAATTATTTATTTTCAACAGGGGGACAGTATTCAAAATAGATCATTCAAAAGTGTGTAATATATTTAATTGGTCTGTAAATACATTTTCTTAAATGCTCTGCTTTTTGATTTATATATTCAGGTGGTTAGTTTGAAACAACATTGGTAACAAGTTTACTCTACGAGATAGAAGACACTTTCGTTTATTAAAAAACACACAATTCTCAATTCGTTTTCGATCCTCTGATCCTTATTATCTCACTTTTTGCATACGGGGGACAATTTCCAACTGTCTTCTTCATCTTCGATGGCACAGAATCGGAGTGCGGGTTATCGGCTTCAAAAGTGTGTGTGTGTGTGTGTGTGTGTGTCGCAAATGCAAATGTTGAAAAATTGAATAAATCATCCTAAGATCCGTATGTACGAGTACTTAATAATATTAAATTAAAGTAGTTTTTGTTATGTTACATAACAGCATACGCGTCTGGTGTCGTCAATTGGAATACAAATACAAATTGGTATCATAAATATATATCCGTATCATATATCATAAATCATTTTCGGGGCTTTACCCGTAAAGTGTTTGTATGTGGTGTGTGTGTGTGTGTGTTGAACCCAAAAGCAAAGCGTTTTGGTTTTGGCTTTTATTGCGGAATGTCTGAGAGCGGAGATGGTATGGAAGGGCAGGCGAAGGAGAAGGTCCTTCGTCTACATGTGCCGGGTGTTGCCAAAGTTGATGCCCGATTGGGTGGCACCCTTATTGGATCCATACTGCAGAGAGATGACGTTGGCGCCAGCGCGGAGCTGCTCATCGCTGAAGTTGCGAACGTTCTTGTCGGCCTCCTTGGGTCCGATCGACGGCTTGTTGAAGTTGGAGGCCTGAAAAAGGTAGAATAATATTATAAGTATGTCTTTAAATATTATTAAAATATTTTAGAAAGTTCTACAGCTTTGATTAGATCCAAATGTTATACATTCAATGTTTCTTTCTTATAATTTTTCCTTGTAAAAATTCAACTTTTAAATAAAAATAAATATAATCAATCAACTTTGAAGGCTTCAAACTGATTGCTGATCTTATTTGTCTGTTATTTTTCCTGAGCTACTGATTACACCAATCCTCACCTTGCGACCCAGCGACTGCAGGCAGATAACCACAGAGTTGAGGTTCTGACGCTCCCACAGGTCAACGCTCTGGAATGTCTCCTGGGTGGGTACACCAAAGTTCTTGGCACACTCGAGGAAGGCACTGATGTTCTCCATGCACTTGAAGGCCATCTTGCTCTCGTTGATCTTCTTGATGGAACCAGGCTGCAGGGCATTGGCCAGCTTGCACAGGATCACGCCATCCTTGAGCACCTCAAAGAAGTTATCAGTGTCGCCGGAGGTGTTGATGGGCTCAGCGGTTACGGCCTTGATCCACTCAAGGGACTCCTGGGCCAGCTCCTCGCTGTACTTTGAGTTGATCTGAATATTAAGAATAAGATAAAATTAATATAAATACAATTTATATAGATTTTTTGGGATTTTAATGCAGCCACCTTGGACTGGTACATCTCGGTTTTAATCCCTCTAGATCTGCTTGTAGACTGAGCACCCAATCGAGGGTTAAATCAAGTGCAGACCATTATTCTATTTGTGGGCCATTTCCCCTGGGTTATCTCATGCAATATCGCTGATAGGAAACTTATCACTAATTGGTTATAAACACACACACACACACACATAGCACACCTCGCTCTTCTCGTGACAATTCGGCGGTTATATTTCAACTCGAGATAAGGATAAGATTGCATTTCCCCATTTATATTCTCCCTCGGCGATAACTCTCACTGCTGTCATCAATCGGCGTCCACCGCCACTCCCCGCTTTTGTCGATCTGCTGAACTTGCTCAAGTCAGTCACGTTCGGGTCCCATGTTGTTCTCATGTAGAATAAGTAAGTATCCATATTTGCCAATGTCGATAGCTTTAACTCTCTAGCGTCGTCTTGACCATATTTGGCCTTAAGTTTTGCCGGCCGCTTGGGCGTCCTTCGCACCGATTTTGGCCAGACCCAAAGCCACTTGTTGAGCAGCCAGCAGCTGTTGTTGGCCCCCAATCGGATTTACTCCTATTTCTATTTCTATATCTTTATCCACTTCCATTTCCACTCGCAGAATGCCAACCGCAAACCGAAAACCACAAAATCGTTGCGTGTCGCGTTTCCATTTGGTTGGTTTGCCAATAAAAATCGAAATCAAAATGTTTAACAAACTTTGGGTCATATCAGAGCGGCTCACTTAACACGTTTATTTTATTTGTTTTATTTGATTGAATTGAATGGCTGTCGCTAACTGATTTTAGATTAGCTGCCATTTTATCGCCAAAGTACTCGGCCATAAAAAAGAAAACAGTTGCGGTTAGGGTTCTAGTTATTAGACGATCTAAAATATATGACTGCAAAAAATATATAGCTAAAGTTAAAAGTTAATATTTTGACCCACTATTATTTACATATTTTTAGTTTATAAAATTAAACAAACAAAAAATTGCATAACAAATAAAAGAGCTGTAATATTTATTCATATCTTTATGACATTTTTAACAATAAACTTGCATTACAATCACCTTCTGTTGTCAAACAAAACTAAGCCTTGAACAAATATGGAAATTGTAAGTAACTTTGTATATTTCAACACAAAACCTCCCCTTAAAACCCCTATTATTTTAGCCCCAACTGTTTATATTTTTATTGGTATATGTATGCGATTTGTTTCTGACGGACAAAGTCTATTAAAATGAATGATCTCAGAAAACAAATGGAACGATTGTCGCCAATTGAGTTGTATTTCAAGCCCCACTCCTTATCGCCTGTCTGGGGGGAGAAATGCAAGCAAAAGTCGTAAATTTCAGGGAGAGTCCGGGAAGGGAAGTTCCGTGATGCAGTAATAAAAAAAAAGTGAAATACAACACAGAAGCTTTCCCCTGACATTGTGTGTAATCGAGGTGAATGCACTTTGCCTTATTAAACCCAACTCTCCTCTCCCTAATAGTTTCTTGTCGTCTAACAACGGTAGTCGAGAATTATATATCGAACATAAAATTTAACGACCTTTTTCGTTGTTTGAGCCCTATAAAACCCACTGATTTGACGTTGAGATATGCGGTTTAGAGCCGCGGAATATGTTAATCGTTCGGAAATGATGAAGAAGCTTGATGGGGGCTTCCAAAAAAAAAAAAGAAACTACTGATGATTATTATCGATAATTGCAATCATTGGCGCTTTTTGGCAAATGGCTTTGTCCCAGAATAACGGTCAAACGATTAACAGTGGAGGTCAGCACTTATCCCACCAAGAAATAGAGAAAAGAACGGAACCCAGTAACAGCATCATCCATCATTGGGGATCCATAGAAAAGCTTCAGCTCTCGCGAGGCGTGAGACAATTAATAAAAGCAATTTTGATTGACATTCTTCTTCTGTTTTGAGGGAAAAAATCTGGCCGGAGCCCCAAAGACCCCAAAGATGATCATAACTTAGAGAGCCTGCTATCGTGATCACGATGATGGCAGATAAATTGACACCCTCGGGGCAGATGAATAAATTTTGATTAGGAATAAAAAATAAAAAAAATATGTTTATGGGATTCTATGGCCAGTTTATTCATAATATACCACACAAACCATACATAATCGTAAACAAAAAAGCCGTTAAGAGACTAATGAATTCCGACCGTTTCTTACACGTTTTCTTCTTCTTTGGCGATCAGCACGAAACCCCAAACAAATTTGACAGTTGGTGGTCTTCTCTCCCCTCCAATGGACAAACAATGTTCGAAAACTAAATGAAAAATGGTTGGAGAATGGCAAAATTATTGCTATTTCTTTGGTTCCCTTTTTTTTTGCTATAAAAATATTTTCAGAGCTATTTTAATGAGTCAGCAGCAAGCTGGCGAAAAGCTCGGAGTTGGCATTTCATGGCTTGTTTATATATTTATCGGTTGTTTTTTGTATATTGTTTAGTTTAGCACTCTGAGAGGTCGTCTCGAAATTCAGCAATCGCTCGGAAAGTAGTCGAGGAGAGTACATAATATAATTCCCTATACATCATATACATATAGAAATTTTTATAAACACATGTTCAGCAGCTAAGAACGTGCTTCCTTATAGAGAGAGGGAGGAATTTCGAAAGCTGTAGAAAACAATTAATAATTAGAAGCGGAACTTGTAAAATTGGTCATCGGTTTGGCCGTTAGAAAATGGCGTCATTTGTGCAACGGTTCTCCTAAGCTGTTTTTTTGGGAGTTTTGGGTCTATGGGTCAGTTGATGAATTAAGCACGATTACGCGCAATTACAAAACGGCGTGACAATGAAATGCTCTCACAGGCCTCGGCCTTGGAACCTCAAGAACCTAATTAATTTCCCAAGCTTATGTTGTATGTAGGTTTGTCCGGGGCGGGGTTTGGGTTCTGATGATGAGTACGTTCTGGGTGGTTGGGATCGGCACGCAATGGGCAGACATGCTAAGCCAAGCCTGGCGTTGGCTTTTACCTAAATTAAAATTAAAATGACTTAAAAAAAAAAAAAACTGGCTGGGCT